TTCTGCAACTCATATTGGGGAATCTTATACAATACTTTTATCAAATCACTATGATAAAATATGGACATTAATAATTGACGATAATCTGATAGGATTCGTTTTTCTTGATGGAACATTAACAGGTCAATTTTATGTAAATTTCTTGGGCAAACAATTGAATGAACTATTAAAAAAGCAGTCCCACTTGATGTTTTACAGTGCATGCGGTACATGCACGATAGTGCACTACCACATTGTAACCGAGCAGCTAGACAGTTATTGAACGAACGATTTCCCAACAAATGGATAGGTCATGTAGGGCCTATTAACTGACCCGCTCTCTTCCCAGAATTAAATCCACCAGTTTTTTATTTCTGGAGCTACTCGAGAACAATCGAAGAAGTGGATGGATGGAAGTGCCAAATAAATATTCATCATGCAGAAGTTTCATTAATTACATCTACCAATTGGTTATGATTTTTTGAAAAACTACTTCGACGTGATTCGTCGTTGGAGAATACAGGGTGTTCGACCACCCCTGGGAAAAATTTTAATAGGAGATTCTAGTGGCCAAAATAAGACGAAAATCAAGAATACCAATTTGTTGATAGAGGCTTTGTTAAAAAGTTATTAACAATTAAATTCAAAAATTACAAATCGTTCTGGAAAAATTATTTTCGGTTGCGGGGGTCAATTACAATCATTTTTGGTGAATAGACATACCCCCAAAATCCTACTCACTTTATAGAGAAAAATTCGAAAAGGTGTGAAATTTTTCGACCGAAAAAAAAAATTTCAAATCGTTCTGGAAAAATTATTTTCTGTTGCAGGGGTCAATTACAATCATTTTTGGTGAATAGACATACCCCCGAAATCCTGCGCATTTTCGAGAAAAGAATTCAGAACTGGCGGAACTTTAAACTTTAATAACTTTTTAACAAAGCCCCCATCAACAAATTGGTATTCTTGATTTTTGTTTTATTTTGGCCTTTAGAATCCCCCATTAAAAGTTTTCTCAGGGGTGGCCGAGCACCCTGTATAGTGGTAAAAAATGTAAAGTATATGTATATTGTCTGACCCAAAAAAATATCTACTACTTCAAAACAAAACGATGAATTTGATTTGCATAGAATTTATCTTGGAATAAAAAACCTGTACACTATTGACTGCAAAACACAATTTTGATTCGTGTTCCGAATAACTTGTCAATTGTATATTGCAATTGACAATTAACTTAACATTTCAGCTTCTTAATTGTGAAGATCTATTGTTTGTAGCAATGCTACTGATTAACGAAATTAAATAATTATAAGAAAACATGGGATAACATCGGTATAACTGAGATTGTTTTTCAAAATATTTAAAAGAGTAAAATATGAAATTTCGATCTATATAGTATAAACAACTGTTAAACGCTCAATCGTTTTTTTTATACTTTTTTTATACAATTTCACCAGCACTCTTTATTATAATAGCGAGAAGAATTATAGTGTCATATAAAAGCACTTATATTCCCTATGTAGTAATATGGGCATATGTATGTGTGAGAAATATGGGCAATATAGATTTTATTGTATTTCATTAAAACCATCAAAAACGAATTTTACTATTATAGCTTATTTACTCTCTATCTATCTATTTAATTAAAAGTTATGAATTACAGTCGAACTGCTTGATTCGAATTGTATTCGGATGAAATTAAACATAATAATTCATTTTTTAATTGCAATTGAATTCAATCGTTATTAAAATTCGACAAATTAATTGTTTCATTAATTGATCAATTAATTAAAAATATAATTGATTAGCCATTGAACAACAGTTTGCACTCCACTCACGCGTGATTCGAACACCGCACAGTGGTTCGGCATCAAAAAATTGTGGAATACGAAATTGCGTTCGTATGCGCGGTCCAAAAACAAAAAAAAATAAATAAAATATTTCTAATTTAGTAATAAATGCATGTCTTCATGCTTTTGTATGATACAAATGAGTTAAAGAATTCTTATTCACCCTATAGTAAATTACAATACTTGGAGAATAATAAGAACTGTTATACATGTACACACGATCATGTCAACTATTCTCTTCACTGCGCCAGTTCAAAGTGTGTGACCCATCAGTGGTACATGATTTGCCCAGCCATCTGCGGCAAAACGCCAAAGTTTATCGTGGAATAGTTCGTTGTTTTCAACAATAGATGGCGCTTATTTTTCGATCTTGTGGCCGACAGTCGGAACGTTGACGCATCTCGGCCATCACCGTGATGCCCCTGGTGGACAGACAGCGAATTAATGGGGTTTTCCCAAAATCGAGTGATCACTCTAGCTACAATAAGGTAGCTTGGACAACGCGCGCGGAAGAGTACGAGGAGACACGTTGTTGATTTACGTTTAGTTACATTTGTTAACACTTTTCGAGAAATAAAGGAATATATACCAAATATTCATCCACCTCGTCCTGAACATTATTGTGTGTATAGCCGTAGACGTTATAAGGTCGATAAATGAGCGCCATCTAGCGTTGAAGGAAGCAAACTATTCCACGACAAACTTGTGCGTTTTAGCACCAAAGGGTTTGAGGTTGTGGGGTCGAAACTTATGGTCTCGTCCGCACAAGAGTATAGGGGCGCAGTTTCCCGTCAAGTGCGAATCTGCCGTAAGGCTGCGCGCGCAGCGCAGCAGGGCGAAAGCGCGTCCTCCCAAAAATGCAAGGACGCTCAAGTCACTGCTTGGTAAGAACTTCGCGAAGAAGCACCTCAAAAAGATAAAGATTAAAACTCCTGTTGCTAGACAAAGACTTGTACGCCTAACGTTAATAAAGTAATACTCGTTATTGTTGTTGTTGTTACATACACGTGTTCAGTTATTTCAAATATTAATATCCGTGGTCGTAGGGGTGGGCCTACGAACGCACGCGCATAATTCGTGGAAACGAACCACGTGCATCAAGCAAGCATAAACCCACAAGGTCGAAAATGCCCGCCATCTAGCATCGCAGACAGCGAACTATTTGGCGACAAACTTGGGCGTTTTGCCGTAAAAAGCTGTGCCAATCATGCTTTATGTATTATGCTTGATGTGTTGTGAAACGGTTTCTTATAACTAAGGGAATGATTTGGAGAGGAAGAGAAAGGTAAAAATGATGAGAACACATGGAATTCTTTGAAATTATATCATTTATTGCCATAGATTTACATTATACAAAGCTTTAATACATACATATCATGTCAGAAGTTGTCAACAAAGGTCAGCAGTGGTCAGCAGGGGCCAGCAGAAGTCAGCAGGAGCCAGTAGTAATGGTTATACGTTGCCACATATGTATATCAGAAGTGATACCTGAAACAATATACATATGTACGCTCGTACATAGGAATAATAAAAAAAATTTCTTTTTTTCAATAATTAAAATATGATCAGGGGGTCTTAAAACGTGTATTTCCGTGAAATAAATTTTACAAAATTTTTTTGTCATTATGGGTACTTTGCTTATCTGCGCCTACATAGGCCGGAAAGTAAAAATGCCTGGGCCAGTTTTTCAAGAGCGGGAAGGCAAATGTAAGTCTTTCTCTTTCGACTCCCACGAAGCGATCCGAAATTACTTCGGGCAGCTTCGGAGAATCGAGAAAGAGGGCATGTGTTAGTTTGCCTTTGTCGACTCTCCGAAACTCTACAAGCTCACGTACGCGTGATCTGGCATAGTGTGAGAAAGTGCAATCAGGTATCCCCGGTGCACTCGGGGCTCCGTGTGGCATCTCTGGTCAGAAATCCAGTAAGGGTGCACGAATGGCCACAATGTAGAACCAAAGTCGGAACATCCATCCACTTCAGATGCCCCATGGAAAGTAAAATTTTCATCACCAGCAGGTTTATTTATACCGTGCCATAGGAGAGAGGAATGGTGACGAAGAACAAGGTCGCCGAGTCGATAGTTAATCTACCTCTTCAATCTATTGGAAAAATAATTTTTTCGTAAAATAAATATTCCCAATCATTATTTATACGATATATGTATATTACGAAGAATTAATTATTATTTGATATGAACTATTAATTCTTGTAAATAATAAAAATGAAAAATTTTGAAAAGACTGAAAATTTCAATAAATTTCTATTACTTTTAACATTAAAAGTTACTGTTGCAATATTCGTGTTATTTATGCATTGTAAAATATTAAGCAGCTTACATAAATAAATGTAATGTTCCCTAGTTTTTCTAAATATACATCGAAATTGCAATAATAAAACGTTTTTGTACCGCAGTGTTCATAATTTTCTTCCATATCACCCTGGATACATCAATTTGGAAAGGACACCGTACTCGAAAAGTGACTAATTGCTCATCCACTGTGGCTGCGTTTGTTGTTTCATAAACTTCTTGACATTTACCACAAAAATATTAGTGACATCTCTAAGTAGGACTAATTTATCATTAAGTTATATTTTCGCTATCATAGTATTTACATATTTTAGCAATTGCAGATCAAATGTATTTTTAGTAAAAACGAAAATATTTTCTTAGCATTCAAGATGAAATTGAAGAGAATATGTGATATTAGTTTATTTGTCAGTATCCCTTAATAAGATTCGAAATAAATAAGTAAGATACACGATATTAAATAGATTGGAGTATAGCATTACGTATTGCATTTCTTGACCTCGTATATAAGAATATAACGTTGATTTTATGTAAACTCTTCGTATGGTGAGTCAAAAGAGAAATTAGCAGTACACATAATGCACGTTTAACCTAACCAGTAAGTCACACAGCAATAATCTAGGAAACTATACACCTTTCACGAACAGTGTGAGAGACTGGAACCCGACATCCGAAAGGAAAAAAAAAAAAAGACAGAGAAAAATATATAATTTAAAATAAAAAGAAAAAGACGAAGCTAACAGGCTGATCATGAAATGTATGAGTAAGATAGCCACCAGAGGAAGGAAAAAGAGAGAACGAAAAGCGATGGCGTAAACCCAAGAGTACGGCATTCGTAACGTTCAGTCGCAGGATCACACGTGTGGTGTGAGTGTTGTATTCAATGATTCAACAGGACTTGACCAGTTTTTCTGCTAGTGTTCCTTAATGTAAAAAATCAAAATATACGAATAAAGTAATCTGAACACCATTTTTCCGTTTTTATTTCGGTACATTTAACATTTCAAAAACAAATTTCCGCATCGAATTTTTGTTTTGTTTCATATATGTGCCTGTACTAGATAACCACAAGATTGAGGTTAGAAAAGACGTGACATAGTTCTTTATATCGTGCCCGTGCACAGATTGTTAAGATTGTTGTTAAAATGTGTTTGTAATGCGATCACACGAAATAAAAAAAAATCAGGAAAGCATGCTGTCATTTACGTTCACTTGAAGAGAAGACGCGAAGTTATAGTCTTGTAAACGAACATAAGGAGATCCACATTGGCGGTGAAGCAACAAAACGACGTCGCGCGAATGGCATAAGGTAATGAATTTTTTTACGGATAAATAACTTGTAGAAAAGAAAAGTTGAATAGTCGAAAAGAAATTACATGTATACTATTCCATAAATAGTATTCCTGACACGATATTATAATATATGTAATTACTTCTAATGTCTAGTGATAAAATTATGTATAGTATCATGTATAACATTTATGTTTTGTAACATATACTTAATTTATTAATGGAAAACTGGGTCAAGTAATTTAATATTAAAAAACAGTGTCTTATATTTTAAACTTAAGAATGTGTCATCATTCAAACCGTGTCACACTTAAAAATTATAACCACTGCTTCTAAACCCTTCTAATTAATATTATAAAATATTGTCACTGATAATTTAAAACAAAACTACTATTTCTTGTAAGTTTTTAATGTGTATTGTCTATAAATTCTATTGTCATAAAAATGTATTATTAAATTTCTTCTTTTTCATTTGAAATTAGAACTTATTGATGTCCTTTGCATGTCTGAACACAATTCATAAAAATAATATGTGCAATGAATAACTATTTCATTTAAATCTTTCTATATTAAAAGACAACATTTTTGTTATAATTATATCTAACAAAGATATCCTATAGCCGATGTTACATATGAACGTTGAAAAAACTCAAATTTACAAATGCCAGCATAAAAATTATTTTGTTCCAGTGCACATTTTTTACAGATAAGAAAATTTCAAGACAAAACATTTTTAAGTTTAAATGCTTCGGAGGAAGATTGCATTAGGTGAATGCAAAGAGTATCTACTGTGTTCTTAGCAGTTTTATAGAATTTCTCTATTTTGGAATCTTTTCATAAAGTGTATAATTTTTTGAAAATGATACAGAATATATTACATTTCTGTTACTTTTATAAGGAACATAATCATTCTAGTTATAAAAATTAGTATAATGTGCATATATATAGTTGCAGAGATATATATATATGTATGTATATTATTTGAACAATTTATTAGTAAAGATTTGTATAAAAGGATTACAATATTTGTCAAAAAAGATCACATAAAATTTAATTATCCAAAGTAAACCTTAGAAAACAAATCTAGAATCACACGGGATTCAAATCCCAGATTTTGTACCTACGAAACAGTTGTTTCTTGGATCTACCTAGGAACTTCTTTGTAAAACCTATACCTTCTTATAAGGTAATTAAACTTAAAAACTTTTATGTATCAAACCTCAATTGATCATAAACAATTTGCAATAGAACTAAACATTTTATATAATATCTATATTTGACCTATAAATTTATAGTTTTCCTAAAATGAATTTTATTTTAAGTTGTTTCAAATTATGAGAACATTTATTCCATTTATAATTGTGTTAAATACTTTCCCACAGGACTCTCATGTTAGTATAATACAAAGCCATCTGTGTTTATGTTTCTTCTGTCTAATATCACATTAAAAATATTTCATGGGATATTGCAAATACTCTATTTTATATAGAATATTTAAAAAACAAATTAAAAATTGAATAAAGTTCAAATAAGTAAATTAAAAAATAACATTTTCCTCTACTTCAATGCATATTTGACGTTACAATATTTGTATGCAGTCTGGAAGTATACAAATATAATTCTTTTACAAGTTAAAGGACAATATCATTTTTAGACAGACTGTTTATCGTCGGATTTTATCTGTCCTTTTTTTTCATTTTTTTATTAAAAGCTATAAAACCATTCTGTGATTCATATACTGCATATGAGAAAAATTATACTGTGTTAGCAATGCCAAGTAAAGTTGCCATGCACTATAAAACTCACGTTTCCTGTATATGGACATAATTACTTGCCGGTTGATCGAACATTCGGAGGAACACAAAATATTGCGAAAAAGTTAACACATTCTTTTACTGGAAGGTTATTATAAAATGTACAGGGTGTTCGGCCACCCCTGGGAAAAATTTTAATGGGGGATTCTAGAGGCCAAAATAAGACGAAAATCAAGAATACCAATTTGTTGATGGAGGCTTCGTTAAAAAGTTATTAACAATTAAATTCAAAAATTTTAAATCGTTCCGGAAAAATTATTTTCGATTGCGGGGGTCAATTACAATCATTTTTGGTGAATAGACATACCCTCGAAATCTTACGCATTTTCGAGAAAAAAATTCAGTACGGGTGGAACTTTAAACGTTAATAATTTTTTAAGGAAGACTCCATCAACAAATTCGTACTCTTGATTTTCGTCTTATTTTGGCCTCTAGAATAACCCATTAAAATTTTTTCCAGAAGTGGCCGAACACCCTGTATAAAAATTAAATTTTTAAGAATGAGTCAACATCCGTATAATTGGAAAGTCTAACTAACTAAACCAATAAAGATCATTACAAATTAAAAATGTATTTTAAAATTACCGAAAAGAATGTATAAGAATTAAAAAAAATTGTTTCCAAAGTAAAAATCAGAATAAGAGTAATAAGCCATACTATGTCTCAATCGTTTGAATAACCTGTGACGTATTTTCAATGCAACTGATCTTATCCTATAATGGTTAAAAGGACTCACTTCCATAAATGTTTATTTCATTGCTAGCATATGTCCCAGATTTTTGTAATTAAGTATGATTCGCTAAATACGTTCAGGGTTACCAGCTCGCCAGTTTTGTCACCAAATTGATAGAAAAAATGAGTTAACAATTTTTATGATTTTATTAACTAATACATTTTATTTAAAAACTTTGTTCATACCGAAAATAATAAAAGATGTAGAAATATTTTAGTAACGGTGGTATATTTGTAAAATAATCAAAAATGTTGAAATATATATTAGTGATTGTTTCAGTTAATAATGACATATTAAAAATTAGAATTAAGTTAATCTTAAGTGCTTATCAGAACATCGTGATTGGATCGTGATTGAATTAAAAACATTTTTAAAACAAGTTCTCTTATTACATACTAAAATGTAAATTGTTTGGTCATCAATATGTCATCACTGTACGGAAATGCTTTTTCAGATATGCTTGGTATGTTGAAAAGTTAACAGATAACCGTCCATTTGTCCCGAATATAAATCGAGTATCGTTTCCACTGAAAACCCTCAAAGAAATATAATTTTAAGAATTCTGACTTTGTTTAATGCCCTTGTGTCGTGTTTCAAACTGTTTTTGTATTGTTTATCACACTAAACAATACCGACAAATGAATAAATAAACAAATTTCAAACGGGAAATATTGGATTATTTTTTTCTAGTAAAATTATTGTTTAATAATAATAACTGTTAAATCAGAAAAAAAATTGAAACAGAAATTGTTGGAAATTCGGGTAGAAGTAAGTCTTGTATGAGATTTACGGCTTTTCTGGCCCGAGTTTGTACTCGAGTGTCATGGCTTCCGAATGAATACCGTGTCTACGTTTCGCAAACGTTGCAATTTGCATTTTCAGTCGACAAATCGCTGAACCTAAACGCGGTATCCATCCGGAAGCAATGACACTCGAATGAGTCATGGAGTTCCTACAAAAACTGCACCGAATAATGTCCACGTATTTATGAGAGAAGAGTAAAGTTGAAATTTCGATATCGTTCGAACGTTGTTTATTTTGTATCTGAAATGCTCACGACCTCATAACCTCGCAACACGTCGAGGTGATTCAAAGAAAGATAACCGACTTACGATAATTTATTATAGTATTATTTTCTTGTTTATATATTTTTCAAGATATACTCTCAATGCTAATTTGTTATCACCACTCGACGAAAAAAATTTTCCTTTCTCGTGAGAAATGTCTGGTATATCTTATCATTTTCAGACGTTGAATCCAAATCTAGCAACACAATTTGCCCACCACGTTAAGATTTTAAGAGATAAAGTAATAATTTTAGAATTGAACTGATTTCAGAGAAATGTTATGTATCACAATTCGATTTATTTAAGAAAAATAATTGTTGTATCGAAAACAGAGATTTCTGAAAAACGGAACTTTTTAAAAAGTTGGATAAAGAAATTTTAATTTTAGATATTAATTTTCTTCGCGATCTGATTGTATCAAAATGGTGTATTCAGTGTTTTATAAAATATAATTACATAGATACATAACTGAATACAAGCGTTTAGTAGAATGCTGGATTTCAACGTGTACATTCGATCCTCTTTTGCGAACCTGTCTGAGTAAAGACGTGATGCCAGTGTCGGTGTATTAATCCTTGCGGACGCTGGCGCGCAAACCTAATGCTTTCGCATCTCCGTACACGATTCTTACACTTAATTGATCATGGCTATTTCGCAATTCTGCGTCGATCTTTACGGACGTGCAGCCAAGGTTCAATCGAGTGCTAGCTAATGCAATCTACCTGCGTGCGTGCCTTTACTCGGCACTGTTTTATCAGTTTTAGATTTAAACGCGTAGGATGAAGTCTTGGAAAGAGATTATTCGAAAGAGAAGGTTTGTGAGATGTAAAAATTTCATAATTTTGTAATCGACAGATTGTGATCGATCGTGGCTAAATTTGTTAAAAGCATTCCCGTAATTAACTCTCATTGACGCTGGTGAGTAGTAAATGATTTCGCCACTTATCGCGTTGTAGCGTGTCGCGACATCTGTGTGGTGTTGCCTCCCATGCCCACCACCAGAGGGGTCGTGCTCTCACAAGCGCTTGAATGACCCCTCGGATGCTATACATATACGAGATTTTCAGCTATCCTTGAGAAAAATTTTAATGGGAGATTCTAGAGGCCAAATTAACACGAAAATCAAGAATACCAATTTGTTGATGGAGGCTTCGTTAAAAAGTTATTAATGTTTAAAGTTCCGTCTGTACTGATTTTTTTTCTCGAAAGTGCGTAGGATTTCAGAGGTATGTGTATTCACCAAAAATGATTGCAATTGACCCTCGCAACCGAAAATAATTTTTTTAGAACGATTTGAAATTTGTTTTTTTCGCCGAAAAATTTAGGCACCTAATTAGATTTTCAGTAAAGAATTTTTTTCTCGAAAGTGCGTAGGATTTCGGGGATATGTGTAATGACCAAAAATGATTGTAATTGATCCCCGCAACCGAAAATGATTTTTTAGAACGGGTTGAAAAATTGTTTTTTCGCTGAAACATTTCTGCACCTACCTGATTTTTTTTCTCGAAAGTGGATAGGATTTTGGAGGTATGTGTATTTACCAAAAATGATTGTAATTGACCCCCGCAACCGGAAATAATTTTTCCAGAACGATTTGAAATTTTTGAATTTAATTGTTAATAACTTTTTAACGAAGCCTTCATCAACAAATTGGTATTCTTGATTTTCGTCTTATTTTGGTCTCTAGAATCCCCCATTAAAATTTTTCCCAGGGGTGGCCGAAGATCCTGTATAATCCTCGACCGACTTCTCAATATCCCAGTCGTCTAAGGCAAGGCCTGCTAAAAAGCCTGTTACTGATGCCCCCCTGCTTTGCTTTTCTGTCCTCCTACGAAATTCTCCGAGATCCTACCTCCCCGCAGCAGAGCACAGGCGGCCACATCTGTGTAACCCATTGTAGCTTAATCATAAAACCCACGCTTTGTTAGCGGCAGTTCGTATTTGGAGCAATCGCAATTGTTTCAGGCTAAAGAGACATTCATCAGACCTGGGATCTCGTGTTGGACGGACGGGAATGCTCAAGCCGCGAATGACGAAGCTGTTAGGGATATCGTTTGGCAGGTGCAACCATCATCTACACGTGTTTGAAGGATAGTCCATGGATGTGTTTTATCGCGTTGACTCCTGGGATCATTTGAAACCTCTTTAGAAATGATATTTTATCAGGTTTGAATTGGATGAATTTTTAGTATCGTAAAAATCTTCCCTTATAACAGGAGCACAAAATTAAAAAAAAAGGCTTGTATGTACAGGCAATTAAAATTATATAAAAGTAAACTTTAAAGCATTCTTTAGATGCATCGATGCATAAAATTGAATAAAATTGATATTACACTAATAACTTAAAATCATCTTTTGAGCGAACTGTTGAACTGTTTTACCATTACCTAGCTAATTGTAACGAAGCTTCGTCGTTACTAGATGCCAACGGTGGCGATAAGGGTTTACGTAATATACACTATGCCTATGTTTTAGAAATTATATGGAACTGTTTTATCAATCGAGTGCTCTGTATCGCCGACAGACTATTTTTTTTCTCCAGCAAAGTACTCTGTTTTGCCTTACAATGTTTTCTGTTTTATCCGCAGAACGTTTGATTTTCTTTACGGATTTTAGTATTTTTATCGAACATGCGTTCTGTTTTGCTTTGTGAGAATAAAATAAACAGAGCGCTTTATATTCAACAATATCATTACTTGAATCCTCGTTATTTGAGACTTCGTTTTAAAACTATAAGCAGTTAAATTTACGAGTCCCACTTCTCAATCGTGCGTTTTAACACGTTCACTGTGGTACGGGACAAACATGCTCCGTATCAGCTATACTTTATTGAACTTTCGTTACCTGTTAATAGAATATCCTCATAATTTTGTACTGTATTTATTGAAATTTACTGCTGTATTCCTATTTTCCTTGTACCGCCAGGTATTAAAGTACCTATGTCGTGTCTTTTCAATCAAGAAACACGTTTGTTTCAGAATCGTCGTATTTGGACTTCAAGGATTGAAAAGAAGGATCCTCGTTTCTATTTGTGAGAACAGTAAAGCAAAAGTGAAAGTGAAAATTCATCTAAAGAGCCTGGAGGCAAAGGGGTGAAAAGCTAAAATGGGCGAAAAACGGGGCACAAAGGCGTTGGAACTATGGTGCCGACGGATAACCGCGGGATATACTGGTGTAAATGTACAAAATATGACGACTTCTTGGAGAGACGGCCTTGCATTTTGCGCGATGATCCACCATTTCCGGCCAGATCTCATGTAAGTTAATAGTAGATAAATAATAAGAGCAAAACGAGTTGACTATTTAAGCTTATATTAAGCTCTATCGAAGCTCAGATATCTTATTTAATTCTTATGAAGTAGTCCAACTGTTTGTAGGAACTCTCAGATGAGAGAAATTTATTTGCAAATTCTAATAATTTACTAATAATAGTAACAAGCAGCGTAGCCAACAAAATAAGCTAACCCAATTTTTAAGGAGTGGAAGAAGGCCCAATTTAGCTTATTTTTTGTTGGCTACGCTGGTAACGAGAGATACAATAATGCTTGGCTAATTTTCATAAGATTTGGGACCCAACAGTGAACGTTAGGACAGCACATTTTTTATAAAACTGAACTCGAATATTGCTTAACAACGGAAGGGAATGATTATGACAGGAGGAAGCGAGATGGATCATGCAATATATAAAATTTTACTTTCCGTAGTTTTCATATTACAATTTCTAAATAATTATACTATTTATAAAAATGATATCAATGCATCCTTCGGATTCTTCCGATTAAAACGAGTCCAAACACGACATACATCAAACTGCTCTTAATTGACTTAATACAGTAATGATTCTTAAAATGAAAGAAATGTAGATATACAGGGTGTTCGGCCACCACTGAGAAACATTTTAATGGGAGATTCTAGGGGGTAAAATAAGACGAAAATCAAGAATACCAATTTGTTGATGGAGGCTTTGTTAAAAACTTATTAACGTTTAAAGTTCCACCCGTACTGAATTTTTCTCTCAAAAATGCGCAGGATTTTGGGGGTATGTCTATTCACCAAAAATGATTGTAATTGACCCCCGCAACCAAAAATAATTTTTCCAGAACGATTAGAAATTTTTTAATAACTTTTTAATGAAACCTCAGTCAAGAAATTGATGTTCTTGATTTTCGTCTTATTTTGGCCTCTAGAACCTCCCATTAAAATTTTATCCCAGGAATGGCCGAACACCCTGTATAGGATAAATGATATATGTATTTTATAATAAACTTGAAGAACAAAAATGTTTACGTGTGATTATTGTTAATGTTATTCGAAAGAAAAACTCTTTACGTTTGATCGCAGAGACTTCAACAGCCTAGATAAAAATAATGTGTACGGAAACAACGAGCTAGCGTTCAAAACAGCAGAGAAACACCTTGGAATTCCTGCACTTCTGGATGCCGAAGACATGGCCTCCTGTTCCGTACCAGATCGGTTGTCAATTTTAACCTATCTCTCACAGTTCTATCAAACCTTCGGTGGTAAGTTTTCGCGAACAACTACATATGAACTATTTTATTCCGTAGCCGCATAAATTCAGTTAAGGGGGTCTTCTACTATAAAACGCGTTGTTTTATGGTCTCTTTGGTATTTTTTTTTAGAAAGAAACTATGCAAGTCCTTGCATCGTCGTTCCCCTGCAGGCAGGGTGTTCGGCCACTCCTGGGAAAAATTTTAATGAGAGATTCTAGAGGCCAAAATAAGACGAAAATCAAGGATACTAATTTGTTGATTGAGGCTTCGTTAAAAAGTTATTACAAATTTAAATTAAAAAATTTCAAATCATTCATGAAAAAATTATTTTTGGTTGAGGGAGTCAATTACAATCATTTTTTATGAATAGACATACCCCCAAAATCCTACGCACTCTCGAGGAAAAAATTCTTTACCGAAAATACAATGTCTGACCAGGAATGGAATGATTCCCCTGAAATTTCATTTGTTTCAAAGCGTTCTGAAAAAATTATTTTCGGGTGTGGGGGTTACTTACAATAATGTTTTGTGAAGGGACATACCCCCGAAATCCTACGCACTTTCGAAAAAAAAATTCGAGTGGGTGGACAAAGGGTATAGCCGAATAAGGGGGTCAAATGTGCCCCCAAACCGAATGGAACGAGCCACGGGTCATTCGATAGCAAAAAAAAAATAACCCCTGTGTGCAAATTTTTAACTTGAAATCTCGACCGTGGGGGTAGTAATGGGGTGAAAACGAAAATCATGTTTTTGAATTATTTCTCTTGACCTATTGAGTAAAAAAATGTAAAAAAATTCAGAGACATTTCGGGTACCGGGGCACATACTTTGGGAGATTTTCAGATTTTTTGATTGAAGAACCAGGTAGTGAAAAATAAAAAACAGCAAAAAATGCCGAAAAATGCCGATTACGTATTGAAGGAGGCCCGGAACTACTTTTATACTTTTACAGTAAACAGGTATTACTATTACTATTATTCTCAATTTTTTTCAGATTTTTCATTTTGGTGCGCCGCAGTGAAAAAAAATAAAAACCGAGTTTTTCCTCATTTTCTGCGTATTAGAGTAACTTACACGTTGAAATTTTTATGCATCCTTCAATATATAAGTGTTTTGTAGACTGTTTAATGTTTCTACACTAAGCAGAATTACATAACAATTGAAACAAATAAAATAAAGCCAACCATTGGGTGTATATATCCTAAAAAATCAACGATATTTTCAACGGCGTCGATGGCGCAGCGTTAGAGTGTCCGACTGCTGAACCGCTGGAAGTTTTTTTACCGTAGGTTCGAGTCTCTCTTCTGGACTTAGTATTTTTTTTTCTTCATTATTTTTTTTTTCAAATTCTAACTATATAACAATGCTTTATATTTATTTATAAATGTTCTGATAGCATTTTACAAATATTTTAACCTGAAATATGTATAAATATAGTCTTGGAGTGTTTTTTGCGTTTTTATTTTTTTTGTCAACCACGATTATTGTTTAACATCTCTTACACTGAAATTAATGTGAAATGTTAGTTTTCAAATCTCTTACCTTTGACTATTGTGAATGGATCGGAGCAGAAGATTGTATATTGGCTTACTATTACTTCTTCTCGCCCTTCGATCAAGCAGATCTTTCCTTCTCGTTCTCTTTCTTTGATAAATATGAATGTTTGCTGCGGCTTTAGTATCTAACGTAGACATGTAAGGGTTATTATCCTTTCCTTACTGCTGGTTTTAAAGATAATGAAAACACTTGTAGGACCAACCTCTACGGACCATGCCAAGTAATTATGTATAAATCCCATCGCATACAGTAGCTTGAACTGAGTAATTAAAAAATACATTGTGAAACCCGAACGCGACAATCACCCATTGACCTGAACGGTCTGGGCCCTCACCCAACGAACCTTTATTTCCTTCGTAACGCAGGTAGGACAATTAATCATTTTTCCCCGTGGTTTCCATCGAGCAATGATACTTCATTCAAAAATAAGCATGAAACGATCAAACTGGTACTTAAAAATGGGTTTATTAGAAAAAAGTATCATTGGCAGAGAGTGGGTTAATAGATTTGCGGGGAATGGCCCTTACATGTCTACGTTAGATACTAAAGCCGCAGCAAACATTCATATTTATCAAAGAAAGAGAACGAGAAGGAAAGATCTGCTTGATCGAAGGGCGAGAAGAAGTAATAGTAAGCCAATATACAATCTTCTGCTCCGATCCATTCACAATAGTCAAAGGTAAGAGATTTGAAAACTAACATTTCACATTAATTTCAGTGTAAGAGATGTTAAACAATAATCGTGGTTGACAAAAAAAATAAAAACGCAAAAAACACTCCAAGACTATATTTATACATATTTCAGGTTAAAATATTTGTAAAATGCTATCAGAACATTTATAAATAAATATAAAGCATTGTTATATAGTTAGAATTTGAAAAAAAAATAATGAAGAAAAAAAAATACTAAGTCCAGAAGAGAGACTCGAACCTACGGTAAAAAAACTTCCAGCGGTTCACCAGTCGGACACTCTAACGCTGCGCCATCGACGCCGTTGAAAATATCGTTGATTTTTTAGGATATATACACCCAATGGTTGGCTTTATTTTATTTGTTTCAATTGTTATGTAATTCTGCTTAGTGTAGAAACATTAAACAGTCTACAAAACACTTATATATTGAAGGCTGCATAAAAATTTAACGTGTAAGTTACTCTAATACGCAGAAAATGAGGAAAAACTCGGTTTTTATTTTTTTTCACTGCGGCGCACCAAAATGAAAAATCTGAAAAAAATTGAGAATAATAGTAATAGTAATACCTGTTTACTGTAAAAGTATAAAAGTAGTTCCGGGCCTCCTTCAATACGTAATCGGCATTTTTCGGCATTTTTTGTTGTTTTTTATTTTTCACTACCTGGTTCTTCAATCAAAAAATCTGAAAATCTCCCAAAGTATGTGCCCCGGTACCCGAAATGTCTCTGAATTTTTTTACTCAATAGGTCAAGAGAAATAATTCAAAAACTTGATTTTCGTTTTCACCCCATTACTACCCCCACGGTCGAGATTTCAAGTTAAAAATTTGCACACAGGAGTTATTTTTTTTTTGTTATCGAATGACCCATGGCTCGTTCCATGCGGTTTGGGGGCACATTTGACCCCCTTATTCGGCTATACCCTTTTTCAACAAAATTAAAAAATTTCGAATCATTCATGAAAAAATTATTTTTGGTTGCAGGGGTCAATTACAATCATTTTTGGTGAACAGACACATGCTCGAATTCCTACGCACTTTCGAAAAAAAAATTCTTTACCGAAAATATACTCTGTAGCCGGAAATGTTTCTATAACTTTTTAAAGAAACCTCAATCAACGAATTAGTGTCCTTAATTTTCATCTTATTTTGGCCTCTAGAATCTCCCATTAAAATTTTTCCCAAGGGTGGCCGAATACCCTTATATGCTTTTGCATACTTTACTTTAATTTTTCAAAATAAAATATTATTATTCACCTGTATCATTTTCAGTCTCACTTTATGAATAACTTTTTACGTTAAATGACTGACTCATGGCGTGTGACCGAAGCCTAAGTATAATACAGTATGTCATTGGTGATAATGGTTTGTTATCTCACTTTAATATTCACTGTCCACTATTATTGCCGCTATCGTTTGCTTTTGCGTGACCAATCGCAAAATGCACACACTCTAGAAACGTACGATCATTTGTAATCATAGACTTACCCTGCTTTCAAAATGAACGCTTTGCTAAATTTGTTTAGTAACCGAACTTCAGTCAACACAATCGTAAGGAATTTTTACTCTTTTGACTCTGACGCTTTTTTATAGACAAAATCAACATGTTTTCTACGTATTGCTGGTAAAAAAAAATTCATTTCTTTTTTTCTTTTTTTATTGAATTTATACCATTTTCATAATAAACAGTTTAGTTATTACAGCAAATAGTATTGTATTTCAAGTTTACATAAAACAATGATAATTATTAGTCTTCTGTTTAGTAAAAACTTTCTTAATTTTCGACGATCATAGAAAAAAATGTGAACACAATATCTTTATGAGTATAAGAAACCCAATTATTAAAATATACGGGGTGTTCGGCCACCCCTGGGAATAATTTTAATGGGGGATTCCAGAGGCCAAAATAAGACGAAAATCAAGAATACCAATTTGTTGATGAAGGCTCCGTTAAAAAGTTATTAACATTTAAAGTTCCGCCCATACTGAATTTTTTTCTCGAAAATGCACAAGATTTTGGGGTATGTCTATTCACCAAAAATGCTTGTGATTGACCCCTGTAACTAAATATAATTTTTTTAGTATGATTTGAAATTTTTTAATTTCATCTAAAAATTTCACACCTTCTCCAATTTTTTTCTAGAAAGTAGGTAGGAATTCGGGGGTATGTCTGTTCACCAAAAATTATTATTATTGACCCCCGCAACCGAAAATAATTTTTCCAGAACGATTTGAAATTTTTGAATTTAATTGTTAATAACTTTTTAAGGAAGCCTCAAACGAAAAATTGATATTCTTGATTTTCGTCTTATTTTGGCCTCTACAATCTCCCATTAAAATTTTTCCCAGGTGTGGCCGAACACTCTGCATATTAAAAACTGATTGTCTTTAGAGTGGTGGTATCTAAATTTCAAGAATTTTACATTCTCAGTTTGATACGGCATTATAAGTATGAATGTAAATATTATTTGTTTTTTTATTACTGTTCTAGGTTCTTCGCCAAGTCGAGTTGCCGTGAATAGAACAATGGAAGCCGAAGGTGAAATAATCGTTCCAACGTCCGAGTCCCCGAAACAAAAGGTACGAAAATCTTTGTCGTATGAAATGTAGAGAATCAACGACAATATTTCGCGGAATTCAATGTCGATTTAAAAGAATTTCGTAATCGAGATTATTTACAAGGTTGTGAGCTTACACAAATTTTTGCCAACTGCAACAAGGCACGTTTTAGATAACCACTATTACTGATTAAACAGACAATTAGTTTCTGTTTTCTTTTTTACCGTATCAGGTGATGTAACGTCCTTATTCTATTGAATTTGGGCAAAAGCATCTGAATGCTACTGTAAAAACAATGACTTCTTTGGATCGAAAGAAAGTTAGAAGTTTCATTTTCTTTTAACTTGTCTACAAATAAAAAAAAAAGGACTGAAATGCACCACCATCTGAACATTTGCCGTTAAATTAAAACGCTTAGATAGAAAAGACTGAGATTACATTTCTTTCAAGTTTTACAAAGTATCGATTATGTTGCTCCAACGAAAACTGTGTTCATCGTGTTTGTTTCATATTCTCTTCGTGTCAACCCTTTATTATTATTTAAAAAAATTATTATTTATATTTTAAAAACTGTGCTCGTATGAATAGTTGAAATTATTCCAACGTTTTTGAAATTCTTCGAACAGAAAACATTTTATTTTTTATCTGCATGCATATTTTTTTTTAAAAACATCGTAAGGACAGTGATATTTGTATATATAATATTTCGCTAAAACATAAGAGACATCGATAGTAAATAATAAGTTATTTTCGTTCGAAAAATTTTGGAAGATTTTATACATCTATTAAATACAGAAATGTTTAAGAAATCTGATCTCGAAAATAGTACAACTGTAATCCTGGCTATGCGACCGTAACATGTAATGTCAAAATGATTATTATCGAAGTAGGCACTCGAATTATATACTCATCCCCTTCTCCATGACGCGAAACACTGCCTTTCAATTATTAATTATTCTTTGTTTCGAATTTTCAATATCGTTTAAGGTTTCTTGACAAACAAGACTGGAAAATTGATCTGCTAAAACATATTTACAAAGTATCTGTTAGATAATCATTTTTTACTGAGACTGTATGACCATATTTACGTTTGTTGAAATATTTCTCACGATGTGTTGTAAAAATTCTGTATTATTATGATATTGAATTTTTGTAATAAAAATATAGATCAATTATATCGTCCCCTATAATTATGACTGACTAATATACCATAGTAGGTTTCATAAGGACAAATGGAATGTAAGAGTAAAACCTATTAATCACTTAATATTAATCATATAAATCAAATGATTAATCATTTAATAGGTTTTAATAGGTTTAGCCAAGCTGTTTTCATAAACGAGGTTCTGCAACTCGTTTTTACACGACTTTCTATTCAGACCACGTGTATACCGAGATTGGTAGATGGTATAGAGTTTGTCGTCAGTCAAGTGTGCGACGCCGTTTCCCTACACCATAAAGGCAGTGGAGCACCGCCATTATATTTCTTACTGTGAAGTTCACGAGCCCACCGTTTGTGCGCTAGTGTCAGCACGCGAGCTCCCATGCCCATAAAACGGCCAATTGACCTGCAGTAATTCTGAACGTAGACGATTATCGCCTCCTGACACGGAGGCTAGGATACAATTTATTAATGTTTCTTGTGAAATAGGAAACCGATGCGATGCGCATATACAGATACATTGTTTTACCGTATTGTCTTTGCAATGGATCGTAATTTTATTTTTATAGATTGGGGGGCACTGGAGGACAACTTATGAAACCAAGCAGGAAGTAGATCGAGCAAGCTTGGGGACCATTGGTCTGGAGAGTTGAACGAGCTACCGTACACTTACGGACAAAAGTTAAGAAATTTTAGATTTAACACGAGTTATCATAAGCAGTTGACTCCAAATGAAAATGTCAAGGAATATACATTTCCACCAAATGACAAGTGCATGTTACATTATCGTAGAAAATGCATTGTAATTATTGCAACTCTCTTTTGTTTCATACCTACAATAAATGCACGAAAATATTTCAACCACTCGGTATAGACATAATATTCGTTACCTGGAACCAAATGTGAAACTTAGATATGTCGTCGCATTCTAGAACTGTTTTTGATAAAAAAAAAAAAAGGAACCGAGTCTCCTGTTCGAATCGATAAACCATGGATTGGAATGATTGTTCCAGCATGATAATGACCAAAGCATTCGACCAAGTTGACTCAGGACTTTTAGAAAATAAATGTTCTAAAATGGACAGTCCAATCTCATGATGTAAATCCCACAAAGTATCTGTGGGATTACATAAAACGACAAGTAGTTTCATTGTTATTCTCTAACAAAACTTTATTGTGGTCCAAAGTACCAGCGAACCACCAATTAAAGCGAATCGACGTCATACTGATGCAGTATGAATACGTAACGTGAAACTTCTATGCTCTTAAATATTATAGTTGCTATATTTCGTAAGTTTAATATTTCTATTACATTCATAAACCGTTCTGATATAATTCTCACGATCTCATGCATGCAATAATGTAAATAATTTATTAGACATTAATAAATGTGTACACTGTGTTAACAAAATGACACGATAACTAAAACTATGCACTTGTTTCTTAACTTTTGTCCGTAACTGTATAACGACCGAATAGCTTTTTTCATTTTAATGAACCTCGAAAGTCGTCTCACAGTCTCGTTCGAAAGGTCTAGCAATTCTGCAGTATTCTATAGAAATTTTTGGAACAAATTTCCAGATTCCGTAAACGCGGTAACAAAACCAACTATTAAGGATATTCCTGCGGTAAATACAATTTCACTTACGTACGTGTGTGTTCTTCTTTGTGTGTAAAATACTTCTTCCGTGTGTGTTCTTATTTGAAGTGTAAAATACATCAAGTCCCGTGGGATGCATATTTCATTTTAGAAATCGATCTCTTTGATCTCGGGGCGGGAGCTAAGTTTTGCATGTAGCTCTCGATGAGAAGAGCTAATGACAGAAAAAGAAAGCCCAGAATTACGAATACGGTATTATTATGTTTCATACGATTATAATTGGGTTGGAATCGAGAGAACTGCATGCCTTTCTTTTGCACATGACTCTTTTGTTTTAACCTTACTGTTCATCGAACATTCTAGAACAAATTAGAACGGAGAGCGGGCGCCCTTACGAGACACGTACATTTTATGGCCACGAGCGCCATTTAAGGACACAACAGGTATTCGAACGCATGACCTTCTTAACATGAATCTTAAATACTAACGCATCACCTCGCACAGCTGTTGAATACGACGTGAATTTCTTAAATGTTGTAGGAATTTATAAGAATAAAAATGGTTAATGCCATTTTTTATGAAAAAAAAAAAAAAAAAAAAAAATGGTCTGTACTCTGTGCTTGCATCCATTGGTGACTACAATTTGAGTAGACACCCCCTGCACAATACCAAACTTCTCACACACTATTTGACTTTGGGTTCTGTCCTAGAAGAGACATGTGATAATAAATATAATTATAAATATCTAAAGAACTGTTAAGTTTCTTTATGATAGTATTCTTTAAACAGATGGGCCCAATCTACCAGTGTTCAAAGTTTTATTAAAATAGGTGACATCTTCTTGTCAGTACATATTTCCAATTTCCATGTTGTCCATGTTTTCCTGTTTCTGTAACTTTCTTCTCTTCCCTCCCCTCATTCCTTTTCCTTCCATCTTCTTCACTTCCATACTAAATACTCCAGAGTTAACACTCCCTTGTTCTCTTCGCTATATCTTCTTTAATCCGAATCCTTCCAATACCTGACAGTAACAGGTTGTTACCAATTTCTGCACGTTCACATCTTCATCTTGTTAATTGCCTTTACGGTCCTCGGTAAGTATTTAAAATTTCCAATCTTTCTTCCTTCTAGTACCTTCCATTTTGCTGTTCCTTTCTGACCTAATGCCTGTGCTCACATATCTTTTAAATGATTCCCTCTTTTTCCCCCTCCAATCTTGAGTATTTCTATTCCATTCTCAACACAATTCCCACATTAATTAACACTGTTGCCATCGTGGTTTTATGCATACCTATTTCGATCAAAAGACGTTTGCAAATAACTGCAGATACCTGTGGAAATAATTGTTTAAAAAAAGATACAGGGTGGGGAGAAACGTACATATTGTCAAAAAATAATATGTACAGCGGGAGTGACCGATGTAGATTACAATGAGCGAATGTCGGCCTATCTGCCATCTGACATTGGAAGATCGTGTTACCGTCCTGGCGAATAGAACCCGCACATCTTTCAGGGGGCGAACATTTCAGCTCAACACGATACTTATAGCGTTCTTGTAAGTCAGAGCTGGCCAACTGGGCTTCTCGTGGCCGCAGGGGCGCCCGCCGTTGCCCGTGAGCAAAGTTTCGAGCAAGTGACATCACAGCAAGAAATGAAAGGAGGGGATCAACTGCAAAAGTACATATGTGGTGAGGCTCGCGGTCTGCACTTATACTCGCTCTGCATTCATAGAGTACCCCGCCGCGGAAACTTGCCCTTGCCCGTCAGAGCGTGCTCCCAGTTGCCCACGCGGGCAACCGGGTCGTTATAAGCGTTGCTACTCGTTATCTCTGATCTAGCTTATCTCGTACATCCACACATACTTTCGACAAAATGCGTTTCACACAAAGTAGTATTCTTCTTGTACTATGTAATAAATATTTCTATGTCCCATACTTGTTGAAATTTAATGCATGGATTCCATTCCACGCGAAATCAGACACTTTTCGAAGTAACATTTCGGATTTTGTAAAAACTTGGATATCCTGTAGCCATTAGCAATATTTAAACGTATTTTAAAAAATTCTTCAACATTTTGACAATTATTGATTCTACCAGTCGTTTAAAAAATAATGCTTTTTGTCGATAAATTATAATTGTTGAAATTGTAAATTTCTAGGTACTTGATTCAAGTATCAAATAGAAATTATTTTAGTTTTAAAGGAATTTTGTTTAATTAATTTCTTCATAACAGGGATAAATTGAACAGTTTGAGAAAAGTGAGAATATGGTCGCTAAGTAATCTTCTGAAAATAAATTTTCAGTAATGGTGATATTTTAAAATTGACTATACGAATATTACTTGAAGTTAACGATGTTGCATACATACTACAAATATTCCATTATGCGGCCTGCATAGCAAACATTTATTTTTACTTACTTGAATAATGTAGTTGCGACTTTGAATTAGATATATTTTTGTTACAAATGTTTACTTCAATGAAAACACGAAAACTATAAAGGGAAATGTCTAAAATTGCTTGAAATGATACAGGTGCCATCGCGTCTGGGTATACGACGGGATCCATGCATTGCATGCGGACTTCCGGTCTTCTTGGCGGAGAAATTGGTGGTCTCCCATGTCACTTACCATCGTACTTGTTTTCGCTGTGCCCGCTGCAACAATCAGTTAACCCTTGGTAATTATTATGAAACCGAGGAAGGCCAATTTTGCTGCGAAACGTGCCCGGACGAGGATGCTACATCGTCCGCGACACAAAAACACAACGAGGCCATAAAGTTTAGCGCGGAGAGTGAGAATAATGACATCGCGACGGACTCGAGCTATCAAGAATCTTTCGACGATGAAGAGGACGTAAACAGAGTGTTTAGTTTCAATTCCATAAAAAGCCTGGAACTTGATTCTACCATTCCTGACCTGGTTGCACAAACGTCTCGATTAAGACTGAATTTTATATCGAACCATCTGCTCTCGGAAAAAGATAAAGAAACACCTGTCGCTACAAGTTCTTTAATGGATAGCGATTCGACTGCTTTCGAGAAAGATCCCATACGTTCAGAAACTGAAGCAACAAATAGTATAGACTCGACACACCCTGTAAACGACAAATATGACGAGCTAAACAAAAGGGAGGACGAGTATAATTCTTCTAGCGCGTATTTGAAATCTGAATCTCAGCGTGGAGAAGACACGATCGATGAACCTAGTAGAGATTTCATGAGAACGAAGGACTATGTATATGACAATGTAAATAGTAACGTTAGAAAGGAGGGACGCGTATCGACCTCCACTCCAGTCCGAGCCATAGTTAAGAACGAATCTGTTAATTTAGTCGCCAGAGTGAACAATACCAAAGAGCTGTTAGGTCATTCCGATGAACGCGAGGATGACGATAGCCGTCTTTCTCTAGTTCAAAGAAGGCTGAAGCTGTTTGAATCTCAAGATAGGATAGACCACGCTGGAAGAAGAAAGAACGAACATCGAAGTATCGAAGTATCGGAGCCTAAAACTCCGAATAAGCAGGATATAAATGTAATAAACAACGGCCATAAAGATCCAAACGACTTACAAAAAACTAACGTTATAACTTCAGAAAATAATACAGTCAATAACGTTGCTGAAGGTTTATCGAAATGGAGTCAGATAAATTCCAGTAAATCGAACTCAATAACTAACGAAGCAACTGACCAAGAAACTGATCAAGAAAATTCCTTGTCGAGCAGTACTAGGAACCTCGACGCGGAGAAAGTTATAGAAGATGCAAACACTGTGGATGAATCAAAAATACCGTCATCGCCTCTTAGAGAAATGGCTCAACGCTCAATGACGATTCATACGAGTAAAGAAAATAGCGAAGATAAAGCATTTGTTCCCGTTGCGGAAGAAACTAACCAAATCCGTGCATCGAACGCTGACTTGCGTATAAACGAAAGCTATCCAAAGGATTTGAATCCCTTCAAAAGCGACGACGAAGAAGAAGAAGATATTAGTAAAAGTCAAACGAGCAGTTCTAAAGGTACTAGAGATTTAACAAATCCTTTCGACACTGAAGACATCTCGGACCTGGAGGAGGATAAAATGCAAAATGTCACGCCACCGATACCAGCCGCGAGGAGCAACATTAACGGCAACAAGAATAAACAACAGCTTCTTATGGAAATACAAACAAAACGACGCCTGATTGCGCCACAAATTAATTTGAATTCTTTTTCAAGCGACGAAGATGAACGCAATAGCGACTTGGAATGTCAAGAAGAAAGATTGAAGAATATGCCTGTTCCGAAACCGCGCACCGTTAGGTACGTTTTTGTATTAAAATATTCCATCGTTCTGACAAAGTTTCTACTGTATTACGAGCGCGAGCGCGAGATCCTGGATTCGGTGGAGGACGGTACTCGACCGGTGGTTTTAGGTCTGGGTTAGGAAAGAGAAAGGAGTTCCGGACGAACCAGGGGCTCTATATCTTGAGAGCCACGGGGTTAGATTTATAAGGAAAATGTATGGTTTCACGGACGAACCAGGGGCTCTATACCCTGGGAGCCGCTAGATGCCACGTAGGTTTTTAGGATGTTTTAGGATCTTAGTCTGTCGTAATGGTACAACTCGAGCGGTAAAGGTGTACCGGGTTCGTAAAATACCCCTAGTCTTACTGTTAATAGGGTTCAGGGTTGTATTAAGTGAATGATGCAAGTGAGGATAACTACTTGAATATATTCTAGTCGATGCTCAAGTACAATGGTCAACTAACAGAACTAGTACTGTCCTCCGCTCACTTGAAGTCCCGCGAGACGGCACAGGGGCAAGGGGAGTCGGACCGCCCATTTATCTGTCTTGCTCACTTGCTCTCAGGCAGTCCACATGTGTGTGTAACTGCCGCGACGAATAGCGAGCTAGAGACCAATGTGTGCATGGGAATACGTGTGCCCCTTCTACTTCTCCCGTATTCCTTTCGCGGGACTTCAAGTGAGCGGAGGACAGTACTATTGCTAGGTTGCCTTGACGGCGAAAGTTCTATTAATCTAATGAATAGTCACTAATAAAACCGCTAAGGTAGATACATTGCTTGATGGGGATTATGGCCCGATCTTGTCTCGAGAGTCAAAGTAACGTTGTGTCGAGAGTTTTAGAAAAACTGAGCTCCTCCAGTAAGAAAACACGGCCCTTATACAGGCTGTTCGGCCACCCCTGGGAAAAATTTGAATGGGAGATTCTAGAGGGCAAAACAAGACGAAAATCAAGAATACCAATTTGTTGATGGAGACTTCGTTAAAAAGTTATTAACAATTAAATTCAAAAATTGCAAATCGTTCTGGAAAAATTATTTTCGGTTGCAGAGGTCAATTACAATCATTTTTGGTAAATAGACATACCCCCGAAATCCTATCTACTTTCTAGAAAAAAATTCGAGAAGATGCTGAAATTTTTCGACGGAAAAAAACAATTTCAAATCGTTTTGGAAAAATTATTTTTGGTTGCAGGGGTCAATTACAATCATTTTTGGTGAATAGACATATCCCCGAAATCCTGCTCATTTTCGAGAAAAAAATTCACTACGGGCGGAACTTTAAACGTTAATAACTTTTTAACAAAGCCTCCATCGACAAATTGGTATTCTTGATTTTCGTCTTATTTTGGCCTCTAGAGTCCCCCATTAAAATTTTTCCCAGGGGTGGCCGAACACCCTGTATACTAGAAATTGAGCACTTACAGTGGCGGGGCATGGCCATATAAGGTAATCAAAATTGGGCCGAGTGTTCACATATGACATGAGTCAACCCCGTTCGGGGGGAGGGGGCTAGATCATCGGGCCAACGCCCAAGCTACCAAACGTTTCGGTCCCATACACGAATGATATGTAACAACTGTTATCATAACCCAACAAACTTGCATGAATGAAAATAAAAAAAGGATTATAATAATCTTAATCGTATGTAATAGTTACAATACTATTCCGCGCGAAATGCAATCCAAAATTGTTATATTTTCAGACATATTCAAGAAGTGGGAACGAACGAACGGAAATTGGGTCTTAGCCGAAGTAGTTTATCGACGTCGTACGGTTCTTTAACGAGTTTGGAATCAGGAGTGCCTGTTGGAACCATTTCTCGAAAAAAGAAACCGGCACCACTACCACCAAACATGAAGGAACTATCTATTTCTAATCAACGTACTCCCGTAGCCCACCAACCGCACAATAATTCTTCGGATCAAGTAATTCACCAAATATTTTTTATTTCATACTCAACCGTATTTTATTGGTTGTTTATTTTTAAATAAAAATACAAAAATAAATATATTTTTATGTTGTTAACGTTCGTACTATACAGTGATGACTTGACGGCTAGGCACGCTGATTGGCCGTAGCGTAATAGCGACGCCTGCTCTCACACGCATTGTCATTATTGGCTGAGTCGCTCACAACTATCGTCCTTCCACAAGAAGAAGGCACAGTGTGTTTACATCCCCACTCTTGCTGCACTCCGCTGATTGGCTGTCACCGATCTTCGTCACCGTTTTCGACCAATACCTGTGAGTCAGCGGACTGCAATAGGAGTGGGGATGTAAACACGGTGTGCCTTCTTCTCGTAGAAGAATGGTACAATTCCATCGCGTGGCAAAGAACGCGAACGAAACATATAGCGACAGAGTAGCATAGGACAAGACTGAGAGGCATTGACGTAACCGTACGCTCAAAATACTAGCCATGAATAGAACAAAAGTGTATCTCTCGTGGTTATGAAGACCCTACTACTATGTAGCGTGACGTCAGAGCGGGCCTCTATGGTGGGAATAAGGCGGCGCGTAGACCTTCTCTCCTTGTCCTTGCCCCGTTTAGTTTGTAGGTAACTAGCCAGCAAGTCATCTCTGGATAGTACAAATAATATATCGTTTCAAAATTAATTTTATTTCCAATAACAAGTATATTTTATTTAATGAGTAGCTTATAGTATCTAATATCTTTAATATTAGGATTCGTATCTACGCCCAACGCCTAAGGTGCGCAAAACAAAACCTGCACCACCTCCACCTATGCAAAGCAGTAGCCCGTACAATGCATCCATTAGCACAACATTGAATTTCGAAGAATCTCCAATAATCGAATCGCGTAATATGAACAAAAATCAAAATGCGTCGGAAGATAAAAAGACTAATAAGGACGAAGCAAATAGAAGCAAACAAAGCTTAATGCATATTCCGTGCGGTGACAATTTCGATTACAAATCATACATGGACAAAAGTACTCAAGGAAAATGGAAAAGAAAAAAAGGTCCGGCTCCGCCTTGCCCAATGCCGTATAAAAGAAAAGTAAGTTACTTAAAAATATATTTTATATACATTATTCTAAAAAAAAAGGTTTTATACAAAAGTTGCATTTCTCCTGCCTTTATTTTATAACATACTGCATTGAGGATCTCAGAGGTTTTTAGAACGGATTAAAATAATTATTATGCATGCTTCACAATAATATACAATTTATAAATTACTTTTTCATTAAAAACGAGAATTCATTTGAAAAAACATTTTGTTTTAAAACACTACCTACGTGTTATTGAAGTATTCTCGCGCCTAAAAGATACAATAATTCTATGATACACAAAGGACTTTTAATTTTGTTGCTTACAATAGTTCACCGAGTTTCTTATTGTTTTGTAGCAAACCGTGACAAATAGATTTCTTAATGTGTATGTCATATGTTTCAGGTAAAAATATTGTCCCTTGAGGACGTTAAATTGGAATTGGATGAAATTGAATTACAACAACAGGGCTTGGAGAAACAAGGTGTACGATTGGAACAACTAATTAGAAATAAATGCGAATCTGGACTCAGTACTGACGGTAACTATCAAGAATTTACATAATAGAAACAGGGTGTTCGGCCACCCCTGGGAAAAACTTTAATGGGAGATTCTAGAGGCCAAAATAAGACGAAAATCAAGAATATCAATTTCTTGACTGAGGCTTCGTTAAAAAGTTATTAACAATTATATTAAAAAATTTCAAATTGTTCTGGAAAAATTATTTTCGGTTATGAGGGTCAATTACAATCATTTTTGGTGAATACACATACCTCCGAAATCGTACCCACTTTCGAGAAAAAAATTCAGTACGGGTGGAACTTTAAGCGTTAATAACTTCTTAACGAAGTCTCCATCAAGAAATTGGTATTCTTGATTTTCGTCGTATTTTGGCCTCTAAAATACCCCATTAAAATTTTTCCCAGGGTTGGCCGAACACCCTGTATATACACATGTACATAAATATGAGATATATTGAGTATAGCTTTGCGTAGCAACGCTGAGAGCACCGAGGCGAATTACGCCTATAACCTCTAAAGTCCGAAGACCAATAAGTTTAAAATCCACCCACTGGTTCCATTAAACTGCCAGGTGTATGACCAAAGCCCTTTCAAAGTATCTCATATCATTGAGGATGGATACCCGTCGACTCCAAGTCGCAATTTGCCTGTAAGAATCATTATTCTCAGTTCTGGGGCTCTATACCCAGCCTATAGGAGTCCCAGGGGTCCCAACGAAGAGATGAGATCGACCTGTCATACTTAAAACGCCTCTATAGTCTCAACCTAACCCCCACGTATGAGATACATTTAGTGACCTAACCTATATTAGCCAGAGCCTCGATTGCCGGCATTGCCGTTGCCCAGCGTTCACCACAAGGAAGAGGGGTTGACACTTGCCGTGAACTCGATTTGAGTGCAATATCTCATCCTACAGATTTGAACACCACATATGAGATGCAATTGTGGTAGAAAATTACACTTTACTGCTCGCGAATCTCTCACGACAGGCGCGCCAGACTCTTGCCTCACGACTCCTGCCAAAAAGCCTCGAATCTGCCACGGCGGCATTTACAAAACTATTTACGACACAATGAGCATCAAATTATCTTTTGCAATTTTCACTTTATTTAAATTCAAAATTTTATTACTCTTATTGGAAACCCCTATATTGCGCCGCCTTCGATATACCTAATCTCTGGAAAGAATGCTGTCTAATGCGTAATCTTTTAAATATTTCAGATGTATTTCCTGGGACCGATATAGAAGAATTAGTTTTAGAATTATTTGCCCTGGTAAACGAAAAAAATGAATTGTTCAGGCGGCAAGCTGAATTAATGTTACTTCGAAGACAACAGAGATTAGAGGAAGAACATGTTGAAGTGGAATACCAAATTCGATGTTTAATGTCGCATCACGAATCTACAAAGACGGACTACGACAAACAAAAAGAGGAGGTATTAATACAAAGGTACGTACAAGTATTTTGTTAAAATACGTTTACATGTATAGAGGGCGTTTTACTAATTCTGGAAAGAAAGTGATTTTAAAATCAGAGTAATATGTAGGGTAAAAGACGTCTTCGTGTACCGAGGCTCTTTTTACCTGTAATCACCGTGATCTAGAAATCACAAGCGTATAATCTACCTCCTGGCCATTTCACACCAAAAAATAAAAACTCAAAATTACTAGCCCTCTTAACATTCTACGTATGAAGGGGCGTTATCCTGCTTGAAAACTGAATTTATTCATTCAACTGATCCAACTGGGTGCAATACTTATCCGAATTAAATACAGGTAGCCCTTCTACAACACGGCATCCTATAACACGGTTTCGCTATAACACGATTCATAAATTGCGAGAACCCACCTATCACACGGCATCTTATAACACGGTTCTGCTTTAACACTATAAGAAAATTACGAAAACCTTTGTACAACGCTGTACTTCTACAACACTGGATAACATGATTTTTGCAACATATTTAAAACGAAGGAACAATGAACTATAGTGGCTTTACATGAAAATATACAGGGTGTTTGGCCACCCCTGGGAAAAATTTTAATGGGCGATTCTAGAGGCCAAAATAGGACGAAAGTTAAGAATACCAATTTGATGATGGAGGCTTCGTTAAAAAGTTATTAACGTTTAAAGGTTCGCCCGCACTGAATTTTTTTCTAAAAAGTGGGTAGGATTTCGAGGATATGTCTAATGACCAAAAATGATTGTACTTGACCCTCGCAACCGGAAATAATGTTTCTAGAATTATTTGAAATTTTTTCTTTTCATCGAAAAATTCAGGCACCTAAGTACTTCCCTGTCGATTTTTCTAAAAAATTCGTTTTTCATTTTTAGGAATTTTATTTGACGCCCTACAGAAAAGTTGTCTAATACTTTTTTGTAGATACCCATGAGCTCTACTTTAGAAAAAAGTTTCAACGAGATACGTTCACTATTGTAGGAGTTATGGCCGTTTGAAAATTGAACCATTTTTATGGGGTTTTTCTCATTTTGCGGGGTCAAGGAACAACTTTTCGAATATTTTTGCAACTTCTACATATTCTCCACTAAAATACGCGTTGTTTGCTTTTTGTAACATTAAAATCGTCCAATTCGTTCAGAAGTTATGGCATTTTAAAGATTCGTATGAAATTTTGAGAGTGCATTTCGGTCAGGAATTTTTTTCTCGAAAATGCGAAGGATTTCGGGGATATGTGTAATGATCAAAAATGGTTGTAGTTGACTTCTGTAACTGAATATAATTTTTTAGAACGAATTGAGAAATTTTTTTCGCCGAAAAATTTCAGCACCTACCCAAATTGTTTTCTCGAAAGTGGGTAGGATCGGTGGTATGTGTATTCACAAAAAATGTTTGTAATTGACCGCCACAACCAAAAATAATGTTTCAGAATGATTTGAAATTTTTTGATTTAATTTTTTAATAATTTTTTAACGAAATCTCAGTCAAGAAATTGATATTCTTGATTTTCGTCTTATTTTGGCCTCTAGAATCTCACATTAAAATTTTTCCCAGGGGTGGTTGAACACCCTGTATAAACATATTATAATTTATTAAATTAAGGTGGCGTTAAATTAAAATAATATGCTTATGTAGAATTAAAAAAAAATATTTGTTTTTAATAAGTTTTCGGAACGTAACTCCCCTTTTTATACTGGTTCTGGGTCTCATATAACATGGTTTCACATAACACGCCATTTTATAGGAATCTATCTACCGTGTTATAGGAGGGTTACCTGTGTTTCTTTATTGTTTAAGAGTTCGTAATAAATAATATTCTTTCAATCCCACCATTTCGTAATATCGAAATTGCTGTAATATATAAACCAAAATAAGTACCACTTTATACTTATTTTAATTAACAGACTTGTGGAAATTGTCGAAAGACGGAATGAAATTGTCGAATGCTTGGAAATGGATCGTCGCAGAGAAATAGAGGAAGATAAAAGTATACATAAACACATGGATCTCTTTGCTGGTAAATAAATTTTTAACAAATGAATTTAAACTAATATGAACAAAAATTAATTATTCACTTTGTAATAGCCAAAAAAAAAAACGAGACATCAAACAACGGAACAGATGATCCCTGTTGTTCAAAAATGAAGAAAAGCAAAATAAAGAAAAAAACGAAGGAGAAAAAGTCAAATAAAATGTTCAAGAAAGATATTGATAAAGATATAGATGAGACTGAGTTGACAGCCAAACGTCATAATAAGCGGAAATGGTTTTAAGGTGCACTCCTTACTTAAGTTAAAAGCTGTGCATACACTTACACAATATCAGTCTTTAGAAAATAATTTTTCACATAACTCTTACAGTAAATGTTTTATAATATACAGTAAAATTTTGATAATCCATGTTTTATTTAAATAGAGGTCCGTTATTTTGCAATTGTAATTTAGGAAAGGCTGTGTCGATGTTTGCAATCTGTTAAACTCTTATAATGTCACTAAACATAATATATTTGATTTTATTTATTGGATTTATTAGAAAGGTGTGCCCTTTCAAATTACGCAGCACTCACTGAAAATATTTGTAGATAAAATATAAATGATTAATATAATTATTTTTCTCATTAAAAGTGTAACTTTTTTTAAGGGAATCGTCAAATTTTGATAACCTTCCTAGACGTGATTCAACATGTTCGCTGTAATATTATATTTGGTCCAAAAACACGACACATGTTTTGTGTAACCGAGGTCACATTACTTTCTTATAAAAATTCATGCAGTATGCAGTATTACAAATGTACTTAATTGGCCGACACCTTTGCTGCGTTTTTACTATTAAGGGACTAAGAATTTGAACACTAAACATTGTGGACTTATACAGTACACTTGCTAGGAAACGCAACGAGAGTCAATAATCATTTATCTTGATGTAATTTTTCATAAATAAACTACACGAAACTACTTTACAGATCAGACTTATCCGGTGAACATTTGCAGTTGTTTTTCACGATAAGAAATACTATTTGCAACCCCAATTTAACATAATTGTTCTCCGTAAGAAACAATTTCGTTCTCGCTAATTTCTCGAAAATTATATTTACATTAATTATTAATATCAATTGTCTTATATTCTGTACTTTGTTAATAAAGAAATTCTGTAAACTTTGTTTTCATCTTTATATGTAAGTATGTACTATCCTCGATTGTACCTCTGTTTAAATATTTATTATTCAGCACTCCTTACAAGGAAAGCCCACGGTTATGGAAATCGCTTTTAGTATAAGACTGGATTTAATTTTTAACACCCGTGGACTCACCTTGTAAGAATAAAATTATTGAAACATTCAGACATACAAAGAGTTTTCAATGTACTTCATTTCTTTCATTTACATTTTTGAAAATAGTTTCATGTGTTTTTAAATTTTACAACAATTTATAGAGTACAACTTTTGTCTGTATATTAAGAAACAATTCGAAATTCGCAGCCATTAGCTCGGCCTTACTCGGGAGGAAAGTATTTAGAATACTTTCGTCGCGAGTAACACCGATTACCAGGTCTCACCACTAGGAGGTTGCTGCGACTGGAGACCCGAAGGGAGATACAAGGAGTTCAAGTTACTTCGATCTCCCTTTACGATAGAACTTATTAAAGTAAGGAGATAGACGGAATTCAAGTTCTTTCGGTCTATAGATATTCTACGGTTAGGATAGAAACAGCTCAGTCCTGCCACATTGGCAAGAGTGGCAGGATAAACCGGGTTGGCTGTCCTACAGGATGACACAAGTACTCACCGGGCATGGTTGCTTTGGTGAGTACCTGTGTCGAATCGACAAGGAGGCGACGTCGGTGTGCCACCATTGTGGAGGACCCGAGGACACGGCGCAGCACACGCTGGCAGCCTGTCCAGCTGTGTCCTGGAGCAAGAAGTTGGGAGGAATCTCTTACTGACCACCATAGTGAGAAAGATGGTGGCCAGCAAGAGAACCTGGAAAATGGTGGCCTCCTTCTGTGAGGTAGTCATGTCACAGAAGGAGGCCGCCGAGCGGGGGCGTGAGTAAGCCTTGCATCCGGCTCAGAGAGGGAGGGCTCTGAGGAGGACCAGGGCGAGGCGACCTTCGCCTCCTGGCCCCCTCCAGTGGCCTTGAGGTTCGGAAGGACCTACAGAAGTGGGGCGGCCCGACAGCACCCTCCTCCGGCCACCACGTCGGTTGATTGACGGGCCGCCCCTGAGGGCTGTAGGTGCGAGCGGCCCGAGCACCGACGACAGCCCCGGGGCCGCGGGTGTCGGGTGACTTGGCGTCCGCAGCGGAGAAATCAGGGGGGGGAGGAACATATTATCATTCCCCCCAGGATGAGCCTCGACAGGCAAGGCGCGGCGGGGGACTCTGTGATGCCTCACTAGGGTTCCCAGTCCCCTGCCGCAGCGCCAGAGGACGGTCACCGTGGAGTTTTAGCCGGTAAGAGTCCGGCACTACCCCGAGCCCCCCCCCCCCTTACTAGAAGTATATCATTTTCTTCCGATGTTATGAAAACAGTCATACCAATTAAAAAAATAATGCAGAAGTAAAAATAGAAAAAGGAAACATTACATATAGATAGACAGATAAAGTTGAATTAAGACCAAACAATCGAATAAAATAAACAGGTAAATTTCGTGTTAATGATGTGAGTGGAAGGGGCTTACCACTTGTCAGCAAATAGTTACCAAGTCAGCTGTAAAATAAGAAAACATTCATAATATAACAAAAGCGGTTAGACAGTTAAATAAAGTTAAATTAGAATCAAACAATATGATTGACGAGGGAACAGGAGTATTAAATAATTCTTATCGCTAGTCACCATTGGCCGGCAAGAGTCAAAATTGATCAGCAATGGTCAACAATAGACGGTACGTCACAAATGACCACAAATAGGCCAGAAATCGCGAAACCCGATCCGCTGGACGTTCCAAGAATACTGAAGAATTTTGACATCAGCAGCTTTATTTATAACCCCTTGTTAGATAACGAGAAGGTAGAGGAATGCAACGACGAAGTTGATAGTTACTTTGATAGTTTGATCAGCAAAAACTATTTCGGTTAGTTCTACCTCATGGTCATTCTTAAATTCTCACTAGACCGCTGATACCTTGGTATCAATACCATTAGTGATAATAAACTGACCATTGTTGACCATCGAATAATTAATGACCAATTAAAGCTTTCACGAATTCGAAAATTAAAACCTCCTTTTTACAAGGAACCCCTTAAAATTTGATGCATGATTTTTTTTCAACATTTAATTCACTTTGAGGAAGTATACCTTATGTTATAAAACACGCATGTTTTGAAAGTTAAACGCGTATTTCAATAAAAACTATAGTAAATATCTTATTTTTATTTATTGCTGATTTGATTACTTAGTAACATTGTCATTGCGAATGTTGATTGCATTGCACTCGTAATTTTGTAATTAAGTTATTTTTGCAGTTACTATTGCAAATTTAAAAAAAATCATTATTTTCACAAATTTTACATGCATCTCAATTACAAAATTGAAATATATTAAACTCATAGAAACATTATAAAGAATATTCATAAAGTAAATTGAACCTTTCTACTTGAACAAGATCCATGAACTTTGAACTGAACAATAAAACAATTATTATAATACATATAAAATATAAATTTTACTTTTAATATATTCCTGTATTTGGGATTTATTATAAGATGAAAAGGGTATCTTATAAAAGTCTAAACTCATTTAGTTTTAAAACATATATACAAACTACATATTTTCCTACATAATTTTACAACATGCGAATTATAATATTTCAATTCATTCTATAAACAAATACATAAAATGAATATAATGATTTATAAAATGATTAGCTTAACCGATTTAGTATTTCACAAAACAAACAATTTTTTTGTATACCAATTGAAGTATAATTCAATGGAAATATATTGTGATTCATCAATATAAACGTTGTTACCGCACACGTATTATTTAGGTTTATTACTAGTAATAAAATGTTTGTCAATCTTAAAGAAGGAAACTTTTAGAAATTTACTATTTAGGAATATTATGCCGATAAATCAAATTGTTTGGAAACAAAAATATAACAATACCACTCACTATTCATAATTTTAAAAACAGTAGTAAATTTTATATTTTTCTTAATACAGAATTTATATGTGTACCTCGTATCATTATATCTAATATATTGAATGCTTGATTCATTTTTGTAGTTAGTTTGGTTTGAAATTTTCACTTTATTAGACTTTTCACCTTCTGTAATACAAGTCTAATCCAGATATATACAATACGTACATTACTGGAAAATTGACAGACCATGTTTATTTCTGTTACAAAAACTACTACGAGTTATGTTAATGCTTACCATGTAAAAAAGATATTAATTATAAAATAACTAACTTTAATTAATAGTAAATTACATTCCATAATTGGAGAACGTTGATTTTCTAAAAAAGTAAAAGAAATTTATCACAAAGTTTAAATTCTAATGAAGAAATTAAATCTATACTTTATTGTTACAGATTCAACATCATTACTAGTAAAAGTCCGTTTCTTAAAACTTTTATATATCCAATTCTTCCTTTTATGAAAGTATCAAAAATATCCTTTCTGGTATTCATTCCCCAACAGACAACAAAAATGAAACATTGGATTTATAATTAAATCATTAAAGTATAATTAACTTATTTAAAATAGAAGTTGCCTAATTATTATACAGGCCCTGCGACTACGATTCATTTTACCCCCTTTTCCAAAGAAGGTATAATAACCAATAACAATACACATCATGTCGCTTAACTCTAATTCGACTTCAAGATGTAGAACTAAGTAAAATTTATAAATATGGTACAATTTATAATAAGCTATAGAGTACTAATAGATTAATTACAGATACATATAAGTAATAGCACTGTGTCGTTGAATCTTATGGCGATTTTTTAAGTCCCCTGCTTATAAGTAATATAATCAAGGATTTAATTAAATGTCTGTTCTCATATTCAAATTGAGTATGTGTCATTCAGTCGGAACAACCGCGCGCACCAACCACCACAGTGGACTAGTAGCCATCTTGACTAGCTTTTTTCAAATATTTGCCGTTTCCTTCCATTTTATTCCCATCAAGGTGAGAGTCTCTGGGCCAGCAACAAGTTGCATTGTGCTCCTCCATGTTTAGTCGATAGAAATCAATCCCCAGGATGTTCAGGGCAACTACGGTTCACTTGGAACCATTTATCAATGCAACTGAAACACAATCACATTTTATTGTTTAAAAACGATCATATATTAGAGCCCTTTTACACGACGATACTTATGTGATGCACGTATGAGATACAAATCGGGAGTTTACGAGTACAACCAGTATCCGATCAAACTTGTATTATATACTAATATCGTCGTGTAAAAGGTCTCCTACGATAAACTTAATACGATAAAACAAAAGAATTTGCAATTCACCATTTACCATAATTAAAAAATTTACAGGTTTTAATGTAAACTTACTTTTTATGATATATACAAAGGCAAGGTAAACGGGCTATAACATCACCAGGTTGTAAATCTTCAAGACAGATAACACATTCGCCTTTCTCATCAGATAATACATCTTCTACAATAAAATATGAAAAATAATATGTTAATGGCTACTCGCAATAATCGCTTTAATTGTCATTCTTATAGTTTTTGTTATTAATATGAATGACCTTAATTGTTTTTAGCAATTGATATAAATACAGTTGCACTTTATTACCAGTACATTTGGTAATTATCTTTATCACGATTTATTTTTTTTTTTATTTAAATAAACTCATGCAAACTTTGTGTCAAATATTAAAATAATTTCACAGAATTCTATCCTCATTACAATAACAAATATTGCAAAAAGTATATAGAATAATAAAAGAGCTTTGTACTAGCGACGAACCCTTCAGCTGCAACAAGGTCATAAGTGAAAGCACTTGTATTACATAATATAAAAAAGTTGCTTTTTGGTACAGACATGTGGCACAAAGTTTTGATTGTTGCGAAAGTCAGAATACTTGCAAACTTTTATTTGTACAGTAATGTGGACAAAGCTATTTAAATCAGAATGAAATGTTTGAGCAATATTAACATCATATGTGTTGTTGTAAACAGCTTAACATGTTCGCGACAGGCTTAAATTTGTACTATGTACCACCAGTGGTTCAGCCCATCATGAACGTGTTAATGACTAAGTAAAATATTAAACATGACAAGTTGAATGTAATTTCTGGGTCCCATTATAAACCATTTGCAGCGACAGTGTTAAAAGATATAAAGAAATATATTCATAAGATACTACAATAAACTAAATACTTGTGTATTGCGTTAATTTCGAATTTTTGAAAAACTTAAAAATTCACGTATTTTTAATGTTATTTACACAAATACGCTGGAACCAATATACACCATTATAAACAAATTTTTTACAATAGTTAAGCCTCTGAATTCTTTTCTCAATAAACAACTCTTTATTATAGTCATGGCTCTTATCAAAGAAAAAAAATATCTTATAACAACTAAAGTCTCTATACCTTTTAAAAATTATGTAACAAAAGATTATACAAACACATTTTAATACTTTATCAGCCAGTAACCTATTAATTGACTTTACGATTGCCAATTTTTATCGACCAATAGCCTATTAATAGGTTTTTGGTTGTCAATGGTTTTCATCCAATGGGATTTACTGTTAAGTTTGTTAGTTATACAGCTAAACTGGTTTTTACTAAGTGGCAACCTCACCACTACCGGCAGATAAAGTGTTAACAATTAAAATTGATTACAAATATAAACAAAATGTTGAAATATCATATTATATTGAAAATCAAATTATTTTTTTAAAAAGTAAGGATACATTCACAATAAATTAATTAAAATGACCACATCGTACAATTCATTTTTATACTTGCCAAAAACAAATTAATAAGCATTTATCATTTTATAGAAATGCACAATTTTTTAATATCATTTTCAAGTATAACAATATGATTTTAATCAAACAATAGTACAAAATATAAACTCACCATTGTAACTAAGACGTGGTTTGGTCAGGCACATGACCAGGTGACATTCTATATCATCCGGTAGAATAAATTTGGAGCAAACAGGACACTTCAGACCTTAAAAGTAAAGTAAGTGAATTATCTATGAATAATTACAAACACTTAGACATAAAGATAAATGTCAATAGGTTAACAGAAACTGTACCATAAAAAATTCTTCTCACTTGATTTACTTGAACAACCTCAGTCTCAGACTCATTCAAACACGAACTTATTATAATTCCCATAATAATTTCGACATAACTTTAACTTATCCATTCCAGATAATGATTTTTAACATCATAAAACCCTCACTTCCCTAAATTAAGCTTTTTTTGTAGTCGTAATTTAAAATTTACGCAACTACGTTAAATCACAATTGATTTACATGCAGTTACCAGGACAACTACTTCGACAACACACGCCAACGAATGTCCCCTACTTTGTTTGCAATTAATTTAAAACCGTTGTACAAAACGTTAAGATCGCAACATAACCTTGTTTTTGTTTCTTTCTTCGACTAATATAACCATAATTTAAAAAATATTTTTATACTTTAAAATAATTCATGAATGCAATTAAGTTGACAACATACGGTGATTATTACGAAAATACCAATATAATATATTATTAGAAATTAGCGATAAGCATTTAACAATTTAATTCTGAAACTACTATTTGTGTCTGATGATAAAGTATTGAAAATGATGATCTAATTATATATATGTGCACGCTTACATACACATAACGTGTTACATAATCATTGATAAAATTCATGATATCACTACATTGAAAATAATATAATATTATATATAAAAAAAAATATATATATATATTTAACTCAGAACATCCAAATATTTTAATTGCTTATTAACATGTAAAAAATTGTTTAGAACAAAGTTAAACTATTTAAAGAAATAAACAGCAATAGGGATTAAATTCTGAAGGTCATTTGCCTTGGAGATTCCAAGGTCATAAATATATATTTTTATATATAACAAAGAGTCAAATTCAATGATTTGTAACAATATATTATCCCAATGATCTAATTTAATAATATTCACAGTAATATTTCCATAGTTATTGGATTCATATATAGATGTAATCATTGCATAAAGTTTATTTTGATATGAACTATTTTCTCTTATTGTAATCAAGAAAAATTCAAAAAACAAAAACATACTGTATTTTTTCATCAAACTTCATTAAAAACGTTTGAAAATATTTTTCTACATATAAAATGCACATAGTTTCAACATGATAGTTACCCAGTACACTGTTCTAGAATTATAAGAACAATATTGGATACATTTTTATTTTTGAAATATACTAAAGAGAATTGTATACGTTGAAAAACTTACAATGTTAAAACATACAAAACAACGAATTATTATGGTCTTGTACTTCAATTATGTCAGTATTTATGGGAGTGAAAAATTTCTGTACACATATGAATATGTACGTATACAACTTTAGTTTTGCACTGATGTTAATGATCAACAATTTGATCACCTATTATAGTTTCAAAATGTGTTAACACACTATTAACTGATTTCGAGCAAAACTGATCTGCATTAGACGATCGATAGCAAAGCAGTTTTTAACTTGATTTTTATCAGTCTGTTTATGAATAGATACTGATACACTTTATAATATTTCATAAAATTAGAAAGGTTGTAACAACAATCTATTTACACGATCCTGTATTTACCATGTCTAATCTCTAAATGTTAATAAAACCTAAATATATTGAGATTAGATTAAAATTGTATATTATTAGAGGTTATTAAATTTGTCTTTCAATCCTTTTTAAATTACGTGAAAAGGATATATAAGTTCACTTAAAGAAATACAGATGACCTTGAAATGTTGAACCAAATCAACAGAAGAAAAATATTTTTTGTTAACTCTAAGTTTGTTACTTTCCCTACCTTGAATAGAAATCACATACAAGGCATGCATATACGTGTTAATAACTTTCTTGATATTGCTACATATTGTCAATGGACAAATAAACTTACCATTAAGGGACCAAATATGAGAAGGCAAGCTATGGGTAGCATAAACCCGTCCAGTATCTTCATCTGCATCATCTGAATCAAGTTGGGGTAGACCAAGTGCTTGACCAACTCCGACTCCAACAGAAGAAGCAAGACTGCTTTGTTCTCCGGAAGAAAGATCAGGCACTGAACTCAAAGAGCGAGCACGCTGTCTACTATCTCCGGATACTCGAGAAGTTTGTGATTGATTACCCTGCTGATGTTGGTGCTGCAACATACTAACAGCTCCAGGCAGAAAGCGAAGCACAGACAAACTTGGCATGGTAGTTTCATTTGCTTCAGTAGAGGATTGTCCATTACCTCCAGCAGATTGTGCCACAGTGCTTGCTTTAGCTCCCATCCCAATTTTAAGTAATGACAATGTTTATATTTCAATTCTTCCGAAAGTGTTTTAGTTAAATATGAAAACTGTACCTCGTAATCACAAAAAAAACAAGTATTCTAAATACTGGTCTTGGCAATGATACACGCACTGACACAGTTTTTTCCAAATAGTCTTAGTGTTTCTGTTTTTAGTGTTGAAAAGGATAATCGAAATTGTAAATCTTAATGTCAGCAATATTATAATACTTTAATATTTAATGTAGGCCGGAATTTTGCAGACATGCACCACAATAAGCAAGTCATATCGTCCGAAAGCATACTAGCGATTTGTCACGCAAAACACCCCCCGACATCTTGTGAGAAACTTCCTAGAAGTTAATAATCAGCTACTAGATATTTCTTTAACCTCAGTGCCTTGGATTTTGGCCGTGTGAGAGGAAAGTCACCAAAATCCCGCTGCCCTTTTATTGGAGCCACTAGTCAGAGGGGCGCGAATTTCGTTCTCGATTGTGATTAGCGGGAGTCAAAAATACCAAATCATATCTCTATCTTATATTACAAGATTAAACAGAGCTTTCTGTGCGTGTACAGCCCGAGGACGTCAAAACAACGATATATCGACCCACAGACCACAGCCAAGCTGAGCCAACTCCAAACCCAGCCATGCTGAACGAGAAACAGTAAAATCGCAAGAGTCTGATTTTGCACTTGATAGACAGAGCACGCAGCATGTGTGTATCTCTCTCTATCTAGTACAAAATCGGACTCTCACTCAGCATGGCTCGTATTATAAATTACACCCTATATATTTATAGAGTCAACTATGGCAGGACGTATCAAAATTATGTATAAAAACTATTACAGCTAGATTCCAGAGTTGGTCAAATTTTATTCACGAATAACAAATACAAATTTTAGATCCATTTGTAAATTAACTTCCCTTTTCGTTTAATTCGTAAATTTATTTACGAATAAAAATTTATTAGCAGACTTTTTAACCCGTTATTTAAGCAAACAAAACCTACGCAAAAGCTAGGTATGAATAAATCTAAAATTTTCATTCGTTATTCCTGACTAATATTTGTCCGTTATTCCTGATTGAAAACATTTTGTACATATTCTCAAAGGTTGATCAGTCTGTTTTTTAGTTAAGCACAATTTAAATTGTTTTACATCATCTTATTTGTAATTTCTTTAGCACTATTTTATTTGAAGGTACTATACATACTCAATATATTTTCTCGTAAATCTTAATTATTCGCTAATTCTAAAATTGTAAATATCTTCATTTATTTTTGCATTTTGTTAACTTTTGTCATGATTTGAAAATACATTGTTAACAATAGCTAAATTTTGAGATTTCGAACGAAAATCATTTTACAGTGTTGCCCATCTTGTAAGTGGAATGTCTATGTAGTTGCCCATGCTTTTTGAATGGGAGGTATTTCTTACGAACCGTATGAAAGTAATTGATCTGTTCGTTTCGTTCTACTGCAGTTAAATCGAAATTCTTTCTTTTCAAAGTAAAAGTAATAAAAATGGCTGCGTGGAGACAAGCAGGATTGAAGTAAGAAAATTCTACAAAACGTTTTTGCTAATATTGCATACTAATATTATTAACAAAATGTTATATAACTTACGTACTTCCAAACAGCGAAATTTCTATACACCTATCTAATACAGTATTTTATATTTTAGTTACATCAATTATTCGCAAATAGCTGCAAGACTTGTTAGACAAGCTCTAAAACCCGAATTAAGGCCAGAGGCTCTAAAACGCGATGAAGCAAACGTAAGATTTACAAAGTGGGAAAATGGTAAACCTGTCAGTAAGTATATTAATAAATAATATTATTTAATTAATTTATCTATAATTTTTACATATGCAATATGAAATAAATAAAAGAATCATTACTATGCAAAACGAATATCCTAGGCCATGCTCTTAATATATCATAAACTCAAAAATTCAGAAAATTTTGAAAAATTGTGTGCAAGTAGTTTATCCATAACACAGAACCATTTTTCATTTGTGCATAATTCCAATTTGAGAAGGTGAACTAATTAAGGAGGTAGATACTACTCATCATTGATCTAGTTAATGGTTTATATAGAGATAATTTGTGTAACTATATTTTAACTGTACTTTATTAAGAGATTTAAAATATAATAGAAAGTATCAATTTTTACCCAAGTATATATACACAGAACACCGGGAACGATTTGTTCTCGATTTTAAAAGAGAGACAGTGTAACAGTGTTATATTAGGTGTATCCATGCATCTGTAGAAAGAGGTCATGAAAATTTGGGCCACAAGATAGCATTCAAATTTTTCTACTATTTTTTCAACAAAAGAAGGAATACAACTTATCCACGCCATAAATTACTTACTATATACAACAATATTTTTATTACAGCTGAAAGACAATAGTGACAACAATTTGTAAGTCTATAATCATGTTCAGTGACTGTTTGAAATCTATGTAAAATTAACTGTTTTTGAAATAATGCATGGATTACCACTTATAAATGCAAAGATGCATAAATAATAAGTAACCATTTCTTTGCTGTGTGACATGAAACTAAAATCATGAAAAAATTTAAGTGATATTAAATGACATACAAAAGACTGTAGTTATTTATATTTCTATATACTTATATATATAGAAATATAATTAACATAAGGAACGAAGAAAATCAAAAGTATTGTATTGTTGGTTTTAACATGCAGTTATTCCTAAATAACCATATTTTTCTCTAGACTATTGCTCTGAATATTAAAAACACCAGTTTTTAAAATATTCATTAATTACCCAGGCGTGCAATATTTATTTATATCACTAAAAAATGTTAAAGAAATAAAAGTTTTTGTTTTTATGCCAAAGTATGTCTATAAAACTAACAATTCGAAGATATTTAACGGTATAATATACCATTAAAGTGTTAGAGTGGTTTATTTTTATTTATTAACAAATTCACAAAATTAAGTGATTCACATAAATTACATTGCGTCAATAGTAACTGTTTTTGTTGCAGAAAAAGTATAAACCATATCACAGATGAGTGGAAGTCATCCTTTTCTAAGATATGTGACCACATAAGTTATACATGGCAGAAGAGATAGGAGTTTAATGAAATAGTCATTTATGTATGGTAATTCCTCAATATGTTCATCTGAAGTAAAGATATCTTTTGCGAAGTTACAAGATTCTTTTTCATTCAACCTACCTTTATTAATTGTTGAAACATCATCTCACAGTAGGACAATGTGCTTTACAATGTACTAAAGAATATTTAATTTCAATATTATATATAATTTTTGTAAACACTATCAATAAATTAATCAATAAACTCACCAATAAATTCTGAAACAAGATCATTATCGCTATCCCCGCGCATTGTACCTGTGATTTCTTCATCTTCTACCATAGGCAGAAATAAGTGAACAAATTCAGCAGTATACGGCGGGGCAATTGCTTCTAATACCTAGTAATATAAACATATTTTTATAGCTCAAATAATTTAATAAATTTACATCAATTTAAAAACTAATTGTACAATACCTCTGTAACGAAATATCTAATTAAAGATACGTCCGTATCGCCACGTTGCCAACATTGTTTGATGTAACATACCACTGGTACTACACAACCTCTACTTAATAAATTTACCATTCTATCAATCAACATTTTTTTCATTTCCAACTGTGCACCGAAAAAAACATGCAATTAGCTATTAATTATTATTACCTAGTCATTTGTTTTTAAATAAGAAGTATTATATCGTACCAAAAGTGAAAAATGAAAAAAAAAAAACAGCTGAGAATTAAATGTTCTGCTGAATTTTAGGCCATTACTTAAATTTTAGTTTTTGTAACTTTTTTTATTTTTCCCCCGTATACTTTCATAGTAAAGTATGTCTTTAAATCTAATTTGTTTCCCACTGTGAGTTTTCATATGTAATTTTTTAAGAATTCTAACGCGTTGAAAACTTAACTTATGAAATTAATCTTTTTTACTTAAAAGCTGTCAGCTGTTCATACCTGTACAAGTATCTCTAGTTCATCCTGTTTACTTTCAAATAAATATACAAGAAGTTGTAATACTTTTGGATGTAATAAGGAATGACACACTACAACTTCGTCAAGTAATGCGAGATGCACGGGACAATGTTCTGTGCATAATTTGAAATACGATGGTTCTGTTACGGTACATTCTACCCATCTAATTACCCCAACACTTACAACAGGAAATCTAAATAAAAGTATTACATTATGACTTTTCTTTCATGTTACGATTATGCAGTAATAATAATATAGCAACAGCACTGATAGTATAATGTACACGAATCATACCTTATACATTGGTACAAAGTATGTAATTCGGCTATCAATTCAGTAGATCCTTTATTAATGTTACAAATACTATGAACTTTTTCTATGGCTTGAATAGTGGTTTTTAATTCATCTTTATTTAATTTACGCGAATGTCCTTTTTTAGCTGGAATATCACATACACTAGCTGCATAAGCTAGTAAATATATATATTTTGACTTATGTTCGGGATTAATTTTCACACCGGGTTTAAAAAGTGCATCAACCAATAATTCTGCAATTGATTAATAAATTAAAAACTCGTACGCTCTTACTACATTTTTAAGAATAATAATATTACAACATTATAAATATATGCATATTATTACCTAAAAATTGTGGATTACGTAGTAATTCTATAGGGGGTGGCTCTACTGTAGAATAATTTCGAAACAGTACGCTAATATCAGCAGGATTTAAAGTGTTTCGAGATAACATAGATGCCAATGCTTGACATGCACTGGGACTACTTGAAGCCCCATTAAGTGCCATTGTAATTGGAGTAACGTCATGATGACTAAAAATGTACAAGTAAATATTTAAATGTAAAAGTCCAATATCTTAGTTTCTTTTGATAATTCATAAAAATGCTTCAGGGAGAAATTGTTTAGTCACTCAGAAACAAGTATTATGATAGTAAATTACTTATTTGAAGATCATTTTTTTCAACATTTGTAAGTGATGGGTATTTTTGAAGAAAACTACATTTTTGTGTGTTTGATGTTACTGCAGAAATGAAAATAAATTCTGTCAATCATATTTGCTTCTCTTTAGAGACATTTTCGTATTATCAAAAGAAATTGAGCTTTTTAATGTGATTATATTACGTGCCTTTTCACTTTGTGTAATATTAATTAATATATAAAACTATGTTTTCTTACTTTTGTTGAGCACATTTCGTAATTTCTTGGGAAAGCCTTTTCATCATAAAACCGCCACGAGATTCTTGAGCAAGGATTTGTAATAATACTTGACTATAAACATAAGTGTGTTGCCCATGACATACCATTTTCTATTAATAGAAAAATTATATGTAAATATTATAACGTTGAATATTTTAATTTAAAGTTAAGAAAACTTTTTCTTTATATACTCTCATCTAGTACTCAAATACTATTGCAAATCTCAATAATTAATTATCATCCTTGAGCGACCCTTTTTTATGTTAACGTATTTTACAGTTTTATGTAATTAAGCTCATTGCTTCAAAAAGATTAAATTGAAATATTTTAAACATATTAATATTACTAACCGCACATTCCTGTATACTTGACTGCCAATCTTCCGTATTTTGTAAAAAACCAGCAATCGCAGTTTTTAAAACACGAGAAAATACTTCAATTTGTTGTGCTGCCGTTGAAATACTTGTAATTTCACCTTGAAATCCAGCATCGGATATAAGCTAAAAAAAAGAAATAGAAATAAGAAGTTTGAAAACAAAAACTGATATCCTATACATATATTTAAATCTTGAAATGTACTATCACCTTTATAGTAAAATTCAACATTAAACAATCCGGATATTCTTCCGCGAGTCTATAAATAAGAGATCTCCAAGTGGGATGTTGAATCATTTCTGTTAACCAGGCAGGCGTCTAATATGAAACACATTGAATTTCAAACGTATATTAAACGATAATTTTGAATCTAACATCAAAGTTATTCAGAGTTCAGTGTACAAAAAACATACTTCACCCTCCTCTGTAAAAATTTTATCTGCCTTTTTAGGATCAAATGTTTTCAGTATCATGTCTTTTAAATTATTTTCCACCATTGCTTGAACGTCTGAAACTTTAACTCCAGCAAGAATGAGCCATTCTGCAAGGAGATTTGCCATTTGCGCACAGGCAGTGTAATTTTTGGATAATAGTTCAATTACTTGCTCAGGATTTCCACCAGCTTGAAAATATCTATAAAATAGCAAAGAATAATTATATAAAATATTATTATAACATACGTAATAGATTTCTTGGAAGCTTAGTACCATTTTGGAATTATGAATTTTAATGACAGTTTATAGAGCTCTTATATCCGAGAATGGTACGCGCGACACCTTTTCGTCAATCGCACATTCCCATGATTCGCGTTATTGCTCAGGTTACGTCGGTTAACGGCAGAGAAGATGTCATTCCTTGTCCACGCCGTCGAAGTTCATTCCTCGGTCGTTACAGAAGGGAAGTGCAGATTCTCCACCGGGTAGATACATAAATAAAGATGACAACGAATGTTTTACGTGTTTTTCCCCTTGACCAGAAACAGTTCTTATAAAATAAGGGCTGTTGTAATAAATTCCAAAATAAAGGAAATATTGAAACGAAGTAATTCATCGAGGAAGCGTATCAACCATTAGCTGAGAACAAGATGGAGTATGCTAACACTTAATAACTTCAATGCATTGAAGTTCTGAATAACATTAGCTATATCACTAATATGCTCAATAAGTACATATATCTCTATGTACACTCGCACTGTCATTACCTTGCATCGTAGATTAATAAAATTAAAGAACTCGTCGAACGTTAAGTTCACATAAGTAAAATCTGGAGAAGGTACAAGAATCAAGATTGCAAACATACAAAATACATGTGAAGGATGTAAAGAATTACAAGAGAAACGTGCCCAGAACTTAAAATATCATAGTCAAGTGTGGTAACACAGTTGTACTGATTGAGGCATATCTCAGTCCTATGCCCAGGAAAGCTGTGTTTTTTAAGCTTTTGAGGCAGATACAGACATGTTCAATAAATTCGAATTAATGTCTTTACTACTAGGTGGCAGTAGTTAGTTAAATTATATTTGGGAGCAGAGGTCGGTTCTGTCTGATAGACTGACTGATTTTAGTGATCAACTTCACACACGATGCAGGCATTACCCAAGAGAAGATATGCAGACGGTTCGATGACACTTGTTGCCATGGTCTGTTTGTCAAGTTACACACTCGTCGGCGACTTATATGGTGGTCTTTCAACCGCAACTCTTTTAAGAGTGAAACTATGCAACATCCTACATTACTACAGTCTCAGGTCTAGTTCCTGGATAAGTTTGGAGTAATATAAACCTAGACCAGAAAGGAAAGACCCAAATGGAAATATCCTTACTTACAATAATACTTGGCGTTACGATGGTATCATTTAAGTACCATAGAGAGATGACTTGTTGGCTAGGCATCTACAAAGTAAACGGGGCAAGGGTAAGGAGAGAAGGTCTTCGCGCCGCCCTATTTCCACTAGAGAGGTCCGCTTTGACGTCACGCTGCATAGTAGTAGGGTCTCCATAACCATGAGAGATACATGTTTGTTCTATTCATGGTTAGTATTTTAGTCTTGTCCTATCCTACTCTGTCGCTATACGTTTCGTTCACGTCCTTTGTCACGCGATGGAATTGTAGTTGTGGGTGACTCAACCAATAATGACAATCCTAGCCATCAAGTCATCTCTCTATTATACCACTTTGTGATGATACAAAGAATGTTAAGAGGGCTAAGTAATTCTAAGTATAAACTTCTTTGCGGTGAAGTAACCAGGGGATAGATTACACGCTTATGATCTCTGGACCACGTGTCCTCAGTACACCAGGCATCGACACGCAAAGCACATTAATTGTAAAACACTTGATTTTAGCTGTAATTGTTAAATTCGTCTGTCCAGCATTCCATTTTGGTCAAGAGAGGGGCTTGAATCCCATGAAGTGATGTGCAGAACAAACCATTTCTTGACGACCCCACATCAAAATTTAACAAAATGTAATCTGATTACATTTGTCATTATACAATGACATGTAATCATCCAATAATAAATGTCTAGTTGCAGTGTAATCATAATTGTATGTTTTTAAAGCCTATAATAATTGTTTAATTATCATGTGATTATCACGTAATTACAGTGTGATTACATATAATCATATTGTAATAAATGTAATCAGATTATATTTTGCACAACCAAACAAATCCAAAGTCAACAAATTGATTGAGCAATTGCTAACCATCCTTGTTAAAAGATACAAACATACGAACTTTCAGATAACATAAATTATATTGTTTTAAAGCTATATTGTACCTTTTAAGTTGCATGAAGATGCCAGGTTCCATAATATAATCAGGTGTTTTAAACTTGTCTAAACATTCATTTAATATTTCTTGAGGATTATCAAAGCTATCTTCTCCACCGCAGTCTTCAGTTGTTCTGGCCATTTCATCAGTCCAACCACCATGATTTTCATCATAATCGGATTCCATTATTTCTGAAAATAATTCATCAATTGTGAAAATTTTTTTAATTAAATAAATAAGCAATACAAGAATATCTAATACAACAAAAATTAAATTCAATTTCTTCACGTTATAATGAACAGCGACTTGCTTCTCTTTACAAGTTGTACGACTTCATTGTATGGTTTGCCTTCTTGATGTCACTTCACTATTAACTTTCTTAATGATTTGCTTGTTTCGAATTTCTTGTGATTCATTTTGTTATATCGTTAATAACGAAAATTATAATAGAAATTTTGAATACTGTTTGCTTCCGAGTAATTACCAATTAACTGAGCAATATTTGTTTACATTCTGTGATATTGAGGTTTACATTCACTGATAAACTTTAACTAACAGAGTTCAAATACATTTGCGAGTTACTTCTAGTACGTGTTTACAATAAATGTATTGTAATAAGGATTCTGGTTATACTATATATATATATATATATTGTTTATTATTTTCTAATTTCGCTTATGTAGTCTTATCATCCCTTGTTATATGTATCATATTATATCAAATGCTTTAGTTACACATGCATATTTTATTAATTAGATGTTATAAACGTAAGCGTTCAAATACTTTCGTGAACGAATGTAGATCATACAATTAGATTAGGTTATAATTTCATAATATTCTATGACAAAAATTACTTACTTTTATCGATTTATTACCTAGATTAAAATAACGATTAATCGTTTCTGTGTATTTTATAAACAATGTATATAATCACGTACAATGTCAACAAAATTATATAGCATTAAAAGCTCAAAGAATGCCTTTGACGGAAAAACATACATTGTATCCAGTACACTTGTTAAAGGATTCTGGTCATACTATACAGACACACTGAAGAGTAAGGCTGCTTTCAATTGGTAAGATTAGATCTATGACACGTATTCTACCAATCAGAAGGTTTGCATCTTCCGTGCAACTGTAATGTGAACAGGATTGGTGCTGAACTTAGTAACTTTCTTTCAGAAAAACTAGAATCACTTTGGCTTACGACGCTTATGTTTAGTGATGAAATTTGGAACGTTTGAATCGTTTTGAATCTATAAAATGGTGGAAACATCGAATTATTTTAAATGTGATTTAAAGCCTTAGAAGTCTTGAAAATTCAGATTGTCTTGAAAGTTTTATAGTTCCTGAGAAGTTCGATAATCAATACAGTTTGAAAGTTTTATTTGTTTATTAAATAAGTATTCAATATCTTATATACGTTGGTACATAATGTATTTGTATTGCTTTTGTTCATGCAATTTTATTAACATTCAATATGAAAGAAAATTTAGCAAGATATAGTTATTATTAATATACTTTCTTTTACTTAAGACTCTAGACTATAACCTAGAATATTTTATCTCCCTTTAGTATAATACATATTAAAAAGCGTAATTGTCTATTACTTTTCTTATCGTGCTTTTTATTGAAGTGCCCCTAAGAAAAGGCAACCCAATGCTCGCATGAATTGCAATTTTACAATCAGTGACCTTCCCCCACCAACGTACTTTAAAGTTGCGGAAATCTGCAAAATTGAAATTATAGTATATAATTACCAATGTGTGATATGAATCGATTCTAAAATCGATTTACATTTTAGAACAAAATAAACAATGTATTAATTTTTAATATATTATTTAAATAAATGAATTTATCTAGAAACTACTTACGTAATTAAATTTGTCGCCAGAAAAGATAAAATTTCATCGAAAACGGCGACTCAGTAACAATTTGTCACATGTTCCTCTGTTTGATTTTATACCATCAGTTAGAGGACAATGCAGCCTTTAAAATAATCTCACGAAAATGTGATAACGAATATGTTTATGATTTTAGATGATTTATAGATTCTAGTAGATGGGAGATCGGTCAATTACGATTAGATTCATGAATTTAAGCAGATATGAGAGAGGCGATACTCGCTTTATGAATTTATATAAATCCGACAATGGATAATTAGTTTAGCAAATTATTATTAGCCAAATAAGGTATTTTCAAACGCGAAATCCAACTTGATTTGAATATGCAATCTGAGTTTATTTCTTTTCAAGAAGTTTTACACAATAGACTTTTTGTGACATTTTTTTCTACTTCATGCTTTTGCATACATACCTTTAATCCATCTTACATAATAATATATGCACTAGCAAAAGAAAATTTTCCTGGAGGAATTGAAATTAAATCAATTTTTATAGAAATAAAAATCGATTTAGTATAAAAATCATAGAAATATCGTTCGCACTAAATACACATTTGTAATAATTATTTGGATGTAAAAATAAATTTTGTCTGTTAAATATTAGATCTTTATCAAATACGAATAATGAATATGTATATATAATAATACTATGTATATAATATTACAATGTTATCTACAACATCACTTGCTTATTAGGTAACAAGCTTTATGAAATTATAAATGTTCAATCCAATTGGATAATTATAGAATTTGAAAACGGATCATTGTGTGAATTGCGGCAATTCAATTGCCTATTGTGCGCCATACTACGTTATCTGTTTGCTATAGGCTACAGGGATATTCATTCCTACCTTTACTGACAACGAGTGACATAACCTAACCTATGCACCTACGCACAGTCATGTATTAATATCTCCACTGCTTTGTAAATAAATGAATACAGTAAGCAGGTTGTTACGGAAAATTCACAGAACGGGTCTTGAGATCTCTTGTAAATTCTTCCGTCGTGAAGCTAAGGTAATTATTTATTGCTCGATTCTTATTTCTTTTTTATTATTTATTATGTGTGATTTTGCATTGCGCAATTAGATTAATAATTCTTTTTCTTCAATTATTTTTATAGTTTTGTGACATTGTTTATAAAAAGTGTGCACAATACAAATTTACTGTCTAAATTCTCAATTCCGTATTTATTGTTTTACTTCGAATGCTGTATATGTTTTCGGTTTTATCATTCATATTTGACGCTTGTTTTATGTATATAAATGCATAGTTATTTCGGTAATTTACACAAATTTTCAAGGTTTTATCATTATAATATTTTTGCGCAATACTTCACACTACAAATAAATTTTTCATTATCTACAATTAAATTAAAATGTAAAACAAGAATTATAATATATGACGGTTATGGTCCTATAATTCTATTCTAAAACTATATAATATGAAATTGAATACTAATCATAAAACTATACGAAAAGATATCTTAACAATATTATGCACACACAGAATTGTAAACTTTTGATTGATTTTTAAATCAGAATATGATATTTCTTCTGTAAGTAGTTAAAATCATCTTTTTATATTTTTGAATATATTTGTAATGTTCTGCAACTGTAAAATTGGGTTAAAAGTGTTTTAGGGTAATATGTTTATATAAAACTAATATTTATTAATATTTATAAATAACTTGTTCTGTATAATAGAATTTAAAATAATAATTGTTTTTACGACAACATTATCTTTGGGTAATTAATATCGTATAGATTTTAATTCTTATCGTGTAGTATTATGTAATCAAGTAATTACGTACGTGTGTTTTTTTAAACTGTTAGTGATTTTAATTATAAAAAGGATGGTATACAATAAATATTATATACATATTGAGTTACTTAGAAAGTTTATGTTGATTTGCATTAGGTGTTGATATGGTTGTTTGAAAATTGAAATTCTTAAAGGTTTTAGTAATTAATTTTAACACTTAATGCATTTGGTTAATAATTAATGGAAATGTATTAGTAAAATATATTCTGATATGTGGTGATACTAGTGAAATAATATGTGCAAATTTAGTTTTAAGTTATTAAATATTCTGCTTTGCTAGCAGCATTTCCTTGGTAATTATCAGATAAAGACATTAATTAAATATAAGCAAAACTATATGATAAGACAGCAAACAATGTTATTTGTTATCTCTGTTAACATTTATCATGTTTAAGTGTTCTATGATTTCATTACAAATGGTTTGTTGATCTGTATTTTTTTTGCAATTTATTACATATATGAAAATTATCATTACTCAAACAAGTGAGTATAGGTAATAAAAAATGGATAATTTACTACAATGTCAAATAAAAAGAGACCACAGTTAACACGTTCGTTGCGGAAAAGATAGATTTACCTTCATATGCGTTGATTTTTTGGTGAGAATGTATTTGCTTTCTGAGACCTATTATTTTTAAGTCATATTCAATTAATGTATAACTATCGAGCAGTGTTATTTGTTTATGAGTAACTGGTTCAGGATAATCTTAAATAGAAATTTAAATGAAGAAAAATTTTATTTGAGGTAAGCAATATTTAATTTTTATCTATTATTATGAACATCTTGTAATATTTATCATTAATGATTATAAGATAATTTGTACTCTTATTTCATGGGATTTAAAATTTTTTACAGCTTTTACAGAGGAATTTTTTCCTGTCGAATATTTTTTGCCAGAAATTTGTCTGTAACTTGTGGGTAAGATTTCTTATTAGTTTTTTTATTGCATATTTTTATTTTGTATTATACGTATTTTATAATATTTATCAATAATGACTATATAATAATTTAGATCAAATCGGAAGTGAGTACCTGCTGCCCGAGTTATGATAGAGAACAGGAAACTTCTTGAAAACTGTTTTAAAATTGACTACAAAAATGCTGAGTACAAGTCAACATAGAATAGGACTTTGTTTATATTTTTTAATTTTTAATACTGTTGTTTAGATGTAACTATCATTACTAAAAAAAATTTATAATATATATTGTTATTTTTATGAATAAATAATGTATTAATTGCATACTTTTTCTTTTTTATTTATCCCTTATTTAATGATAATATAAACAAATTTTATATCATAAAATTATTGATACCCTAGTGGGTTGCATTGTTTAAATTAGTATTAAAGGATTAAATAATTTTCATTCCTTTCCGTCTTTGGGAGGATGTAAATTTACTTCCTCAAAGGGAATGGTTAAAATCATTTTTTTATTTTGCAAATATATTCATTACTGGGTTCATTATATGAAAATAACTACCGTGGCAAATGAAAATTAAAGAAAAGTCAACCGATTCCGAAGAAAAATTCATCTTTCATTTCGCAACGAACGTGTTAAGCATCATGTATTATTACTGATCACTTTTAAAGTTGGCTTGCATCTACAGCTATTTATGTTCTACATTTCATGGATTTGGAAAAGGAGTATATATTATCAAATTTTTCTAAAAAATGGAACCATTAATATGGAGAAATAATGTTAACAATTCAGTTAGCTGAAGTCATTGAAAACAGCAGTAATTGAAGAAAGGCATCCAGAATTATCTAGCAGGTAAGGTGTAATATTTTATAACACTGCTAGGTAATACATTCAAATGACTGCCATCTTATTCTATTCCACTTAAAAACCACACTTTACAATTTTAAATTACCATGTCTTTACAAACTATATAATGACAAATTTTAATATTATTTAAGAAAACTGAACTTGTTTAAAGACAAAATTCTCTAGACGAAACATTTATGATTTTTGTCTATTGGTCGAAGAATTAATAAAAATCTGCATAAACTTTCAGAGTAACTTAATTATTTTTATATTAACAGAATAATCATTATTCTTACGAATTAACATTTTAAGATAATATCATTAAAGTAACACAAGTACATAATTACAATATTTAACTATGCAATTTCAAGTGGTATTTCTTCCAATAACAAATTCAACCGTGTGTTTATGAAATTAATTATTTCATTCCAAATTAAATATTTTTTGAAGTAATGTTTCGCAATTTGATTGAAATTATGATGTTTAGTCGCTAGCAATATTACTGTAAAACACAAATTTCAATCTGCAATATCCACTGTATGATCTAATATAAAATCAGTTATTCCAAACATAAATCTGAAATAGAAAAACAAAAATGGAGGAGAGTTTCCTGAATATATTTTCGTCTAAACGATCAAGTTTAAAAAATGAGTCGATTATTGTAATGTTTACGTATTGATTTTGAATTTTTACGAAGCACCATATATCTAATATGAATTTGCTACGTAATATCGGATTTGGTAGACATTCACAAAAGAAAACATCCAAAAACAAGTGTCGGAACGGTTGTTAGTTCGAACAGGTCAAGAAAATATTAATCTCCGATACGTTCACGATGTTTTGCCGCCATTCGTTTCTCTTGATTTATCAGTGCTGTAGCTAGGCATAATCGTACTGACGCTAACTGTCGGAATTCGGAATTCGGATAGGCTAATCGTTGACGCTGTTCAAGTCAGACGCGCTGCGCACCTGCGATTCTCCCCTACTTTCGTCCACGTTTTCAGGGTTACTTTTGCCTTATCCGTCTTTTGTTTGATGTGAAATCAGGTGTTGTGGGAAAAGATGTGACCAGTTAAGTTTCGGTAAAGACACTATTCTAAACATACGTTTATTCATATAAATTACACTAACTCTCAATAGATTATATCGGGTTGCATGCCTCGGCTCAATTGAACCCTTAGCCTTTTTTTCTCCGTCTCACGTTTTGACACGCATTCACTCATATACGCACACAGGCGTTCACACCAAAGGCTCGCTTTTGGCACGCCGTCTTATCTCTGTTTATATTCTACGCGCCTAAGCGCACTGCTGTGTTAGGTGACAGAGGCGACGAAAAGTCGGCCCTACATTACATCTAAAGACGGTTAACTTGTTATGGCTGCTTTTTTAGCATGTGCGGTTTCTCTGTTAACATAGGTAACATACACTGCGAGACAACAAGATGACACGCTTCGAAGTTAACTTATTTCTGTTTATTAAACATTATAAGTTCAATGCGAAGTTTCATTTTAAAGTAGATCGAATTAAAAAATATGTGGTATCGCGTATAATAGTATTCGAGCTGGACATCAGTATAATGATGTAAACGAAGACGAAGTATTATAAGAAAGAATTTTATTCTATATTTTCAATTTATTTTATTGCTTTCATAAGCCTCATTCTGGACGTTCAGAAATGCTAACTGAAAGAGAAGAAAAAACAATTATACGAAAAATCAAACAAGATCTATTTACATCTGGATCGCAATTGGTTCACTGGTGGTTACCAGGAAGGCGGGTAGTAAATCGGCACTTCAAAAAGATACAGCTATGATAAAAAAATAATTATGCAATATACAAAATTTTATCGTGCATTGTTGTAGTTGTGAAAACAAAAACAGGCTAGCTGAACTTCAAAGAAATATCGCGCACGTCTGTGTAACATTCGAATCGTTCCATGCCAAATCGATCATTTTTCCCTCGATGTCTAGGATTTTATTCAAACTTGTAGTTTAAGTCGTCATTTTGCTGGTTTTGAATCTGTTTAAAAAATACAAGCCTCTGAAATTTAAGATTTTTATGAAAGTGCGTTATACTTAGGAATTTTGATTGAGAAGCTTTCTTCAGTTTTATTTGGAAAGAATGGATCTTTCTAAATCAATTTTAGCCTGAATGAAAATTCAATTTTCCAACGTTGAAAATCATAAATAAATTTGTATTTTTTAAATTCAGGTCCGTGATCACGTTTTTAAAAATTTGAAAAAAATTCGAAATACAAAATTACCATTGGAGTTAACAACAAGTTGTTTTTGTAATATATAGGATAGATGAAGAATCATAGTACAACCGACTAGAGAAAAAAATATGGTATACTATAATTTTTTCGTTGGAGGCTTCGTTTACGAGAAAATCGAATTTGAAGTTTACTCAACTACGCAATGTGATTTATTTATCTATCCGTTCTAATATTTACAAACATTGATAATGATAGAATATTGTAGGAAATACCCAGATAGTTCGATGAAAACAAAGCTTCAAATAAAAAAATCGAATATCAAATTTGGTTCTTATTTTTTTTAAACTACCCTTAATATTGTATGATCTACATCATATTCAATTTTTAATAAATTCTCAGATATCGAGGGAAAAACGTGAACGATTTAGCGTGGAGTGATCCAGCCACTAATGTAAACTAATAAATTTATATTTCGCATTATATCTTCATGAGTGTATTATTAATAGGCAGGTGAAATTTTCCTGATGAAAATAAATCCAAACAAGATCTTATGTGTATAAAGAAGGAAAGTATTATTGTAATAATGAAAAATTTTTAAAAATTTGTCTTTTTTTTTAAGGAAATGCACGTTTTAAGAACCATGCTCATTTTGAATGTTAACAAAATTTATTAATCGTTTAATATCTTATTTCATAATTATGTAAACTGTTCGTTAAAAATTTAATTCGCCAGTTGATAATATAACGTTCAAAGAAATTTTTTGTATAGTAAACAATGACGGTTACAGAGGTTAAAGCTCACTCCCCCATTTATAAAAGAAACGTTTCAAATAATTTTTTTATTCGTTAACAAATATTTATCGTTAAGACTTCAATATTCCTATTTCTATTTATAATTTCTAAAGACGAGATTCTCAAATTTCTTTCGCAATTGTTTGTTAGATCCCCCACCACTTTGAGCTCTTTTAGATCTGTTACTGATCGTAGATAATTTATCCTTAAGTGTAAATAAAAGAATTTATTTCAAACAAAGACAGTTTACAAAGGAATTCCAATTAAAATAAAAAATAAATTTGTATGCGTGGTATACAGGGTGTTCGATCCCCCCTGGGAAAAATTTTATTAGGGGATTCTAGAGGCCAAAATAAGACGAAAATCAAGAATACCAATTTGTTGATGGAGGCTTCGTTAAAAAGTTATTAACAATTAAATTCAACAATTTCAAATCGTTCTGGAAAAATTATTTTCGGTTGCGGAGGTCAATTACAATCATTTTTAGTGAATACACCTACGTCCGAAATCCTATCCATTTTTGAGAAAAAAAATCGGGTAGGTGCTGAAACTTTTCAACGAAAAAGAAAAATTTCAAATCGTTCTGGAAAAATTATTTTCGGTTGCGGGAGTCAATTACAATCATTTTTGGCGAATAGACATACCCCCGAAATCTTACTCACTTTTTAGAAAAAAATTCGAGAAAGTGTGAAATTTTTCGACGGAAAAAAAAATTTCAAATCGTTTTGGAAAAATTATTTTCGGTTGCGGGTGTCAATTACAATCAGTTTTGGTGAATAGTCATACCCCCGAAATGCTGCGCGTTTTCGAAAAAAAAATTCAATACAGGCGGAACTTTAAACGTTAATAATTTTTTAACGAAGCCTCCATCAACAAATTGGTATTCTCAATTTTCGTCTTATTTTAGCCTCTAGAATCCCCCTTTAAAATTTTTCCCAGGAGTGGTCGAACACCCTGTATAGTTATTTAATTATTATGGTTAAAGAATATAATATTTTTCTTATACATCGGCCACTCGAGGAGTAGACAGGTCAATTGCGGTAATTAAACAGAAACTATATTAGAAATGTTTTCATTTGGGTTATCTAGAAGTTAATCGTTTTATTTATCCGGATAATACTGTATATCAATTTTATTTTTTTTTTTTTTCAAATTAAGTTTCAAAATCTGCGAGCCTCGTGACTGTACATCCCTTGTTTAAACCACACAAATAACAAAAGTAAAATAGAAAGTAATTAAATATACTTAAACTTTTAAGCAGAATATTTAAAAATTGAGATTAAAATATAATTTTATTGTATTTGCAGAATTATAACTATGATACTATTTCAATTTCAACTCCTTATATGTCAGGAGTAGCAGTGAAGCCAGTACTTCTAAGAAAATTTTGTAAAAAAGTGTCAATATCTCATATATTTATATCAACTTATTCGTGTTTGATGAAAACCATGGAAAATTCCACAGCACAACAAAAATTTAATCAAGCAGCAATGGATCCATATTTGGAAACATATTATAATTCCAACAATAGTTGTGAAATGTCATGTGAAAGTGATTCTCAACCAGTTGCTCTTGAGACAAACACATGTGTTGATACATCAGTATGTTTGAAAGATAAGTATCTGGCTGATAGACAATGGTATAAAGCAATGAGACAATGGAAACGTATAAAGAAAGGTAATGTTAGTATTTATACTATAAAACAAAAATTAAAACTCATTGTGTAATTATTCCAGAGAAGATGACCTCTAATTCTGAAGATTATTTTATTCTAAGACTACTTTCTTTCAACATTCTGGCCCAGTCCCTATTAGAAACTTATTCATTTTTGTATAAACATCATGACAAACGAGCACTATCTTGGAAGACAAGGAGACAATTTCTCTTACATGAGATTTTAGAAACACAAGCTAATGTTAGTTTCCATAATGAGCTACTAATTTTTGTACAATTTAGAATAATCTTTCAATCTAATACATAAAATTATAAGAAATTATATATTTTTCAAGAATAATTATATGTTTAACAAATAAAATCAACTTTATATTAAAAAGATATTAATTAAGTCACTTAAAATGACATTAATTCTAAATATGATCTAAGGATATAAGAAAATCATGCATATATTCCTATAGTGTTCTGATAGTGTAATAGTATTGTAAGCTGATTAGTAAAAGCTTTCTAAACTATGTTTAAATAAATACAAAATGTAAGTTCGTGTGATTTTCATTTATATAGTTTAAAAAAACTTATAATTTCAAGGTTTCACTTCTCAATGAGAGTATATAGATCATATAAGAAATAGTTTGATTTTGTTAACAAGTTTATCTGTTTCATTAGGTAATATGTCTTCAAGAAATGCAAGAAGAACACTTGCAGGAGTTTCTGGTCCCATTCAGAGAGTTGGGTTATAATTATTTATATAAAAAAAAAACAAACGATAAAAAAGATGGTCTGCTCTTTCTTTATCGCTCTGATCAATTTGTCCTTCTTGAATATGCAAAGGTTGAGTTTTATCAATCAGGAATAGAACTCCTTAGTAGAGACAATGTTGGAATCATTGCAAAATTAGCAGTGAAGGAAAGTCCTGCAACACAGTTAGTGATTGCCACAACTCATTTACTTTACAACCCTAAACGAAATGATGTAAGACTGGGACAAATGCAACTTTTTTTAGCAGAAATTGAAAGAATTGCGTTTTTGGAGAATACATTGTAAGTAATTATTTTAATTAATTAAAATCTGATTCAAGAAATTACCAAAGTTATAATGTAAAATATGTGTTTCTTGTGAAAATTTGAAAAATTCTTTTAATTGAATTTGTCTGAAATTACCTGCAGTATTGAAACCTACATAATCGTTATAAACAGACGGAAAATATCCTTGTACTTTTAAAACCTATTGTCCAAAATGATATTGAATTGATTACAGTACATAATATTTTTTCAATACAATTTTTACATGTATCCACATAACACATTTGTAATATAAATGAAAATTATTTGAACGTTCTGGTACTTTTTATAAAAGTAATTTGAAATTTATTAACATAATTTTTTAAATATTTCGATGTTCAATTAGTTGCAAAAGAAATTTAATTCACTGCAAAGTTTATATAGAGAGTGTTCGGCCACCTCTGGGAAAAATTTTAATGAGGGATTCTAGAGGCCAAAATAAGACGAAAATCAAGAATATCAATTTCTTGACCGAGGTTTCGTTAAAAAGTTATTAACATTTAAACTTCCGCCCGTACTGAATTTTTTTCTTGAAAATGCGCAAGATTTCGGGGGTATATCTATTCACCAAAAATGATTGTAATTGACCCCCGCAACTGAAAATAATTTTTCCAGAATGATTTGAAATTTTTGAATTTAATTGTTAATAACTTTTTAAGGAAGCTTCCATCAACAAATTGGTATTTCTGATTTTCGTCTTAATTTGGCCTCTAGTATCCCTCATTAAAATTTTTCCCAGGGGTGGCCGAACACCCTGTAATACAAAATTTCGTATAATCTTCAACTTATAAATACGATGTAGGACGGGCGCCAAATATCTACCAATTATACTGGCAGGGGATTTTAATTTAGAACCATATTCCGGAGTTTACAAATTCATTACAGAAGGAATATTTGAGTATCAAGGAAAAGGAAGAAATCTGGAGGAGACAGAGTTTCGGTCTCTTTCAAATTCATTAATTCCGCCTCGGCTCTTCGTTACAGACAATTGTCAACATTTAAATGTTTTGAAAAAAAGATTATGTGGAGAAGGATCTGCTAGAGTAATGGTATGTTCTTTTAACGATAAATAAACATTAAAAAATGTGAAACAGCATTAAAAATTGAATATTCTGTACTCATATCTTATTAAATTTTACTGATTTATTGTTTATAAATCTTGAAATGCAAAAAGGAACATGATGATTTCAAGTTTTTGATCATCAAATCATTATTAAACGTAATAATTAAAATCTATGTCAACGATAGAAATATTTGTTCTAAACATGAATTACAGGGTATTTAACAATTTTCGAATTCATATTTTCATGTTAATGTTAAGATGATTTTTCTACTATCATTGAAATTTAATTTTTTATATCATTTACAGCTAGAAAATAGCGAATATCCCATCTCAGAGGAAAATACGTCAGACAATGATTCCTCGATATATAGTGATGTGAATCCAGATATGACTGATCTTCAAATAATAGAAATTGTACGTGGCTATTGTGCAAAGTTCTGTTCTGGCACTCTCACACATCCGTTCCATTTTCATAGTGTGTATAAACACCAAACACACGAAGGAGAACAAGAAGCTACGACTAATCAAGGAACATGGATTACAGTTGATTACATTTTTTATAGCAACTTGGAACCTCTTGAAAAATATAGATTACCAACAGCAGAAGAGTGCATCGCTTTGCCTACAATACCCAATTTTGCGTTCGGAAGCGATCATTTTTGTTTAGGTGCTACATTTAAAATAAAAAAAGCAAAACTGTAGAAGAGTTAATGTAACAGTTTATAATATTTTAAAAATTTTGGTATAAGTTTCGTATAAAAAAAATGTATTAAATGTATGACTGTAGGAAATAATACACAAAATGAAAATGATATTTTGTTTAAAACGAACGGAAATTATTTTTATTTCTTTTTCTTTGGTAAATATAAACAATTGTTTTATGTGAATTAAAATATTAATCTGTTGGTTTATCCACAATATCGTTCGTTTTATTTATTTGTTATATTAAATGTCAATAGATGAATACTTTTGTGTATAAGTGTAGGTTAGTTGCAACAAGAACCTTGTGCTTTTGCCATTTTAGAATACTTTGTTATATCTAGTAATTTTAGTGACGTCATAAATAAATTTTCGATTCATTCGTAAACTAATTTTTTTGATGTATCATTAGTAAATTAGAATCCATTAATAATCTTTATAAATCGATATTTAGACGAGCGTTGCTGCGGCTAAAAGTTCTATTTGTGAATAAAATTTATTTCGCTCTGAGAAAAATGGCAGTTGTGGTTTTTGATTTTCCGCTCATGCAGCAAAATTTGTCACAGGATACAATGTTTAATATTTTATACTTTTAATATAATGATATCTCTTTGTTATTAATATTTTGTTTAAATTGTTAACAGAGAATGGTTTGTCAATGTACCATTATTTAATATTAGAATATGCTTAAATCAAAACGATGTGAATCAACCAGAATAGATTCTTGAATATGAGCACAGCCGATTCCAGTACTAGCCATGCTGAACGAGAAGCATTAAAGTCGCGAGAGTCTGATTTTGTACTTGATAGAAAGAGTACGCAATATTTGTGCCTCTCTGTCTATCCAATACAAAATCGGACTCTCGCAGCTTTACTACCTCTAGCTCAGTATGACATGTTCTAGAGTCGGCTATGGTGCGAGTTCAATAAAAGTGTGTTTGTGAACGACATTTTAAGAGACCACAGTGTTTCATTGAACTTTCTTACGTTTTATATCATACGCGACGTATTTATATATATTTTCTCAATCCATAATCGTAGTTTATTTTCATAGTAATTGTAAAGTTTCAAGTGTGGTAATTTTTTCTTATAGAAAACTACAATTCTCAATAATGTCGAGGTTTCTGCTGCTCTTCTGCTTTACATCGCTTCACGTTTTGGGTATGACTTCGACATTTATAATTTTTATATTTCTTGCAAGTAACAGTTGAGAATTTTTATTGTATTGCAATGTTGAATTCCCTTTTTTCTGCAGTCCATATTAAAATATATAAAACATGCCTTTTTCGTCAAACTTCATTTTTATTAACGGTTTCTTTGTTTATTTATAGTTAAATTATATGTTTTTTACTAATTTAAATGTATTTAACCTTTGCTGTTTATAAGCTTGCTGCTAGAAAATAAAAAATTCTTGGTAAATTGACAAGTCCTTACACAGGGATAAGCTTATGGTATCTTTACCTTTATGAAATAGAGACATGTAATATTGTGTCTGTGGGTATGGCAGTTTATATTTAGGGTTAATAGAAATTGTACATGCTAGACATTTCATAGTATATCAGCTGATTTATAGAGGAAATTTCTTGTGTCCTTGTATAATTCCTATTAACTGCAAAGGATTAACGATATTTGCATAATGATTTATGGTAAAATTAATTAAATCAGGAATATGCTTTAATACAATTATTAATTTAAGTCTCTAATAATGTATTGAGAATAAAAATTAACAATTCTATATGATAAAAGATATATATACAGGGTGAGGCATTTTAAACAGGTCACCTGAATAACTCGCTTGTTTTTGAAGATAGGAGAAAATGCATTAGACCAAACTTATTTGGTATCGGGGGGCTCATAATCTGGTATTACCAATTTTTTTGTAGGTGGAGGCGTCAAGGAGATATGAAGGTCAACTTTGTTTTTTTAAATGGAACAGTATATTTTATTACTTACATTCTGATAGAGTGTTTCAAGGCGAATACAATGACCTATTATTAAGGTCATTCAAGGTCACCCAAAGTCAACTGCAATAGAAAATAAATTGTGTCAAAGCACTCTTCGAACACTTGGATACTTTGATACTGCTATTACAAGTGTTCAAAATGGCGACCTTGAACATGGATACATAGTCTAAATCGTTGCAATACTGATGACACTGCCTGGCAAATTTCATTTGTATCTATTACAGAGCAAGCTCTTCTTATACGTTCTTGCATGTCAAGTTTGGTAGTTGGTTTTTCGCGGTACACTTCTGCCTTTAATTTTCCCCACAAATAAAAATCGAGAGGTGTCAGGTCTGGGGATCGTGCCGGCCATTTGTTACTTCCTGATCGACCTACCCAAGAATCTCCAAATTTTCTATTTAGAAATTCTGTAACATTGCGTGCTGAATGAGCAGGGCATCCGTCTTGCTGGAACCACATGGATTGTCGTATGTCCAGTGAAGTGTCTTCTAACAATTCTGGCAAAACGTCTTCTAAGATTCTCAGGTACTTACTACTATTTAGCGTGCCATCAATAAAATATGGACCAATTATTTTATTATGAAGAAGACCGCACCAGACGTTTACAGACCAAGGTCTCTGTTTGTCGACTTCTCTCAACCATCGTGGATTATCTACCGACCAGTAGTGCATGTTGTGACGGTTAATTGCTCCATGGTTTGTAAATGTGGCCTCATCGGTAAATAACAATTTACTCAAGAACATTTCATCGTCTTGTAGTTTTTGTAAGCCCCATTCACAAAATTGTAAACGTTTTGTATAATCATTTTCAGTTAATTGTTGATGAAGTGATATGTGGAACGGATGAAATTTGTTAATGTGTAATATTCGTAAAATACTTCGTTGACTGATGCCACTTTCGCGTTCCAGTTGTCTTGTACTAACATGTGGATCTTGTATTACAGCTGCTACAATATTTATCGAGTTTCCATCATCAGTTGCTCGTTTGGCAAGATTACGTGTTTTGTTATCCACAGTTCCAGTTTCTTGGAACTTTTTTATAATGTTTGTAAAGACAGAAAGTGAAGGTCTATTATTACGATCGGGAAATCTTTCACTATACACACGTACCGCTTCCCTCATAATTCTATGACATTCACCATAAATAAGAACCATTTCTACTTTCTCTGCTATCGTGTAACGCATTTTAGAAAACTAAACACTTAGACTGAATAAATGTTACGAAGCTGTGCTCTAGTCGGTAGTAAAATTACCAATAATGTTTGAGGATACGGATAAGCGTACAATGTGATTGAATGTTTGTTTATCTTTTGTGACCCGTGTCACGCAATACACACACGTGATACACAAGTATTCGAAATGTACTCTGACACAATTTATTTTCTATTGCAGTTGACTTTGGGTGACCTTGAATGACCTTAATAATAGGTCATTGTATTCGCCTTGAAACACTCTATCAGAATGTAAGTAATAAAATATACTGTTCCATTTAAAAAAACAAAGTTGACCTTCATATCTCCTTGACGCCTCCACCTACAAAAAAATTGGTAATACCAGATTATGAGCCCCCCGATACCAAATAAGTTTGGTCTAATGCATTTTCTCCTATCTTCAAAAACAAGCGAGTTATTCAGGTGACCTGTTTAAAATGCCTCACCCTGTATATATATATATATATATAACAAACTTTTCTATGGAATTTAATTTATTCTAATCAAACATTATTATCAATCTTAAAACTTGTTTCTAACTTTATTAGTAATCTACATATAAATTTTCGATTATTTAAAATATTTATCAATTTTTTAAATCAACTATAAGGATCAATGCTAGGATGTCACGGATATAAAGTCGATTTTATATTAATTTTTTACACTGCGACAGGACTTGAAACTAATGACTCATGATTTTGTAGGTACCGGATTAATAATTTACATTTTTTATATTAAAGATTTAGCAAGGTTAATACATTCATTATTTATGGCCTTTATATAGATCATTGTAGCTCTGATCCATATACCAGATATACATATATCATATCTATGTGCATTGTTACTGAGATAGAATAGTTGAACTTACAAGTAGAACCATTGTTTGAGACCTGAACAGTAAACATTTCAATTTCCTGAAATATGACTATAAAAGTTCAATGCAACCACTGAGATAATTGCTCGCTAGATCAATGTTTCACGGCATAGGTTCAAATATTGTTGAAACATTTCACTCATATTATTTTCATGCTGCTGATATTGTTCAGGAGTGGATTCTTTACTATGTAATCCAGGGGTCGGCAACCTATGGCACGCGTGCCAGCCTTGTTATCTCTGTGAACAAATTTTTTCTCATATGAAACATAATTTGAGTCCACAAAGAAGTTGTTTAACGACTGAACATTTAGAATCTTGTGTGAAATTAAAAGTGACAAATTATACCCCTGATATTGAAATATTAAGTAAAGCGGTACAGGCACAAGGTTTGCATTCAATTTTTCTAATTTGTGTTGGAAATTTATATCTTTTATTTTTCAAATAAAAGATAAATTTGGTATCCTCTATTATATAATGTGATGAACATATACTATTACTTTGTGGTAAAAAGAATTAAAGAAATATGTAAATGATTATGAAAAGATGAAATTTCTAACAAACAAATGTTAAAACAAAAAATTCTGGAAGTTTGAAATAGTATAAAATTTCGGGTAAATTTTATGTGCGAGTCCATTTATAATACAAAATTTATTGCAAAATTTTAAATGCAGCACACGAATTCAATCAATTTCTTTTATAAATGTCGAAGGTACGAATATTTATGAAACTGACTATATGTATATAAAAAGGTGGGGTTATTTATCAACGGGGTGAGGCAGAGGTTCAAAAATGAGATAGTGGTCAAGGTTCAAGTGTAGAGGTAAATAATGAGATCACTAAGGAATGGAACTTGGCATGTTTTGCTGTTCTTAAGCCGTGTCCCCACTGGGTCGGCAAAGAAATGGCTTTGCCGCGGTGCATAACAGTGGCACGGCCGTGCCGCCTTTTGCCGAACGCTGTGCCGAGCCGTGCCGACCCAGTGGGGACGCAGCTTTATAGAAAGAGGATATCACTATTGATACATAAACATGGTAAAGTATATTTGACATACAACAATACTAAATAAAGTATTAAATGAAACAAGTTTTCAATTAACATACAGAGAGTACCTCAAAGTGTACTACTATCGCGTAGTAGGTAATTCTACGTGAAAAAGTAAATCGAAAATGAAGATTTAAAATGTTTTTCAAGTACCACTTTGCTTCCGAAAAAATTGATTTTAAAAATATACCAAGTATACGTATACTTCATTCCGAAATAATGATGTAATACCATTACGGGTTTCGCTTATAGGAAAATAACCGCGTTCAAGGAGAATATTTTTCTCTGTACAAACGTGATGTAGCGGTAAAGTTTCTGTCGCATGCAACTAGTGCAAGAATCATATCCTGATACCCGTGGTTGGTATACATATATCCTATCGTAACAATAAACAGTTAGACGACCCAAGGTTTATATCGATAACAAGCCAGTAAAATGATAACTAATAAACTGCGACGTGATCATGTTTGTAAACACAAGCACTACCGTTGCCAAAAATATACTTAGTCACTCACAGTGAAAATCGTACAGGTCGTATCGTAAGAAGTACTAGCTCGGTACAATTGTAGAATAAGAAATTTTGTCGATAATAGATTACATAAAAATATACAGTAAAATACAAATCTAATATGAAAAATTAGTTTAATACTTAGTAGGATAACTATTATTATCTATAACTGCCTGTAATCGTTGTGGCATAGACCTTGAACGGTCAGTAAATAAACGGCGAATTCTTTTTTTATAACCACTATATTTAACAGTAAATTACACTCCTGATTTCTCTACTTATATTCTCGTGTGTCTCTTTCCGTCGACGTGTCCTCACCTACTCGCGCGTGTTTTTTTTCTCCTTAGTCGGCTCGATCGACGCAGTGGCGTCGCTGTCGTTGCCGATTCTTCGGTGTGGATATTGTTACCGCTACAGATCGAACCAACTTTTCTAAAAAACTTGGTTCAATATATTTTCCCACGCTGCCCGTATTGCTGCTTTTAATTGATCTTTACTTGATTTTTCACGCTTATTCACTTGTAATTTTAATTCACGCCAAACATGCTCAATGATATTTCAATCAGGCGATTGAGCCGGTGTGTGAATGACTTTAGGGCAGTTGTACGACAGCCATTCTTGAGCGATCCTTGATGCATGTTTCGGGGTCATTATCGCCGCAAAACATGAATGAGTATAATAATCTTGATTTATGTGCACTATCTTTCAAATGAGTTTTCAAAATATTTAAGTAACACCACTTTACCTCATATTTCAATTATTATTTAGTCGGGGGATCGCCTTCAACTTATACAATGATATTCGATTTGAGCCAAATAATAGAGAAACAAATGAAGAGCAAAACATTGTGTGACATTTGTTCGAACAAACGTGATATTATTACGCGGTATAATTATTGAATGTGAGAATGATTTCACGCATAATGTCGTTATTGTTTTTTTTTCGTCGATAAAGAATAAGGTTTAATTTTTTATTCTCGGCCAAATTCTTTATCCCATAATTATACCGAGTCAGTATTTCTTACAATACAACCTGTACGATTTCCACTGTGAGCGACTGTATGCAAAGAAGGTAGAATTTAAATACACCCATACATTTTCAATTTACTTTTTCACGCGTAATTACCCCACGTCAGATAGCAATATATCTTGAGGGACACTTTGTATAATAATTCTTTAATTAATATCAAGAATTGCACAATGATTAATCCTTTGGCTGCCTATCGCTCATACTTGGGACCAAAAACTTAAAAATCATGTTTTTGCCAATTTCTCTTATCTTATTGGAAGAGAAATTTTGAAATAAGAGACGTTTTGGTTGTCGAGGCAGATTGTATGCAATCTTTTTGCATAATCCAAGTTGTAAAAAATAAAAAAAATGCGTAAAAATATGTTTTGTATCGAAGCAATCGCGGAATTGAAAATGTGGAGAAGCTTTTAATTTATGAGAAAAATGATCTCTCCTTAAGACGTAAATCATTAAAATCGATTTGTAAAGAGCTATATGCCAGCTCTTCTGTATATTACAATAATAAAATCAAATATTGTAATAATATGCCTTCTTTTTGCAATAGGTAACGGACAAGAACACGCATCTTCTACAATTAGCGATCACCTTAATACTACCATAACACCAGGGAACAATGGTAGCTTGGTACAGGATTCTGAAACAAATTTACCATTAAACAAGATAACAGAGTCTGTAGACGGAGAGACAATCAAGTTAAAATCAGAAGAAAATACAACTACGATCCACAGTTCCCAAAATTCTTCGTTGTATACTACAGTCGCGTCGCCACATATTACGACCGTTTCAACTTCTGCAACTGAATCAACTGCTAAGCAAATTCCATATACTGCAGTCAGTCCAACTAAAGCATCAGTGAACTCAGCGAGCACTACAGCGGCGGCGTTTCCAAACCCTGGCAAATGGATGGTCAATGAAACCGATAAAATTTGCATTATAGTTCAGATGGCTGTGCAATTCAATGTTTCGTACATAGATGCCTCTAACAAGGTTTGTATCAGTATTTATTTATGTTGAATATTGAAATAAAGAGTAGGGATTTAAAAATCCTGTAGGTTGGTAACGCGCGAGCGGAACTGAAAGTTCGCGTTTCGCGTGCATGCGATATTTAAATGTATCTCGAGAGATTTTTCGAAATTTTGTAAATTATTGAAGTTACGGACGTGTAAAGTTGAGTGCTACCTTTTTTTTTCAAAAAATTATAGCTGTTGAACTAACAAACGGATGAGAATGAAACGGAAGAAAAATTCTACCGATTAAAAAAAATTGTTTTTTTTTTTTTTTTTTTTTTATAAAAAAGAATTATTTAAGAATATATACATTCGCACTAAACTGTTATTGACTACATTTTTTTAGACGTCCTTCGAAGTATTTGATTTGCCAATAGATAATACAACAACCACAAATGGAAGTTGTGGCAAGTTGGAGCAAGAAATTAAACTGATGTGGTCATCTCAAAATGGAACTAATAATGGCACCATGACGCTACACTTTATAAGAAAAGAAAATGATACTGATTATTCTTTGCATCACTTGAATGTTACACTTCCACGAACAGATTTTCCAAAATTAGCTAGTAAGTATTGGTTAATATCTTCTAGACTTATTTGTACTATTTACTGCATAATAATATTTTAACTGGTTAAAATGTTTATAAATTGGTCATGTGTAATTTATTCATATTTGACTTCATGTGTTATATTTTTATTACACAATTCTGTAATTTTTTATAGATAAATCAAATTCGGTGGAACTGATGTACGAGCCCTCTGACTTTAAAGCTCGATTATCTAATTCCTACAAATGCATGAAACAGCAGAGGCTGTACTTGATACAAAATAATAATAATATTACCAATATTACCAATATTACCAATATTACTACTAGCTACTTAACTATATCAGATTTACGATTTCAAGCATTCAGAACAGATAATTCCACTGTTTTAGGATTAGGTAAGTCTTAAAAAGTCAAAACATATAAGTATTAATCGCACGTTAGTTAAGAAATTTTTGTCGTCAAGAATTGGAATTATAAATATGCATTGTAAACTAAAAAAAACTATTTTTAACAACGCAAATACTTTCCCTACCTATGGCTTTAAAAACCTCTGGGTTACTATACACTGTTGCTCAAAATTATAAGTTTAGTTTACTTTTGGCTCTTACATTCTCCAACGACAAATTATAATCAGAATTATTAACATTAATTATAATACATTTTTATTTATTTTCAGCTGAAAATTGCGTTGTGGACACAGAGGACATCGTACCAATTGCAGTGGGATGTATATTGGCAGGATTAGTGTTTATAGTTTTAATTGCATACTTGATTGGTCGTCGACGAAATCGAGCTCTTGGCTATTATAGCATGTAATTTCATGATTTTTTAATTTCTGCTTCTTGAATAATTAAGTCAATAATCTGTGTTTATATACTGCATGTTAATGCCAGAAAAATTATTGCTCTTATTTAAATCCCAGAAATTGCTATTCGAGTGAAAGGCACGCTGAATTTTTAATTATGCGTGTAGCGTCAATTATTCTTTCATTAACCGATTGGGCGAACAGGGAATTTTGTAATAATTCTACTTTTAATTCTTAGGTACTCTTTTTCAATATTCAAAAGCAATATTGGTTAATATGTTTTGATAATTTCATTTTGTGATTGATATTAAAGAATAAGTTCTCATTGTATAATGTAATAATTGCTCGCAAAACGTGATAAAAAGTATTTTTAGAAAATAAAAATTTTAATTGGAAAGTTTAAGAAGTAAGTGGATTATAATGAAAACAGTAAATATGTATAATTTGTGATCAACACATAATCATTCATAGTATTCTGAAGTTATAAAATTCGTTATTCATTTTTTCGAATAATAGACCCAAATTCAAAATTTACAGATGCTAATTGATATAATATATAATGAATAAAATACATACAGTTTACTGTGTTAATAATTTAATGAAACTAAAACCACTTAAAAAGAGTATCATATTATGTACTTTATAAAAGAATAATTTCCGAAAACTCAATATTTCCTATAAAATTACGTCTTTATTCGTAAAAACTATGTATAATATACTTTACCACTTCTTCAGTAGTAATAATATCAATGGTTCTAGTATCAAAGAATGTTATATTACAATATAGCTTCGGGTTTTTAAGTATGAGCCTGTCTTTACGAATGAAAAGCTTAGTTGCTGAATAAATTACAATAAATATTTAAAAACAAAGTATGTTATTCATTATCATTCCTGTTCAATTAGTTCTTAATGTAAATTGATTTTATGATAACGAAGTTATAAGATGTTCTCTTTTCAATCATTTTTGTCTTTCAATTATATTACATTTCGTGTATATATTCTTGTGTTTAATAATAAAATCCTTTGAAAATGAATTTTAATTACTTACAAAATGTATTCAAGTTAATTCACAAATATTAAAAAAAATACAAAACTAATTGTATTAAAGAAGAAAACTTAAGTATTCCTAATGTAAACCTTTTCAAAATTTGATTAGTATAATATTGATCAGTATAATCTGAGCATTGAAATCCTATAATCGTTTAATGATTATGCATAACAAATGTGACTAGTTTTTTAGCAGCTGGTGTATGTTAAGCTGCAAACCAATAATAATAATAATTTTATTATCATTAAATTAATTAATTAAAGACATAAGTGACAATTGCAAGAAAGTAAATACTAAAAATAAACTTAAAATAATAAATGAATATTTCAGAATTTTAATGCTAAAACTACATTGTCAAAAAAAGGTTGTATCTTCAATGAATGATGGTTGAATAAGGCTGATTGTAAGCTCAAAATGTACATGTTTGTGTTTAAAACTAGTTCAAATTGCCAAATTAATTTGTTGCCTTTTGAGAGGTTCATGACTGCTTTGTTTATGCTATGTTTTGTGCTTTACATTACACTTCTACTTGTCACATGACTGGATTGTTAAATAAAAATACAACAACTAGACGATATGGAATATAATCATTATACCTAATTTATATAATAATCTCTCTGTCACCACTAGTTTTCAAAAAACATAAATGATTTTGGGCAAAAATGAGGTATTATATGAAAACTAAAAACGCTAGGAAGTTCTAGTTGGTTTTGAAAAAGAGTGAAAAATCTCCTGAATGATCAAAATTTGAAAAAGTGTCAAAGTGTGTAGTCAAAAGAAGTTTTACAGAAAATTTTGAAACGTGTTAACATTTTTTCCGCGGCGAGTATAGATTGGAAAATAAAACTACACTACTATATAACCACAATATTTTTGAAAGTGAAATAGTCGCTCTTACAGCCTTTCTATTAGATGTCATTTACAAACTAGTCACACTGTTGAAATGAATTTTTATTTCTTATCAAGGCCAGATATTCTACCACGCCATCACCGTACCGCTCATTTTTTAGTAAGATTTGGTTTTGAAAGTAAGCGCCTAAATACTTATTCAATCAATTTAGTTATTTTGTACCTCATTATGACAAATCTAGTAAAAAGCTTTGCTCTTACTCTAGCGGACACTTACTGATATTTTAACGTTATTGAGACGCCATTTAATGGCGCGCAATGCATATTTAAAGATTTTGTAACTTACACTACTATTTCTATTTATTTCTATTCTAATAAAATACTATATTTGTAAAACATTTCTGTGATTAGTTATATACAAAGTAATCTATTTATTCTTTGTATTTGTAACTGTTTTTATAAGCAAATTCCTTTTGTATCATTTACGAAACATATTTACAACAAAAAATACAAAATTGATGCCTTCATCCCCGTTGCCCTTTGATATGTGCATAATACGATCGTTGCAATGAAAGAGCAGCTTTAATTAAAAAAAAAGAAGAAAGAAAAAGAAAATTTACATTTCATTTCTGGAAAAAGAAAAAACGTCGAACGATCTATTTTAGATTTTATGCTTTTAGTTACAGTAAGATAACACAAGACATATATATATATTTGAAATATTAAAAATTAAGAAATGGATAAACATCTCAATCATTCTCAAGACGATCGCAAGCAAAAACAAAACTCGCAACACATTCTTCGCTTGGAAATGCTTGAGCAATCTGTTCAGAAGGTAAATAATTAATGCATTTCAGTTTTAATTGGTAAATGTACACGCTCTATTTTTAATCGGCATGTTTATTTTCGGAAGAACATAGCAGAAACGAAACCCGAAGTCCGAGATTATTTGGAAGAGAAGAAAATTTTTAATACATTTCGTTTTCTAATCGGCCATTTAATCGTTAATCAACCGACGGATCCTATTCAATATTTATACCAACTGCTCGATGATTGCATACTGTTCGGATCGGGACTCAAAGAACCACGATTATTTTGGATGGATAGGTAGATACATAAGTACCTACATACATACGCTTTATGATTACAATACTACGGACATCACGGACAATTTTACACTTGTTTCTGCATTGCAGACACGTTGATAGCATATTTCAAAGCTTCGATCTCAGTAGCTCAGGAGTTATATCTTTAGAATGTTATAGAACTGCTATGAAAATTTTGGGCATACGTTCTTATAACCCTTGTCCCGTTGAATGCGTACCAGGATATGTGAATCGACAAACATTCCGTACAGAGGCGTAAGCTTTACTCCCTTCGTATAAATCTGACATTTGCCTTTCATATATTATCTGTACACTCGATTTAAATTAATGTTGGGTATGAAGTTAAAGAATGTTCGTCTTGTTTCAGATTATACAGTCTGGAAAATGAACTCGCGCATTCTTTCGGCAGAAACGTGTATTAACATGGACACGCAAAACGTTATATGTAAAATTCCAATTTATTAATAATCAATGTATTCGTTGTATCCGTACATATTCGTTGGAAAAGCGAATCAATTCGTGATGGATTTGACCGACAGTGGTACTGTCGCAACAAGGCGTAGCAAGGAAAGAAAAGAAAAAGACAGGAGACGGGAAGAAAGACACGCAAACACTGTTTGATAGTTGCAAGAGGAAGAAGGAACAGGTACGAGACAGCGAGGAAAGGGAGGCATTGAGAGAGAAAATCAACAGACGAAGCGAGGCGAAGCGAAACGAGTCGACTCGAGCTAAAGTAGACTAAAGACTGGGGTAGCGAAGAATAGAGAGTAGGGAGAAAGGCGAGCAACGCAACGACATAGCCCGAAATAGTCGTGCAGGAGTTGTGTAAACGGTGACTATACCTATGCCGGGCACGCGGAAACGCTAAAATCGTTGTGTGTATTTGGATCTTGGTATAGAAAAGCAACCACCTTTCTACGCTTCGACGCAAGCATGATTCTTCGTATATTCTCGACCTCGTTTGTTGTACGTACGCGACCGTACAACCGCGCGACTCGAAGACGCAGTGTAGAAACGAAAGTGAGTGCTTTACTGCTACGACAGTGAAGGCGTGAGGTTCTCGACCGATCGAATTTTAAACGAACGAGTTTTGTTTTTCTGTTTATACCGAGGTTGTATATCCATCACCGTTATGTTGTTATTTGCACCATAAATAGTAAAGATGATATAAATTTTTAACGAAGTACTGTACCTCGTGTAATAACGGTGAAAACACGTTAAAAGAGTGAAATACTAAAATTCGACAAAAAAAAAAAAATAAAATAAAAAATAGACTAAATGCGGCATGCGTCGCTTTCTACTTATACACGTTATTCCATACAACAAATTTTTATGATTTTAACGAAATTAACAATGCAGAAAATGTACTTTGATTGCGGGAAATGAAACCGAATACTCTATATCTTATTAGCAAACGATTGTAAGCGTTGATAAATCAGAAATGCAACTTGGAGCGTGCATCGCAATTTAGTCGACGCGATTCAGAATTAATGAAAAATGAGAACGCTTAGGTTCGTTGCCTGTTTAGTACTTTTGCCATCCTTGCTGCTACGTATTAGCATCGTGTCATCGGCCCCTACGTATGAACATGCTGCTTTCCAAGCCGCCGATCAATGTGACTGGATTGGAAGGTTTGTATTCTGTCTTATTCAATGTATTCTTGTTTTACGTACATGCATATTTTCAACGAGCTTCGATTTTGAAGTAAAAACCACGCAATAATACTCAACGTACATCGGTATTTGCTTAATTTTTATCACAGGAAATAACGTAACGCGCGGTTCGTAAAAATATAATCTCTTCTTTTTGTACCTTTTCCCTTTCACTCCGATATCTTCATTTTATTTTACCTTATATTTTATGCATATTAAACTCTCTAAAGTACTAGAACCTCTGCAGATATATCTACGTATCTACGAAATGCTTTTATAACGGAAAACGAAAACTTCAGGACTTTTATTAAACGTGAAACCAGTCGCACGACTTACTAACAAAACCGGTTTTCTTCGTCCAGTACAAGCGAACTCTAGAAGGATCGTACGAACTGACGTTCGATTTATCATCTCTCTCTTTTCTCAGTCAAAGATTGACTGTCGTATGCTCGCGTAAGCAGACATGCGCGCGCGCGCCACACAAAATGGGGGGGGGGGAGGAGAGAGGCTGCAGGCAGCATACCGGGAAAGAACAAGCAAAGAAAGAATGATTACGTGCATGTAGACGACTGCAACTGTCAAGAACAATCGGGGCCTGAAAAAGTCCTGAAAATAATTGTTTCAAACCGTTACATAAAAGTTCTAATCGAAATTGTTACGAAGAACTCAAGAGTCGAGTTATATCGGTTTAAATTAAAGTTCTTGCATCGACTCTCGTTCAGAATAAAAGTTCTCCATAAATGTTTAAAATATCTAAACATATGTTATAACAGTTTTCAAGCCTCGAGAACAGTTATATTCGCGAGAAACATGTCGAATTAAAATATATGTACTCTGGAAATAGACAAATGACCTGCAACTAATAAATATTCTGAATAACGAAAATAATGTTTCTATGTTGTATCACGTTACAGCGGAGGTGGTGGCAGAGGTGTGCGACCCGTTTATCTCCGATGCTCGAGGGGAACCGTATCTTGGCGATATCCACGCGGAGCTTTGCGCGTAGTCCTGTCGCCTCCTGTTTTGACCGGATCCGTTTCGAAAGTCCATTTCGAATTAGTTGAGAAAAGGGGCAACGACGGCAACGTTAGTACCAGCGACGTTTACCGATTATCCGGATTTCGTACATGCACCAAGGTCTCCGGACCGGTAAGAGTATATTTGGAAACACGTGGAAAACTTCGATCGGTGTACTCTCCGAGAGACGGCAAGCACGAAGCCACGCATAGATGTTTCCGCGCGAAAAAACAACCCGCGGCGCTTTATATCGAAGCGGAAGAACCCCCTGTATCGGGCGAACGTCGTGACGCGAAATTACAATACGATTTGGAATTACGGTACCCCGACAGTGGACGAGAAGGAAGAACACGGCGATTTAACGAGGAGGAGGAAGAGGACTGCAGGCCGTGCTCTATGGACGAATTGGCTAAAGCTTATTGTCAAAGCGACTTGGTAGCTAGGGGTACAGTAAGCGCCGTTCAAAGACAACCGAACTTAGAAGCTGCTGAACTCATCCTTGGAATAACAAAGACTTTGCGTCGAATTGAAGAAAATGAGGTAAAAACAACTTTTCTCCTCGTTCGATGTATACAGGGTGTTCCGGCCACCCCTAGGAAAAATTGTAATGGGAGATTCTAGAGGCGAAAATAAGACGAAAATCAAAAGTACTAATTTGTTGATGGAGGAAAAAGATTGTAATTAACCCCTGCAACCAAAAATGATTTTTTCAGAACGATTTGAAATTTTTTTTTTTCGTCGAAAAATTTAGGCACCTTTCTGAATTTTTTTTGCGTAAATGCGTAAGATTTCGGGGGTATGTCTGTTCACCAAAAATAATTGTAATTGACCCCCGCAACCGAAAATAATTTTTCCAGAACGATTTGAAATTTTTTTTTATCGCCGAAAAATTTTAGCACCTACACCCTATTGATTTTTCTTAAAAATTCGTTTTTCATTTTTAATAAATTTGTTCGACGCCATATAGAAAAGTTGTCTAATACTTTTGTGTAGGTACCTATAAGCTCTACTTCAGAAAAAAGTTTCACTGATATATATTCATTTTTGCAGGAGTTATGGCTGTTTGAAAATTGAACCATTTTTATGGATCTTTTTTCTCATTTTGCGAGATCAAGGAATAACTTTTCGAATATTTTTATAATTTCCACATATTCTTCGATAAAATACGCGTTGTTTGCATTTTTAAACATTAAAATCGTCCAATCTGTTCCGGAGTTATGACATTTTAAATATTCGCATGAAATTTTCGAGTGAGATTTCTGGCCCAAAATTATATTTTCGGTAGGAATTTTTTTTCTCGCAAATGGGGTAGGATTTCGGGAGTATGTGTAATGACCAAACATAATTGTAATCGACCCTTGCAACCGAAAATAATTTTTCCAGAACGATTTGAAATTTTTTAATTTAATTGTTAATAACTTTTTATCGAAGCCTCAAAGGAAAAACTGATATTCTTGATTTTCGTCTTATTTTGGCCTCTAGAATCTCTCATTAAAATTTTTCCCAGGGATGGCCGAACACCCTGTATTTGTATGGTACACTTGATTGAAAAAAAGAACCTGATTACATTACTACAGATGTGTAGACGTTTCTAGCGAAGACTAACACTATTCTCAAAAGATGGAATGGCAATCATTGAACTGGATTCTCATACGCATTTCTTTTATAAAACCGGAATACAATAATTCCATGCGCACTTCTTCTCGAATAACGTGGCTAGGTAACTAAGCGTATACACAATTGATCGTAAGAGTAGTTATATGTTGATCTTATTACCCGTCAGAAGGCATCGAGAGACATGACGCTTTCTTCACTTTCGTTGGATCTTTCTCATTTCTTGCTTTATTCTTCTGCACGATGATAATCTCATAGACTACTATCTTCATGAATTATTCTTTTTTATGCTTGTTCGAACAGGGCAATAATGATGCGGACGTTACTGATTCGTACGACCGAAGAAACATTCGTGTAAGGGTGCCGACTGCCTGTGACGCTCGACACGGCCAGGGCGAGTTTGTCATAATGGCTAAACGAAGACTCGGTGACCTTGTTCTGGTTTGTGCGCCGAGGCTGGAAACTTGGGTAAAAACAGTCCGTGAATTAGAAAGTGCCCCATGCGTACTTCGAAGTTAGCATCTTCAAATTGTAACGAAATTGTTGTAAATACATTGTACTTTCCTGTTCTATACGATACGAATATCGATCTCCGAACTGTGATATTGTTTTGTAAAAATTTTATCGTGACAAATATATAATATCTTCTCAGCAAGATTTTAGAATCACTGAATTTAATATTGTGATACGACTTACCGATTATTCCGTTGTCCTGACATGCCTCTCCGCCATTCCCCCTTGTTGTCTTAGCAGTTTTGTGTTCCATTCTAAACATACTGTATACACTACGTACTATTCTGCGAAAAATTTCACTATAAAATTAAACGTTATCTCATCGTTCGAACTTTGATGACCAAAATTGAGTCGCAGCTTTTCGTAATGTAATAATTTCGAACGCACGTTTCAACTTACACCGATTCATTCATGTATATCATAATCACATACAAGATGAGAATTACATTCAGATAAGCCTTGTTGCTTCGCTCGCATTATACATTTTAACATATTAATTTAATGGCCATAAACAATACACGAACGAACATGCAGATCGATATAATCGTAGACTAAACACAATTTAGAATTTTGCCTATATTCGAAATAATCAAATGCAATCAGATTGTTTTATACCACGATGTTTCGTAATATTTTGGCAAGATTATTTCGGTAAGAACCGGTTATTACACATTAGGAGAAAATCTCTTCAAAACGCATATCCTCATAGACTTCTACGCATCGAGTTCTTCGATACGATATAAACGTAACGTATGGTCCCCAATTTATTCATTCTTATATACTGATGCATATCAAGATGTATTCATTTTGTTGTTGGCTGTAGTCCTATTTTATTGTAGATAGGAAATTTTATTAGAACTCGCTGCGTATGATTCGACTAGACGAAGGGGAGATGCGTTGAGCTTTCCTTTTTACTCCATTATCTTCTGTTATCTGTTTTTAAAATTTCTTTGTTACAGTTATAAATGTAATGCGAGTACATCCAAGTTACGATGTAACAACGACGTTACTAATTATAATACAATGTTTCGCGATTATTGCATTGTCATGTAAGGATAATTAGGACACAATGGCAACACAAAATCATCCATATTCGGCAAAACAACTAGCTTCTCGAATTCCCTGAGCAACTTAGCCTCTATCCACTTAGTTATGTAAACGATGTTAACTGTTCTCTCGCCAACTGCAGGTTTTACGGTAAGAATTATTTTCGGCACGGTTTTGAAACCATACCACAAACGATCAGACGGTGCCGGTGGAATGTTTAAGGAAAGACAACCTTCTATGCTGGAGACGGTAACCATTAATCGGATCTCCATGTTCGAGACACCTTCCATGGCTCTTCGAACATAGGAGAGCTCGGTTGCCTAGTTCAATACGAAAAATATGAGAAGGCAAAATGTTACTCTATCGTAATACCGAAACAACGTATTGAAAACGCCAGTATACTTACGTGTTGAAAATATTTATTCGCAGCTATTTTGTCGACCATACTGAGAAACTTTTTTCCAGACGATTGCGCAGAACTAGAAAGAAAAATGAACGATGGATTCAATGAAAATTGATTGCGAACGATAGAATAATTCAGCTACTGCTTACGTTGTTTCTTTAGCCGTGTTGTATAATTGAATCGTAGAAGTATCGTCGTCCTCCGTAGATGTTTCTGGCGTGTCTTCTATATCGCTATCAAAAATTGGTGATCTGGTCATCGATTCGTCTTTTTCCGTTGGAAGTATGACGCCGCCGCCGGTGTTATTGGCAGGAACCGATCCGGATCTTGTTAACTTCATCAAATTTAGTTTAGTTTCAACAGTCATAGTCAACGATCCTTTGTACGTTACATCCAAATCAAACCAGAGACCTCTTTCGTTTGCCACTGGTTTTGTTACGTTGCGAATAATAGGCGCTCCTTGACCTATTGCTACCTCCGAAACTAAAAGGCACTCCATGAAATACGGTAGTTTTATACTAGACAATTTGCGTTGTATTTTATCCTGTATAAGATTTATAGTTTCTGGACATTTATGCACGTCGAACAATATGCGAGCTATTAAACAGTTGATCCAAAGCGTATTGTCGGTATACAGTGGGGACGTATCTTCTGAAGTCGAAGGACCAACGTCCAGATACTTTGCCATGTAAGCACTATAATTAAGTTCAGGTAAGCTTTCGATCGCATTATTAGCTGAAACAGAAGTTTTCGATTCTGTAATAACAGTTCGCTGTGACGTTGACGTTGTATTACAAGGGGATGATGGATCGGTTGCGAACAATAACATATCTTGCTTTTTGGCGCATTGAGATGCGGCTGAAACCAAACGTCTATACCAATCTTCTTTTTCACGATCAGCCCTGGCAAAAACGAAGATTTTCAACTTGTTCTTTTGTTTGTTCCTATTCGAACGTTTTTTAGAAGAATTTTTCCTTTGCCTTTTAAACCGTGATACTGCGTCGTTTATCGTCTCCCACTTTTCCTCTTTTTGCTGCAGCTCCCTTTTTTCATCTACTTTCTTCGCTTCCATCTCTCCATTGTTATCATAGTCACCGTTACCCTTGTCATTGAAGTCAATGTCGTCCTCTTCCTCCAACTCATCGTCATCGTCCTCTTCGTTGTCATTGTCGTTGTCGTCGTCCTCATCCTCGTCCTCGTCTTCGTCGTCCTCCTCCTCCTCCTCCTCCTCTTCCTCTTCCTCTTCCTCTTCCTCCTCTTCTTCCTCGCGATCATGTTCCTTACCAGTCTCTTTCCTCTCTCCTTTTATTTTATTCTCTTTTTCTACTTTCAAACTATTCTCAAATTTTGTTTCGGTTGGTATTGTTCGTCGCTTTTTGCCTCTTTTGTCGACGTAACGATAACCACTACGACCTTTTGTTACATTTCTTCTTACACAGTCGCCACTTTCTCCTTCATCCTCCCTGTCATGTTTTCTCTTCTCTTCCTCTGCAAACCAACCTTCAGCTTCCCCATTTTCCAAAAACTGTTCTTCACATTCCACGTATTCGTTGTTATCAATACCATCATTGTTGAGATCGTAATTGTAACTTTCACCGTCATCTTCGTCTTCAGCAGTGTTTACCTCTTCCTTTTCTTGTCCTTCATTTTGTCCCATAATTAGTTCTTCTTCTTCTGAATTCATAAGCCAAGTTTCGTAATCATTTTCAGCTTCTTCCCATTTAGTCATAGATTTTCTATCCGATACTAATTTTGTTTGTCCGTGATCATTCATCGAATGTTCGCCGTTAACCGAATCTTTCAAATTTACATTACAAATTGAAGCTCCCTTTTTGAGAGTTATACAAATTGGATACTTTTTACTCCATCGTCTTCTTCTGGTAAGACCATAGGGTAGAAGTTCTATCTTTGCTCCATTCAAATTGTAAGCTCTTCTTTTAATAAATTTCAATTTATGTTTTGATTCATCCCAGACAGCCTTCTTTGGTATTTTCATTTTAGTTTCCATTATCTGCAAAATACTTCCTTCTAGCCTGAAAAAAACGGACTTTGTGCGCGCCACATGATAATTATTGGGTTCGTAACTGTAGGGTAGTTCATTTAACCAGCCTTGAAATCTCTCAATCACAGCATGTTCCTCTACTGCCGGAATCTCTAAAACAGGTATTATCGTTGGCCTACAAATAAATTTTTCATCCGGTAAAGTCGTCAAAATCCTTTTAAACTTCGTTACCGTACTGTAAAATGTAATCGTCGTAAAAACACCCACCACAAATCCAAGCAAATACTCCGGTAATGGAGTAACATAATAAATGCAAAAAACAGCAATAAAAACAGCAATTGATCTATATGTCGCTTGACAAATTAATTGTTTTATCAATTGCGAAAGAATCGCTTTAATATTTGTTTGCTTTGGAAACACAGAGGAATTTATGCAGGGTTGTTCTTGGACGTTATCAGGAGATTTCTTCGACGACTCGCTCTTTGAGCTAGGAATGATATCTTTACCAACATCTTCAGAAAATTCAGAGGCTTCGATACCGCTCTCTACGCACTCGTCCTGTAAACTTTTGTCTTTTAAACCTGTCTTCACTCCGGAAAAACCTACGTATTTAATTGGATTGGCTCTGCTACGAACAATAGTTGTGGCTGGTTCGTTTACCTGTTTATCTTCTATCTTCTCATCGCAGGGTGTGACATTTCCTTGATCCTCAGACTCGCTGATGCTTGAACTTTCTGCTCGAGAGCGGCACGGTTTCTTCTTGTCACTTTTTATTCCTGACAGTTTTTCTTCAAACGTTCTAGTTAGTTTTCCTTTAAAATCTGACAATAATTTCCATGGATCTAGAGACGGAGGCGTGCCTTCGGGTATGGTATTCTCAGCGCCAACAGACTGATTCTCAGAGTTGTTATCAGAAATATTCAATTCTTGCGGAGATTTTTTTTCAGCGCATTTCAGCGGGGAAGAGGTTACATTTAACGAGACTTTTTCAAATTCGGGAGTCGATCTTTGCTCTTCATCCGTGCTAGGATATATTTCTTCCAGTTCGTCATCGCTAGCGTGATAATGGATTGCAGGAACGGAGGTCGTGATAGGTTTACCTTACCGAAGAAAAAAATAAATGAATCGGATAGCCTCTGTTGCTTAACGATCATAATCGAATTGCAAGAAACGTATACACGATTATCGAATCTTACCTGTATTTTTTTGCTCGTCTCACCTTTTATCATGGCCAGTGTCACTTTTCTCGGACTGTGCTTGCTGTTCATGATTGTAAAACACCTATTTCAATAATTCATCAGCGGGTAAATACTGTTGGAACGCACATACCGACGAACCACGAATCTGACCCTACGGTTTGTTGTTGCAACCATCGTATAACTCAGTGTCAAACCTGCCTCAAATCGTTATCATCAACAATGATCGGATAAACATTTTTGACTTTGATCGCAACGTCCAATCTGCGTATCGTCTTATCGTGCGCGTCCGCATGACTGTATCAACACAACGTTTAGGACAGACGTAAATATCGCAACTCTACGCGGAATGATTATTTCCTCGATATTTTCGACGATTTTCAATCGAAAAGCCGAATGTAAAAATTAAACATCTCGACCTACTTAGGTTCGTAAGCGAACAATAGACAATAAGTTCGTTAGGCTACATAGTATGTAGTACTTACATACGCGTACTGCCTTAATGTTCAACACTGCCAGAAAGTTTCCAGTGGAAACTGTTTATCTTATTGTTATCGATGCTTGAATTATTAGTTATATATCTTGCGCGATAGAGGAAGCGAGAGCACATATAATTCTGTAAAATGTATTTCTTAAAATAATGTTTCCATATGAATATTTGCAAACAATAAATTTGAGGGTGAATCTTTGCGAAAACTAGATACTCACAAGGAAATTGCAGTGATATTGTTATAATTATGAGTGATAATGTGGTCGTTTACTGATGAGGACACACAGCGGTGCAATATTCATTGTGCATTGTTTTTGACTTTTTTATGGATGAGCATCGTGCAGTAATGTCGCGCGCGAACACACGTGAGCCACGTGTCTGTAACGTATCGTTGTTCTTTAAATGCATGCGCGACGTCGTTCAGACATCTACTGTGCAAACAAAACATTGAAACTATCTGACGTTTTTTAAAATTGTTGGTCATTCAAGATGGATTATACCATTGTTTAATTACGTCGTACATGTGAACGCTTGGAAGCAAACTGTATAAAAAACGCGAATGTCATTTTCACCTAAAATATATGCCATGTGACTGTTTATTTTCTGACGATTGTCATTTTCTGTTGCAATAATACACGCACAGATGGCAACAACATTCACAGAAAAAGGTTTGTGTTGTCTTATGAAATAAATATCGTCTAAAAAGTTTCTGTTATTATTCAGTATGCCATGATATCATTTAATTGCACGAAAATGAACAGATAAAGAAGTGATTTGTGTATAATGCTTTCTACATGTAATACCCTTCGATACAATGGAAGGCGTTGAAAATTTATATGGATTGCAAAGGAGTTTAGACACAAGATGAGGAATCGAGCAATTGATTGGTGTAAAGAAGTACACAGGCTTAGGGAATTCTTCTGTTATATAATTACAATTCATTCTTTGAAAAAAATAGACTTCTGATTTTGTTTAATTGATGCGTGAAATTGGGTGGCTAGCCATTTTATAAACCATGCAACTCATATTGTTTGCATCAGCTCTGTTGGTTACAGGAATATTCTTTAATGTTATTAATCCGACTAATCAATCAGAACGATCTGAGTATTTGTCCTCTTTCGAACGAGAGGTATGTAATTGCATCTGCCTTAGTTAATGTTAATGGAAACTCCCTTTGGTAAAACCAAAATTATAACAAGTATTATATATGCAGAGACAAAATACAGAATTGATACCTGAACAAGATGACCCTCTCTTGATGTTTTCCACGCTTGATGGTTTTCTTGTTGGCATCGAGCAACATTCAGGAAATATACTTTGGCGGCAAAGCGATGGTATTATCCGTAAATAGAACTTTAAAAGTAAAAAATGTCATAATCTACTATACAAGTTTTACTCTTCATATTTCAGAGCCAATTGTTAAGGTACCGGTTGACTTCTCACGAGCGTCCACGTATGTATTCTTGAATCTCTTTGATTGTGTATTTTAACTTTGTCTAATTTCATTGGTTTTTCAGGCCAGTGTTTTTGCCAGATCCAAAAGATGGTTCTTTGTATGTGTATGGAACAGAAACTGAAGCTCTAAAGAAACTACCATTTACAATTCCCCAGCTTGTTGCAAACAGTCCTTGTCGCAGCAGCGATGGAATACTGTACACTGGTAGAAAGATCGACACTTGGTTCAGTGTTGATCCTCATACCGGTCAAAGGGAGCAACTTCTAGGATTTAACAAAGTTAAAAATACGTGTCCTCTAGAGTTACAGAACACTGTTTTTGTTGGTCGTACCGAATATAATATCATTATGGTAGATAGCAAACAAAAGAACAGAAAATGGAATGTTACGTTTTATGATTATTCAGCTGCAAAAATGGAACCCGAAGGAATAGAAAATTATGGTCCGTTATTCGTTTTATCGTTATACATACGTCGTTATTGCATAGATTAAGAATTTCGATTCTATTATTGTTTTCTTGCAGATTTAGTTCATTTTACAACGAGTTCAACTGGACGTATCGTTACCGTGGATAGAAGATTGGGAATCGTTCTGTGGGAGCTTGATGTACAGAGTCCTGTAATTGCAGTGTATACTGTGAGAGAGGAAGGTCTGCTAACGGTTCCCTTTACTAGTGTTGCGGATGAAACGTTGGATCTCCTATTGAAACGTTTTGCGAATAAACCAAGCGACATTCAATTATTGTAAGATATTTTTTCAATCTAACCAATTCAAAGCATACCATATAATGAAATAATGTTACCGTTTTTTCTTACAGTCCAACATTATATATCGGTCAACATAGACACGGACTTTACGCATTACCGTCTCTCGTTGATTCGACAACGGCTACAATATCAAGTAATAATATTGGACAACTGCTGCTCGAAGGTCCACTAGGGGTTTCACAGCTGAGTAAAAATGACAATAACGTTCCACTTTCCTATGGTAACCGTGAATATGTCAATGATGATACCGATAGCACAGTTGCCCAGCCGAAATATCAAGCAGTTATCACATTAGGTAACTATAACAAACGGAAAACTAGAACAATAACGATATATAATTATCAGTTATTAATCAAGTCTTGCCAATCTTATTACCGGGTTAGGTCATTACGAAGTACCGGCTGAATATAAACTGCAAGACCAACAACCCCTTCAGATTACAGGTCGGTCTGATCCTGTGATCGAAACATTACCACTTTTACGATACTTGAATTCGACGAAGGAGTCTTTATTACTTGACTTGACACAAACTGACAGTGAATCTAGTGACAGTGCAAAAAGTAGTATGTCTTGGCGCGAAATCGTACGGAATATTTACGTCACGAGCAAGAGCTGGCTTAATCAGCAAGAGAATAAAGGACTGAAATTAGCACTGGTTGCATTATTAGGATGTATTTTAGCGATGTTTTGGTATTTGAATGCGCAATTCAAGGAATTTCAACAGCTTTCGCAGGTATTTACTTTTTCTTAAATTTATATGCGTTTTATACATTTTTCACGCCTTCTTGGATGTCTGAAGAACGGAACTGGAAATAGTCTTCGATTCCGATTCTCTTGGTCATTTTTACTGAATTCTGGCCGATTTCATGAACGATCAGTTTTTAGCAGGGCTCGCGAGAAAGTAGTCGCAGCGATGATTATTACGGAATGCGATCGAACGTGCTCGCATCGCCACAAGATATGGGCGAAGGGGTGGTGAAAGTTGGAAAGATAAGTTTCGATACGGGGCTAGTCTTGGGTAAAGGTTGCGAGGGAACATTCGTATACAGGTAAGGAATGATTCGTTTTTCATTTTTAATAAATTTGTTCGTCGCGCTATAGAAAAGTTGTCTAATACTGTTTTGTAGGTACCTATAAGCTCTACTTCAGAAAAAAGTTTCACTGAAATATATTCACTTTTGCAGGAGTTGTGGCTGTTTGAAAATTGAACCATTTTTATGGGTCTTTTTTCTCATTTTGTGAGATTAAGGAATAACTTTTCGAATATTTTTGTAATTTCCCCATATTCTTCGCCAAAATACGCGTTGTTTGCATTTTGAAACATTAAAATCGTCCAATCTGTTCCGGAGTTATGACATTTTAAATATTCGCATGAAATTTTCGAGTGAGATTTCTGGCCCAAAATTATATTTTCGGTAAAGAATTTTTTTTCTCGAAACTGGGTCGGATTTCGGGGGTATGTGTATTCACCGAAAATGATTGTAATCGACTCCCGCAACCGAAAATAATTTTTCCAGAACGATTTGAAATTTTTTAATTTAATTGTTAATAAGTTTGTAACAAAGTCTCCATCGACAAATTGATATTCTTGATTTTCGTCTTATTTTGGCCTCTAGAATCTCCCATTAAAATTTTTCCCAGGGGAGGCCGAACACCCTGTATATATGTATATGTATATGTATATGTATAGTATATTTATAGTATATGTATGTATATTATTTTTTCCAGAGGTGAATTTGATGGTCGTTTCGTAGCAGTAAAACGTTTGTTGCCGGATTGTTTTACGTTCGCCGATCGAGAAGTAGCGTTACTCAGAGAATCAGACGCTCACGCAAATGTTGTACGATACTTTTGCACGGAGCAAGATAGAATGTTTAGATATATCGCGTTGGAGCTAGCCGAAGCGACCTTGCAAGATTATGTTACGGGACGATACGATAGACAGAAAATATCTGCGAAAAGCATTTTACGACAAGCCACATCAGGGCTAGCTCATCTACATTGTCTCGATATTGGTGAGATTTTCATCTTTCAACGTATACATACAGGTTTCGCACATCAAACTCAACTTTTTGCAAATTAAATGCACCCTTTTGTGTTGAAGTACGTGATCTTATTGATCGGACAAGGCATACGCTACTGTTTCTATCATCATATTTTCCAATACTGAATTTCATCGAAAAATAATGTTCAAAAATCAAATTATGTACGAGAAATATGCTAGCTGATACTTCATATCATAAAGGTTTGGTAGACGTAATTAATGGCTCCAGTTGCAACTGTTACTCTCACAAATTGTCACAATTATTATACGAATTTGTATATAAAATTATCACCAATTACTGCAGGGAAATCATTATAGATTAAGTTACGTGTACATTATTAAGTATCTATTCACAGGTTTTATACTAAACTCGTACATAATTATGAATTTATAAGTATTTCATGTACTATTTTGTATTATATACAATAAAATTTTGAATTTCCTAAAAATAAATTTATATTTTATTTTATTTTTGTTATAGAAACTTAAAACAAAACAATTTTGTAGAAAAATTTGATTTGCATAAAGTTGAAATTCTGTCTTATCAAATGTTTTTAATTTTTTCATACACAGTCCACAGAGACATCAAACCACATAACGTACTGTTATCGACTCCGGGACCACGTGGAGAAGTTAGAGCTATGATATCTGATTTTGGGCTGTGCAAAAAACTTCAATTAGGTCGTGTATCCTTTTCGCGTAGATCCGGGGTAACAGGGACTGACGGTTGGATAGCGCCCGAAATGTTAAACGGAAACAGAACGACATGCGCCGTGGATATCTTTTCTCTGGGTTGCGTTTTCTACTATGTCCTTTCTGATGGGAAACACCCATTTGGAGATCCATTGCGACGGCAGGCCAACATTCTTTGTAAGAAATTTGGCATACACATGACTATTTGGAACTAATTTAGCTTGATCCTACAAATTTTGACAACACTGTCCAACGAATTAAAGTTGTTTTTCTATTCTGCATTATCCATCAAGTGTTCCTGGTAGAGTCGTCCGGAAGCAGAATTGCTCCATCACCTTTAGGTTTTGAGAAACACGAATGTTTATAAAAAAAAGCACGATTTTTATATCATTGTAAATAATTGTCAACTCTACTAGGAGCACATAGTGAATATTGCAGAACAAAATTTGTGTTGGACATTGTAATAAATGTGTATTGTTGTATAATAGGCGGCGAGAGTGATTTAACGGCCCTTCAAGATGGACTTTCCCAAAGTACCAAAGAGCTTGCATTAATACTTATAAAGGCGATGATTGCTAGTGATCCATCAGAAAGACCCCCGGTAATGGCTGTTCATGACCATCCCATATTTTGGGAATCTGCCCGAGTCCTTGGATTTTTTCAGGTAATCTCGTTATATTTTATACAGGGTGTTCGGCCACCCATGGGAACAAATTTTAATGGAGGATTCCATAGGCCAAAATAAGAGAAAAATCAAGAATACCAATTTGTTGATGGAGGCTTTGTTAAAAAGTTATTAACAATTAAATTCAAAAATTTCAAATCGTTTTGGAAAAATTATTTTTAGTTGCAGAGGTCTATTATAATCATTTTTGGTCAATATTCATCCCCTCAAAATCCTACGTACTTTCGAGAAAAAAATTCCCGATCGAAAATTTAATGTGAGACCAGAAATGCACCCCCGAAATTTCATGCGAATCTTTAAAATGTCATAACTTCTGAACGGATTGGAGGATTTTAATGTTCCAAAAGGCAAACAACGCGTATTTTAGTGAGGAATATGTAGAAATTCTAAAAATATTCGAAAAGTTGTTCCTTGACTCCGAAAAATGAGAAAAACCCCATAAAAATGGTCCAATTTTCAAATGGCCATACCTCCTACAATAGTGAATATATTTCAATGAAATTTAATTTGGAGGTAGAGCTCTTGGATACCTATGAAAAGGTATTAGACAACACTTCCGTACAGCGCCAACCAAATTTATTAAAAATAAAAAACGAATTTTTAAGAAATAGTAGGTGCCTAAATTTTGCGGCGAAAACAAAAAATTTCAAATCGCTCTAGAAAAATTATTTTCGTTTGCGAGGGTCATTTACAATCATTTTTGGTGAATAGACATAAGCCCGAAATCTTGCGCATTTTCGAGAAAAAAATTCAGTACTGACGGAACTTTAAACGTTAATAACTTTTTAATGGAGCCTCCATTAACAAATTGGTATTCTTGACTTTCGTCCTATTTTAGCCTCTAGAATCTCCCATTACAATTTTTCTCAGGGGTGGCCGAACACCCTGTATATTTGAATCGTTTTAACAGCTTGTCGCGTATTGTCTTGTTTATATGATTCTTGTTTCTCCTACGCAAAAACCTTGTTTATTATTAGGATGTGAGTGATCGAGTAGAAAAAGAGCAAATTGATAGTCCAGCGTTAATCGCGTTGGAAACTGACAACGACCGGGTTGTACGTGGAGACTGGAGATTACTCATCGATGTAGAAGTTGCAACAGATCTTCGAAAATATAGAAGTTACCGTGGAGAAAGTGTTAGAGACCTTTTAAGGGCATTACGAAACAAGGTACTCGTTCATTGTTAAAATAAAATTTTTTGTTTGCAATATGGACCAAAATCGGTTTATTTTTATCATCCTCCATTGTATCCGTTATTTGCGGATAAAATTTGTCTAACTCTGTCTGCGTGCAAAGTTTCATAAAAATCGATATGTTACAGTCGAGTGATGTTCCTTGCAAGTAGAAAAAAATCGATTAAAAAGGTCGACATAGTTTCTTATCTCTAATACTCGTTAACGATTTTTATTGGTTTCTCCTTTTAGAAACATCACTACAGGGAATTGAGCCCGGAGGCGCAAGAGAACCTTGGAGACATTCCCGATAAGTTTACCGATTACTGGCTCTCCAGATTTCCCTGTTTGTTGTCGCACGTTTGGAGCGCGATGCAAGCTTTTCGTCACGAACCAACTTTAAGAGACTATTATCACATGGATTATAAGTTCGTAAATAATATTTGTGACACTGAGTCTGCGAGAATTAGAAGTACACGTGCGACAAATTACGCGTTACAATCGACTTCCTGGAGAGTACGAGATAATATTGACTGGAGCCCAAATAAATCCAGATACCGTGGTCAACGACGAAAACACGAGAAAAAGAAAATCGAGGTACCACTCGCTTGGACTTTGTCGTCAAATTAGACGAAGCTGTTCGAAACTATTAACTTTTATCAATGAATTTTACTAACGAGAGTATATACGTGCATGCGAGTACCGATGATGTACTTATTATCTGTAAAAAGGATATTAAACTACAGTGCGCAACATAAAAAATATTTGTAAATAATGCAGTAAACGTTCTGAACGTTTGAAAAGTGTCATTATTAATATAAATACAAGTATAGTTAAAAACATTGAATTGAACCGTTCATTGAACGATTCAATCCGATTGGATCTAATCTCTTGCATCACGTTGGAATAAACAAATAGAAACGAAGGAAATAAACTACCTTCTTTTAGAGTTTTTACATACAAATTATGTAATATTTCCGTATGTTTTTATAAATGTACATATGTCTATGCACGTGTATATATACGGTAACTTTATACAAGATAGAACATAGGCAACGCATGTATTTTTATCTTCTTTCCATTTTTTTTGTCGGTGATGACACGCTGTACGAATGGAAAAATAAAACGATGCGTATGAACATATGATTTACAACCGTGCAAATACTTTCAGGTACACTGAATATCTCCATCGCGAGAACACGTCGATGTGTAACGTCAGTCGAATATGTCTTTCATTCTCGCTCGATAACGTGCCCATTGAAGCGTGCAAGGCTTCTCTTCTGTACATATATACATAATTCTTCGGTATATTTTGTCGTTCCTTTTCGTTGCACATAGTTACTTCCTTCTATTGGAGGAAATGCAAAAAAAAAGCTCGGACTAGACGGAAAAATACCGGATAATAACGAAGAATTTAAATACATCACGACAAGTATGCTAATAGTAAAATTATTTCTCAACCGTTATTTGAACAGCCGTTCGAATAATCTTTTATGCACTACGCGAGTATTGTGGGTTCGCGTTGCAGAACGTTATTAGCCGTTATAGAAGATCTCGAGGTAGATATTTTTTTTATCGAACAGTGAAATGTTTTTCAATCGAGCTTTAAGGAACAGTTTTCTGGACCTGTGTCGGTTCATTCTTGATTTTCATTTTTTTCTCTTCCCTTTCTCGTCTGATAAATTCAGGATCGTTCCAGTATTCGACTTCTCCGCTCGCGAAAAGTATGAAAACGATATTGGTTACGACGAAAACACCAAAGACGATCCAAAACACGATCCGCCATTCAGTGAGGGTCTCATTCGGTGTCAACACACCGACAATATACGGTGTCAAGATACCGCTGAAAGCACCTATGCCGTTTACAATGGCCATCAAAGTGCCAGAGTAATTCGGACTGAGATCCAGAGCGTTGACCTTCATTCCTGGATAAAATGGGCCTGAAAAAAGAATCAAGAATAAAGTGACATTATAACCGATTCAAAGGTGAATTTGATGATGAACGAACCAGGGACTGATACCAAAATGGAAAATTTTCAAGTAACAACCGATTATGTCAAAATGTGTTTACAGTTAAACAGTAAGAATTTTAGTATACATAAACAGTTTTTCGTTTCCATTGGTCTACAGGGTGTTCAGCCATACCTGGGAAAAATTTTAATGGGGGATTCTAGAGGTCAAAATAAGACGAAAATCAAGAATACCAATTTGTTGATGAAGGCTTCGTTAAAAAGTTATTAATAATTAAAGTCAACAATTTCAAATCGTTCTGGAAAAATTATTTTCGGTTGCAGGGATCAATTACAATCATTTTTGGTCATTACACATACCCTCGAAATCCTACGAACTTTCGAGAAAAAAATTTCCGATCGAAAATTTAATGTGAGACCAGAAATGCACCCCCAAAATTTCATGCGAATCTTTAAAATGTCATACCTTCTGAACGGTTTGGAGGATTTTAATGTTTCAAAGGGCAAACAACGCGTATTTTAGTGAGGAATATGTAGAAATTCTAAAAATATTCGAAAAGTTATTCCTTAACACCGTAAAGTGAGAAAAACCCCATAAAATTGGTCCAATTTTCAAACGGCCATAACTTCTACAATAGTGAATGTATCTCATTGAAATTTAATTTGGAGGTAGAGCTCTTGGATACCTATGAAAAGGTATTAGACAACACGTCCGTACAGCGCCAACCAAATTTATTAAAAATAAAAAACGAATTTTTAAGAAATAGTAGGTGCCTAAATTTTGCGGCGAAAACAAAAAATTTCAAATTGCTCTAGAAAAATTATTTTTGTTTGCGAGGGTCATTTACAATCATTTTTGGTGAATAGACATAAGCCCGAAATCCTTCCCACCTTCTAGAAAAAAATTCGAGAAGATGCTGAAATTTTTCGGCAAAATTAAAAAATTTCAAATCGTCCTGAAAAAATTATTTTTGGTTGCAGGGATCAATTACAATCATTTTTGGTCATTACACGTGCCCCCGAAATCCTACGCACTTTCGAGAAAAAAATTCAGTACGGGCGGAATTTTAAACGTTAATAAGTTTGTAACAAAGTCTCCATCGACAAATTGGTATTCTTGATTTTCGTCTTATTTTGGCCTCTAGAATCCCCCATTAAAATTTTTTCCAGGAATGGTCGAACACCCTGTATACGAATTATCTACTCAATTTTATGAGACAAGTTTAGTAGAAGTGTGAATATCTACAAACTTTGGGAGTGTTGGTAACTCAATGAATATGATATCTTGGTAGAATAGTGTTATTATAAGCTTTTGAAAAGTATTCTTTCAAGACTTGGAAAACATTTTGTTGCTTTGGAACAGAAGTGAAACGGTGTGTTTCGTTTGTGAATTGGTACCTACCCATTAACGTCGTACCAATAGTGAACATAATGACCACAGTTGTTCTCTCGCATTCGGCATAGGACGCGCCAAGAATGAACGCTCCTGGACCAAGGGAAGCGATAGTTGTGCCCAGTTTTCGGACGTTGGTGCGCGACATCACACCGCTTGTGATCATCCAATCGGCTAGACAGGATGTAACCACGCTGCAAATCCACATGGTCAGGTACGGTAATGCGGACAGCAGCCCGTTGCTCTTGATCGAGTATTTGAGTACGTTGCTCATATATTTCGGGAGATCGTTCACCAGAGTGAAGAATCCCCAATCGTGTCCGACCTGCGCGGTTATCAGCGCCCAAACTGGGACAGAGGTTAGAATATGCCGCCATGGCACCGAGGGTGGTTTTTTGTGCGTATGGTCTTGCATCCTTTCGCGCAAAAAGTCCTTCTCTCTCTCGGAAATGAACGGATGCGAGTCCGGATTATTATAACACGTTACCAACCATATCAAGTACCAGACAATTCCGACGCTACCGAACACGTAAAACACAGCTGGCCAGCCTATCGGCGAGTAATGAAGGATCATTCCGGACACCGAGTTTGCAAACACCGTACCGAGTTGAGCACCTGCGAACACCAGCGAGCCGATTTTCGACCTTTCCTCCGGCGGCGTCCATTGGGCGAGCAACGCGTTCAACGCCGGAAACGTTGTGCCTTCGCAGAGACCCATCAACACGCGATCTATGATCAGACCCGTTGAGCCGCCATATTTTACAACGACCGGTGTAATCAGAGTGAACACCGCTGTCGCCAATATGCCCAGGCCGAGAGAATGTTTACCCCCGAACTTTTCGGACAGTATCCCGCCCGGCACATGAGTTACTACATAGCCCCAGTAAAATGATGATAAAATTGCACCCTAACCAGGAAACATTTATTATTGGTGGTGATGGTGTTTTTCTTTTTTTTTATAGTCTATCTACAGGCACGATCAACGTTCGCTGTTTACCTGCGTCATTCCGTCCCAATCGTAAAGCTCCGCGTCCGAAGATGATTTGGTCGTATTCGGAGTTACTGTTTTCGGAGTATTATGGTATTCCTCCTCTCTCTTGCAAATATTTGCGTTATCATTGTTGTGTGTAGGATCTGGTGGCAGTACCATCTCGGTGAGTGTGATCGAGAGGCAAACTCTCATCGCGTAAGCATTAAACAACGCCAAAAATCCCATTACTGCAAATACCCATCGTTGTGGTATCCGTCCACCTGCGCGTAATGAGTATATATCGTTTATTGGTAATTGCATCGTTAAATAGAGACTCGTGTTGTCGTCGCCGCCGCCGCAAAGAAGAAAGCCCGAGGTCAACGGCGCGGAAGGAATGACGATTAGCAGAGCCTTTCCCTATTGGCAGCTGTCTAACGAGCCGTATAAACCTATCTAGGTAAAGGTCAGATTCCTTGCACGTAACAGTGTGACTTGGGTGCAACACGATTTAGATTTCGGCTCGTGTCTGCCGTGGAAGGCAAACGGCAAACGTTGAACCAAGGAGAAATAAGGGAAGGAGAGAGAGAGAGAGAGAGAGAGAGAGAGAAATGAAAATTTCGGAAGCACAAAAATCCTTCAACGAAGAAGGTCGTGCGCGTCGGGTAGGTCCCTCGTAACGATAATTCGTGACTCGATTTTAACTAGTTATCGCGAAATCGTAGGGGAGACCGGGTACGGTAATAATACGTTAAGTATCTTAAAATATATACAGTCAGTCTTATAATTATTCGTACCTTGATTATTTATTAAAGTAATTTATTCAAAATATGTGCTGCGTGCAAGAGTTTTGCAATAAATTTTGTCGTCATAAATGGGCACACGTATAAAAATTTATTTATACTGAACTTTACCAAAATCGAGTAATTAACACTAGAACTACCGACAATTATAGTGTGTTTATTTGTACCAAAGAAATTAAAACGATAGATACGTGAAGAAATATATAATGCAATGGAAATAAGTGTTTATATATTCTCTTATAGAAAATTACGATAAATTTTCAAAAATTCAGTCGAGTAAATTTTTTACAAGTTTTATTAGAAATTACGAATGGGTCATTTTGACTGGTTTGGTAGTTCTAGTGTTAATAAAAAAAAAAAATGTATTAATTTTAATACTTGAATACTTTATATTAATTTTCCGAACATTACATTTTTGTTACTACCGACCCCCCATTTTTTTTTTACGAGTAACTTGGATATTCTTTCACGCATAACAAAATGACTGTGACTCGATAATGTCAAATAACAGTGTAACATGTTCGTATAAAAATTATTATTGCATTGTTATTGTGAATGCGATAGTTTCATTACTACCGTAGAAACGGTAAACAAAGTGTTAATACTACCGTCCCCGGTCTCCCCTACGCTAAATAAATATTTTGTAAACGTCGATTATGCCTTCTGGGCAGTTACTTGGTTTTGCTTAAATGTATAAATACGCCGACAAGAAATTATGAATACAAGCGTCATATGCATATTGGAAAAGTTTGTATTCCGACGATGGAATAGCTTGTAAAACAAAAATTTTCTTCGCGATAAATTAAGCCACGAAAGTAGAGACTAGGTCGAATCAGAAGATAAGGCTCGTGACAAAGGAAAACAATGCGGAGGACGAGTCTTGTAAGAAACTGGGGAAAAATAATGATATATACCGACAAATTTTTATTTATTATCTAGATTAACGCGCAGCGATTCTTAAGCTAAAGCAAATACGAATATGCCGATAAAAGTAATTAATTTCTTATCGATGTTACAGCACACACTTCTCGTTCTGAAAGAAATCCACGTGGATAAACTTGATAGAATAGATTCGGCGAAATGAAGTATCGCGACGCGTCGCGCAGTGCGAAACGTTCGACACGCGGACAAAATGAAGCAAAATGGCATTTTACAAAGTAACGGATGTTATTTATGTAAATTTGCTATATCATAGTTAATAGTTCAAGGCGCTTAAAAAAAGATAAAAATAAGATATCTGACTTTTGATAATGAACGTATCAACTCTCACGATAAACAAATATTATTTTTTTTTTAAACATACTATTAGTAAATATTAAAAATTATTTATATATCTAAATGAGTCTCTCACTTAAACAATTTACATAGATATACACATTAAACAGTACCGGTATAGTTATGTTTAAAACAAATACACTATAAATATTATAGTTTTAGTATTTCAATTGTATTATGGCGTGCAATAAGAACTATTAACAACAAATTACAAAATTCATTGTTTCATAATTGAAAATATTTGTTATTCGTCAACAGTTAATTCAAATATTAATTTGGCATTATTGGAGCGAATTTCATATTTTGTACACGTTTTACACGCTGCGCGTCGTGACTAAAATTCTTGACAGCGTTTAGAAAAAGAAAAAAGGATTACACGCGGCAAATGTTTATTTCTTTATCGCGTTCGATCAAAACGATCGATCAACGCACGACTCCACAAACGCGTAGAATCTTTTATTCCGTTTGGTTAAATGTCACCAAATGCAACATCGACGAGTTTATCTTATCTAACAGTGTTTGGAAACCCCAGACTCCGCAGACCGAAAACTAGCTTAAGATACTACTTCAGTACGATTGATTGCATTTACAAGTAGAGTCGTTGATTCGTTGTAGAGATAACGGGAAAGAGATGTTTGGCTTAAGTCATTCTTCGTCGACTGCTAATGAACATTCTGAATTGCTGTAATCCCGCCTTACTAAGCCAATTGTTTTCTCTGTCTCGGCTAACCATTAATCTATACATATCTAGTATCGTTTTATTTCAAAATAAGCGACTCGCTCGGGACCGACCAATTGCTTATTACGAATCGGTGTACTGTTCAATTTGACTTTGTTCCTGAGCAGAACGAGAAAGAATACGGAAAACAAGCGAGAGGCTCGAGTTAGCGGCGAACCGTAAAGTGACCGACAGAATAAAAGAATAAAATATGGCATGTCTCTACTTCTGGGAAAATTTTGATGGGAGATTCTGGAGGTCAAAATAAGACGAAAATGAAGAATATCAATTTGTTGATCGAGACTTCGTTAAAAAGTTATAACGTTTAAAGTTCCGCCTGTAGAACGGCAATCTGGGTACAGCTGAGTGCATGCGACAGTGGTTCTCACTCAGCATGAGAAACTCTACTTACCGACTCATCGACAGTCTTACAGTTTTTTTGAGTGAGAACCACTGTGATTGCTGTTCTACAGGCGGAACTTTAAACGTTAATAACTTGTTAACGAAGTCTCAATCAACAAATTGGCATTCTTGATTTTCGTCTTGTTTTGTTCACCAGAATCTCCCATTAAAATTTTTCCCAGGTGTGGCCGAACGCCCTGTATATTCGATCCTTCGTTTACTATACGACGTCACTATTCATTCAACAGTAAAATGGCTTCTCCGTTACACGGATCTCTCACTCTGCGGCTGACATCAAATAAACAAGAAGGGATAGCGAGTTGCTTATTATGGATTAAGACTGTACACAGAATGTCCCGCGTAACTGGGAAAAACTGTATCTCTAAAACGGTCAAAGATACGAAAAAATGTCATACGGCAAAATTAAACGGCATTGAACGATATACAAATTCAACGTAATTTTGTTCATTTTTATGCGTCGATGCATCTAAATGCAACTGTATTCTTTCTCTTTTTAAAAAGTAGAACTCTAATTTTAATCATACTATTCAATGTAGCTTCTTAATCTGCATAAAGAAGTATTAAGGCAGTTATGTCCTAAATTTAGTAGTTCAATGATTATAACACTTTAAAGTTTATTTTTAAAAGCTACATTGAATAACTTGATCAAAATAATAGAGTTCTATTAAAAAAAAAAAATCAATGTATAAAAATGAAATAAAATTACGTCCAATACGGTAGATCGTTCAATACCATTTAATGTTTCCTTATGGCATTTTTTTTGTATCTGAAACCGTTTTAGAAATATAGGTTTATTTATCGAACGTAAAACTGTACAAATTACACGAAATCCTTGATTGCCTTTATCACCTTTGATCGATGATGCATTATTTCGCTCCACTTCATATTACATTATTATCCGCGAACAAAAACAATTATTTGCTCGTAAAAATACGCGAAAGGTTTTGATGGAAAAATACTGTAAAGGTAGAAAGAAATTGCTTCTAATAACGAATTTAGAATGAATAAAGTACATAATTGCTCTCAGAGTTCGTGTTCTCGTTGTTCCGACCATTTATTAATTACTTAACAATTGTCTCGTGAAAAAGAAATGATTTAAAAGAGAAACTATTATCGAGGAAATAACGAGAAACGTTATTGAAACTATAAGAGCCGTGAACTTAGAGCATGAAGCCGATGTATGGTAGTACGTGTCTTTGAACGTGTTAAGTTCCGTCATTCTTTACTATTTAGGCAAACAATCGAGGCGAGACGGCCTCGATCTGTACGCGATGAGAATATCAATTTTCAGTAAAATCCCATACACGTGATTGCCTTCATTAATTGTATTAATTTTCTCCATCTGTTCTTTTCTATAGCTTTATCGAAGTTCATTGAATTCACAAAATATAATCGAAGCTGCATCAGCACCTAATTCGGATGTAAAGACAATTTTGAACGCAAAACGGAAATATAAAACACAGTTATTTGTTTATCAACATGACAGCGAAAAGCTCTTAATGTTTAGCGATAATTTTGTGCGCTTTATTTTATTTAACAGCATTATATTTAAAACGAAGAAATTTGTTTCTATCTTTATTATTCGGACGTTTCGATCAAAACCTTAAACACGTATTTTTACAATTATACAAGTACATCGAGGTTTAATCTTTTTTTCTTAAGAAAAATCCAGCAAAAAATGTGAACATTATATACTTTATCTCTTAAGAAGCTCCGCGACTTTTCGGAACGCATTATCAAGACAAATATTGACATACCGCGACTATAAAGTACAACCAAGTAATACTTACAGCATGCTTTCCAGGCAGATATCATCTTGTCGAATATTCTTTGACGTTCGAGAATCGTAACAAAATAAACGTGAAGTACAAATTCCTGGTGACCCGGATTAAATAGTAAATGACTTTAATGATCCTAACTCGAACGAAATACGTAACACGTTATTTAGGATTGTATGTAGCGGGTCCAGTAGTGGAGGAGAGAGCCTAATATTTATTCACAAAATTCTTTGGATACAAACAACAGTTGGGTCGTACATACCACGACCACATGTTGCGAGTAACTGAATCGACGCTCTCTGTGCGAATTCATTTTATACTCATGCACGTGTTTCCTCGTTGAACGCAAAAAGGGAAAGGTAACGTGGATAAGAGACTAAGAGCAGTATAATGGTAAAAGTTGACGCGGAGGAGGCACATAACGAAGAAGGGGAAATGATAACGCGACCGGATATAAGTATTCATTTTTTGATTCCTTATAGTTGTTCGTTTCTAATATCTATATAAATTTATATTCAAGTCAGAAGTTAGAAAACTGTACCTGAACCATCGACAAAAATTCAATTCAACGAAAAACCCCGCAAAAAGCAAGGGATAACAAATGTATCACACTATCGACCCAAGAATAAGAAAACTTGTTTTTTCGTTTATTTGCATCCGTTGCAACATTGGCTATCCTTTTCTCTTGATTCCGTTTTTCTTTTTTGCGTTTTTCTATTCGACGATATATCAGTTATTACCTAAAAATAGATGTAACATCCTTTCTCGCGGTTTATCCAACCGAGAAATTTATAATCATTGTTGAGCTAACTTAATAGAGGAAAAGTCTAATTTCAATACGACTATCAGTAATCTAATAAGCTATCGGTTTAAAGCGATCTAATAAACGAGGAATACGACGAACAAGTAATACAAAGTAAATACAGTATAAAGTATTTCTTATATTACTGTAATGATCATCTTCAGCTAATTATACTGGGCGATTAAATTTCAAGACCAGCTCTCGATGATGATTTCACGATACTCGAGTTGTCCTTGGTCCTACAAGAATTTGCTAAAACTCATTTGACAAGTCTCCATTTTTCAAGGAATTATATATTTCTCACAAATAAAAGTAATTTTTGTACAAATATTTATCGTTTTCAGTAAGAGAATAAATATTTCATACTTGCAACGAACTGTAAAAAGTAACAGAAAAACGACGATATTCCTTCGGCCGATTCATAATTAGTTATGGTTATATAAACTGTTTTCCATGAAAATATAGTTTTTATTCAAGATGCGATATGTAATGCGATGTACTTGTACAAATATATGAAACAATTATTGTATATCTTTATAAAAAATTACATCAACTTATTAATTAATATCACACGAGATCAATGATATGAAATCGCACTCGCCTCTAATATCGTGAAATGAAGTATTACTGTGATAAAATTGAACAATTTGACAAGAATTAATAGCGCAGATTATCTAAACTCGATAAGCTGTGTCTTCTTTTATACTTTATTTCATTTTTTAATCATCTTAAATCGATATCAAGAGGATTATCATTTCTTTTTTCGAGAGATTTCATCAGATTAAGAAGTTACTATACAAGCGAATTTTGTTGACGCGTAAAACGATGGTCGCGCGAATAGGCCACAGGACAAATTGTAAACAGGTATGTGCAATTCTTAACATTAACTTAGAGTTTTGTAACTTTTCCTCAACTCCTTATAAATTTGGGGTATTTTATTTGCCAGATATGCAGCTACTTCTTCTGCCTTGGCTTTACTTTCATCCAATTTTAATGTCTGTGAAATACGTGTGACACATTTCGGTCATAATATGTTTTCACGACTAGTCCCTGTTGGGAAAGAATTCTCTAAAGAATTAAAAAGGATACTTACGCATTCTTTTACTTTGTATTTTCTAAACAGCTGAAATAAATTCTGTACAGTCCACAAATTCTCATGAGGTTTATTTAATTTTATAAAGGGACATTCCTTCTGATGTTTCATATGTTCATCCCTATGAATAATCAAAGAGAATCTATATATGTATATTTTGTAATGTTGAAAATATGAAAAAAGATGATAAAATTATTATAATTCATACCACGGGTTGTCATTAGGATCCCAGCCATCAAGTTGTTTCGAACAGATAAAACATTCGACCAGATCAGGTTCTTCCTTGCTACCAATGGCAAAAAATCCAGCAGAAGCCATTTGGTCAGGATTACATAAATTATCAGAAGATTGGAAAGGCCAGTTTTCAAATGTTTTCAATCTACCAGCTTTCCAAAACGTTGAATTTACTTCTCTGAATGAAAGTGAACGATTGAAGAGCTTTGGTACTATTGATGTTATCATTATTATTATTATAACACTTTTATTATGCAACTAAAAGATAATGTACATATCCCATCAGAGAGTTATTATATTAAGGAGATATTCTATATTAAACCTTGCAGTCCAAATGCCAGGTTTCTTTGACCCAGTCTGTAGACTGTTTGCCGTCAGCCAATTAGCATCTTATTACTTAAGAAAACAAAACAATGTTGGCTTTACCGCGACAGCAAAAACTCAATGAATCACTATTTAGTTTTCAATAGAGCTATAGTGAAAAAAATCAAAAGTTTAGCAAAAATGTATAATCCATAATGTGTGCAGAAGCACAAGCATGTGCATATGTACATTATACATATATATTTTTATTTATTACTGTTCACCAAGCAGTAAAAATTAATAAAGAATGTTAATAAAATATTTGCAGCAGAATTTATTACAAAAGTATCCTTCAACAGATTTATACATGTATGTCTGAATTTTCTTCATAGGTCAAAGTGACCCGGCATTCAGACTTCGCATTGCTGCTGATGTAAAAGTCGAAAAGATGGCTCTTATTTAGGTATTACAAAATTTACACTTTTAGTTTGTGTTTTAGAAAAACTAGGGATAAATATAGATTAGAATTGACTACTTAGATAAAGAATGCATATTTGTTGTTGACCAGTGTTATTAATATTTCACTTGGAAAAAATTTGTAAATATTTCATAAATATCAAGCAATATGTGTGAGATTTTTCGACAAAACGAAATTGTATAGATTCTCACTAAAAAATGATGGAAGGACCTAAAGATACATATGCGTTTTTCAATAAAATACTTTTTTAACAATTCAAAAGTGCTCCACAGTTAAAAGGAGCAGCTATTTTAAACCTAACCTCACAGATATGGTGCATACTTGGCAATCAAACTTCTAATATTCTAATAATATAAAAATGGTAACTTACGGTGGGAAATCCATTTCAGTTCGAAAAGAATTTGGTCCCTTTAAACAGAAAGTGTGAAGTGAAATATCATTGATTTAAAAGTCACCGTACTTAAAGCGTCGCTCACTTTATGAGAGTTTAACCGTTTAACGATATGAAATACCGGTTTCGTAACAAATGTGTCTCGCGCCATACCCTCGCTGTTACCTGATTGGCTCCGCCATTTCGTGCCAAACATTGTTTATTTATGGCGGTTATTTGTTGTTCACAATATACAAATATTGATTTTCACGATAGATACATATAAAATTGTATTAATAATATAATTCAAATAAATATATTCTTTAAAGTATGTAAATATAATAAAGATTTGTTCTAACTAATGTGCATGAGGATATCATGAAAACATAAGCTATTGCACAGTGTTTAGCCTAATATTTACATAGTTGAAATATAAAATAGATTTTGAATTTTATTCTACGTGTAATTATGAAATTGATGATTTGAAGTGGAATAAAGTAAAATTGTAATTGTAATTAGATACATATTACTTGTTTAAAATAAATCGTCTGTATAACATCGCATACTTTCGGTTTGGCAATACATAAATGGCAGAGGAGATGAAATAGAGATCGGTCGCGAGACACTTCTAAAGGGAAACTAATCGTGGCCAGAAAAATAAGCTAAATCCCATTTTTGAGAAGTGGGGGAAGACAGCTTGAACGTAGAAGACCACTACTACTTCACACTGTGCAGAGTAGTAGGAGAAACAACATATACTTCACAGAACTATTAATTTATTATTTAATAATATTACTTAGTTATTATCTATTGATATTGTATATCAACCTTATTAAACGATATTAGTTATGTAAATATTCCGTTCTATACTCTAATTGTTCAGACGAACCAAATTAAATAATATTTTTGGGACACATAGAATTTTGTTTTATTTGTATGTCAAGGAGATAAAACTCGACTGGTACAGATGCAAAAGCAATATTGTCGCCATTATTTAATTATGAATTTGATATCTAGTGTTTACTTTAAAATAGTCAACAATTTGTGGTTTATTAAAATAAACAAGAGATTCAACGTGACTTCGCAAAAAAAGTCTGCTGGCGACAAATTACAAAATCTTGATAGCCAGTTAACAACTGTATTTCTCGAAATAATCTTATCATTGATCATCGATCTCAACAAAGTGATCATTTTAGCAGAAGCGTGGCATGTGGCACCACTTTATTGGTCATCATCACATCTCAAACAAATCAAATCAACAATTTGTGGTTTATTAAAATGAACAAGAGACTCAACATGACTTCGCAAAAAAAGTCTGCTGGCATCAAATTACAAGATCTTGACAGCCAGATAACAACTGCATTTCCCGAAATAATCTTATCATTGATCATTGATCTCAACAAAGTGATAATTTTAGCAAAAGCGTGGCATGTGGTACCACTTTATTGGTCATCATCACATCTCAAACAAATCAAATTTATGTAATTGGCGCCCAAAAAAAAAAAATGAAATCGATCGATCGAACACTCGCCAATAACAGTTACAGTTATATCTTCTTAAGATAACATAATAAGGACCAATGACTTTTGTGGGTACAAAGGTCAACTATTGACAGAGGTTGTATCTCCCCAAATTCGATAATTTTGCTTATTGACAAAGTCATCCATCCAAGAGGTGAACTTCATGGAGTTAACTGTATCTCGTAAGAATGAAAACTGAAGTTTCTACGCAGAATCCGCCATATTGGATTTCGAGGAATGCCTAATTCTTGAGAACGACGTGTAGTCGATAAATTTGAATTCTCAGAACCATTTTTCCTTGTAGTAGTAACTACGTTAACGCGTTGGAATGCGTCGATCAACAACTGCACCAATGGCTTCGAATTTTTCCACTAAACGAATCGTGAGTTCTACCAGTCGATTCTGTTCATTATCAATCAAACGAAGTGCACGAAATGTTGCTCGAATTGAACAAGAATTTTGATAATACATTTTAATAATTTTATCGCGTTGAGCAACTTTGTATCTCTACACGATGACTTGTAAAGCACTACTAAAAACAACTGTTACGTGACCCAAACAAGCGAATAACAAATATGGTGGTTATGGTAAATTAAAAGTTTCGTCGCTTTCGTTGGAAAACCCCATGAACGAGTCCGAGTCTCAAACGGATCGAACACGTGTTGCATATGCATGTTCGATGATTGAAAAATCTGAAAAAAATCTTCTGTAACATTGGATGCATCGGGAGATACATACATTTCAAAGATTCTGGATCGATATTCCCCAAGAATTAATGCGACGATGCATCAACATGCAAGAAAGATTTAAAAAAGTGATAAGGCAATGGTGCTGTAATGCTCGTTTCTAAACACACTAACACATTAAATGCTCATAAAACGTGTACTAAATACACAGGAGGTACAAGTCCAACCGTACAACCTCCTCGCGATGTAAATACCTTGGATTGTTTTAATGACGGCGGCACACTTTTCATTCAAAGTGCGATAAAATAGCAAAAAGAAATAGTACGTCAACTTTCAGTGGATCGTTGTAAAAGAGAATGACTTTTCTTTTAAATTAACCGTAAAAAAAAAATGTATTAAGGTCCATAAAGTCGTTTGAATTTGTAAAATTTTGTAGAAAAAGGACTATCTTCGGTTTTCCATTGCGTTCTATGATATAAAAATATCTTCGAGATAACTCAGGTAAAATGTAGAGTCTCCAAGCTTTAGAACGAACTCAAGTGGACTGTTGTACTATGTTCTTTCTACGAAGTTGTAACAATTTAAGGATTAACAAAATTGCCTTCTAGTTTCTAAGCATTAAAACTATTGTTACTTTGGCTCTATGGTATAACACAATTAGATCAAGTAATTCCCCGTTTGATAAGAAATCCGATTGCATGGTTCGAGTAAACATTGCAAGTTGTGCTGAGTCATTTATATCCGTAAATTTATCCGATCAAAGCGAAACATATATAGAATTTTAAATCAAGGTATGGAGTTTATTCAATAAATATGTATTAATGTCTGTAAATCGTATGGAGATCCTTTGGAGAGACAAAGAAATCCGTTTGAATTGATTTACTGCATCTTCAACCTAAAATGCCATAGTCATTGCAATGATACAACTTTTAATCAATTTTACATCACTAGATCATTTTTTGCTACGATTTCACGTAACAGCATATGATGCTGTAATGCAATTCTTATTATCGTCGACATTCATAAATGATGTGCTCACCGAGTCAGAATCAGAATACGCCTGAATTACTATTCTGTTTTTTATACGCTTCCAATAATAGACCTTAACTCTTCTGTCGAATACATACGTTTTATACGGTTCAGCGTGAAATTGATTATAACGTCATATACTAGCAAATACTCTATCTATCTTCATTAAGAATTTACATATTATACATCTTCCTTTATTTCTTTGAAAAACATAAAACCAATTTACCAATTACAACTGACAAGGCGTCTTTATTGTTAATTAATTAGGTGTCTTTTTTTAAAAAGTTTACCATTTAATCATAAAAGAAAATGTACATCCTTTATCCTTAGTAACAATCGCCATTAAGATGAAATATTTTTTTTTTTATTTCCTTTCAATTTCGATTGTATAATAATACCAAACAGAATAATAATGTCACGGCTGTAACGTTATTCACCAGAAATCACCAGTCACTATGTATTTTTGCACGCTATCGTCAAATTATAAGCACTACAGGTATTTATAAATTATGTATTGCTATTATGTTTTAATTATTAAAAACTACAGCAATATACAGGGAAAAATTTTAATGGGGGATTCTAGAGGCCAAAATAAGACGAAAATCAAAAATATCAATTTGTTGATGGAGGCTTTGTTAAAAAGTTATTAACGTTTAAAGTTTCGCCCGTACTGAATTTTTTTCTCGAAAATGCGCAGGATTTCGGGATTATGTCTATTCACTAAAAATGATTGCAATTGACCCCTGCAATCGAAAATAATTTTTCCAGAACGATTTGAATCTTTTCAATTTCGCCGAAAAATTTAGTTTTTCATTTTTAGTAATTTTATTTGACGTCCTACAGAAAAGATGGCTAGTACTTTTTTATAGATACCCATGAGCTCTATGTTAGAAAAAAGTTTCAATGAGATACGTTTACTATTGTAGGAGTTATGGCCATTTGAAAATTGAACCATTTTTATGAGGTTTTTCTTATTTTCCGGAGTCAAGGAACAACTTTTCGAATATCTTTAGAATTTCTACATATTCTTCGCCAAAATATGCATTGTTCGCCGTTTGAAACATTAAAATCCTCCAATCCGTTCAGAAGTTATGATATTTCAAAGATTCGCATGAAATTTCGAGGGTGCATTTCTGGTCTCACACTAAATTTTTGATCGGAAATTTTTTTCTCAAAAGTACGAAGGATTTCAGGGGTATGCGTAATGACAAAAAATGATTGTAATCGACCTCTGCAACCGAAAATAATTTTTTTAGAACGATTTGAAAAATTTTTTTTCGCCGAAAAATTTCAGCAACTACGCGATTTCTTTCTCGAAAATGGATAGGATTTCGGAGGTATGTGTAATGACCAAAAATGATTGTAATTGACCCCTGCAACCGAAAATAATTTTTCTAGAACGATTTGAAATTTTTTAATTTAATTGTTAATAACTTTTTAACGAAATCTCAATCGAAAAATTGATATTCTTGATTTTTGTCTTATTTTGATCTCTAGAATCCCCCATTAAAATTTTTCCCGGGGGTGGTCGAACAACCTGTATATTTAAATAAATGATTTAATCGTGACTGTTAGGAATTTGCCAAAGCAGACGTAAGAATGATGTTTGACCCTGCTTCTTCAGACGTACCGCGCATTTAAAACAATAAGTGATACGTTAGTTTCCGCGGGAAACCTTCACATTGGTCATGCACCGTACATAGTGTGCCATTGACCAGCATCGTGATGCCATAATAGCGGGAAAGAGTGGGGGATGGCGCCTAATCTCCAGAACTTAACACGTATGTTGCCACCATTCGGTTTGAAAACCGTCTCTCAAAGTTATTCAAATCCTCAAAAATGCTACAATCAAATTCTCGAAAATCCATAAAATTTTAATTACAGTGTTACATATCATTCATGCATGGGGCTGAAACGTTTGGTGACTTGGGCGTTGGCTCGAGCATCTAGCGTGCAACCCTTTGAACGGGGTTGACTCATGCCGTATGCGCACACCCGGCCCAATTTTCATTGCCTTTTATGGTAATGCCCCGCCTTAGTACTGAGCATTTTCAACTATATAAGGGCCGCGGTTTCTTACTCGGGGAGCTCAGTTTTACCTAAACTCTTGGCACGACGTTACTGTGACACTCAGGGCAAGATCGGTCTATAATCCCCTTCAAGCAACTATCTACGACTATCTACCTTAGCGGTTTATCAGTGAGTGTCCATTAATCGAGTAGAGCTCCCGCGAACGCGCCGCGTAAAAGCCGATAACAAATCTTTCGCCTTCGAGGCAATTTAGCAATTGTACAACTTCTTGTAAATCCATAGCTGTACTTGAGCATCGTCAAAAATATATATTCAAGTTATTATTCCTTACGTGTGTTATTCACTCAAAGCAACCCTGAACCATATTAACCGTAAGGCTAGGGGTATCTCACGAACCCGGTACACCTTTACCGCTCGAGGTGTACCATCACGACAGAGAGCAAGATCCTAAAACATCCTAAAAACCTACGTGGCTCCCAGGGTATAAAGCCCCTGGTTCGTCCACTCCTACTAGCGGCTCCCAGGGTATAGAGCCCCTGGTTCGTCCGTGAAACCATTCATTTTCCCTATTAATCTAACCCCGTGGCTCCCAGGGTGTAGAGCCCCTGGTTCGTCCACGTAACCTCCACCTACGGCTCCCAGGGTATAGAGCCCCTGGTTCGTCCGGACCTCCTTTCTTTTCCAAACCATACCCAAAACCACCGGTCGAGTACTGCCCCTCGACCGAATCCAGGATCTCACGTTCCCGCTCGTAACAACAGAAATTTCGAAAACAAAAAGTAATATCAAAATCAGATTCTACACCTCGAAAAAGCCCTAAAACCGTTTCATTCATAATGAACAATGTATTAACAATAACACTAATAATTTAGTTCGCATTTCTGAAGATTCAAACCACTGTGTGTATGTCACAGATCACGCTTTTATAGTAATCTTGTTCAATGTATACTTCTAATTATCTTCAAATAAAATATATTTAATAAACCACCTAAATATCTTGGAAAGAATGATCGACAGTTTATGTTTTACCTTGTCTATAGGGATATAAAATACGTATAACGTTGACCTGCCATGATAACAGATATTTGACGCGCGATAGGGAATGTGTTAAATGGCCTATAATGGTGTACAATGGTGTATACATACGTTGCGTACGATTCTAAAATAAATTTTACAAACTGTACGGATATTTCTATCGAATTGTTAATAGTGTTAGGCCAAACGTAATCTAGTTACATTTGTCATGATTACTTATACAAAGTAATTGCATTGCAATTACACTGTAATTACATTGCAATTATACGGTAATTATATGGTTTAAACGATTTACGATTATGATTACACGGTAATTATCGTATAATTACCGTGTAATTGCAATGTAATTACGTTGCAATTACTTTGTAGAAGTACGAGGATCGACTGAAAAGTAATCCACGCTCGAATATAACCCGAGAACAAAAGAGCATAGAATTTTGAAACACTCTCAAAGTTTTCAATGCATAAGCCATACGTCAAGAAAATAAAAAAACCTCTTCCTTTTCGATACTTAACATATACACGTGTCGACGAATACCTACAGCTGATATAAACATGGCATTGTCATGACGACACTGGGATTTATCGTTCTTTTAATCCTTGTGATTGTCATGACAACGCACTGCTAAGTGTCAATCAGTCGATCACAATATAGTTTCGTTTGAGAGATCAGAGTATTTACAATTATGGACCCGAAACAGCTGGATGTATTTGGAGTAATAGCGTTCGACGGTTAGTATTATGATTTTGAAAGTAAACAATAAAATAGCTGAATTTTATGGATTTATTTAAACGCTTTAGAGTGAATTTGGACAGCAAGCAAAGTTACTTCGAATTTTTATAATTTACTGAATTTATCGGGCTGGATATCTTCCCTTCTAACGTCCTATATTATCATCAAGTAGTACATTATTTGTTTGGAAAATTGTACGTACTTATGTTTATAGGTTTCATGAAAAACGGTTTACAACTGCATCCAGATGGGGAGCATTTAGTATATCCGATAGGTAACAAAGTCACCATAAAAAACGCAAAGACTGGCGAACAGACCTTTCTCACCGGTCACAAAAATGTAGTTTCCGCTTTGGATATCTCACCTTGCGGAAAGTTAATAGCTTCCGGCCAAGTGAACCACCAGGGTTTTAAGGTAATTGTTCTATTCGTTGCGGTTGGCTGTGCCAGCTTCCACGGATCGATTTTAAAAAATTACGAAGTGAAAATAGTAGCGTTCTAATAAAAATTTCGCAGGCGATGGTCATAATATGGGACTATGAAAAACGTAAAATGAAAACTAATTACGAAGTTCACAAAGTCAGAGTCGAGGATGTGTGTTTCACGCAGGACGGACAATATCTGGTTAGTCTCGGTGGTAGAGACGACGGTTGCATTATAGTGTGGGACGTTCAAAACGGAAGTCCTCTTTGCGGTAACGCCGTTTTATCTTTTGTATTCTTTGTTCGCTTTATCGGTTTTAATTTATCTCGTTCGTGATCTAGGCACCTCCGCTGGAAACGCGCTGATGATCGCGCGTAAGAACATTTGCAACGTAGGTTTTGTCACTGTCGGGGACGGAACGTTCAAGGTTTGGCGCATAGATCCAAAAGACCAAAGAGTCCATGGAATGGAAGTAAAAATCGGCAAGATTAGGCGCGTTATTAACTGTATCGTTATAGATGAAAACGATGAAAATATCTATTGCGGAACGACATCTGGTGACATCATAAAAGCAAGGTCGTTTAAAGATTTCTTTTCGCGTTTCTGATCCTTCGGTTGAGCTCAGGGGCAAATCCAGGGGAGCCTCTCTTGGGGGGGGGGCTGTGACCTCTGAAAATAAAAACAATTTTATAGAATTTTTTAGGGGGTAACTTTGAAACTTTTTCTAATAAATGTTTAGTAGTTTCGAAAGAATATTTCTTGAACTACTTCTTGTAAAAATTTCGTATAAAAACATTAATTATTAGAGACATAATAGAAACCGGCGTGAGAGGCCTCCAAAAATTTGTTGTAAACGGGCGGACGTCTAATTTTTCATTGCAAATTCTAAAACAAGAAATCATGCAATTTTCTTAAACTATAAGACAGTAGCTTCAGTTGCACGTAGGGATTTATAAAAATCATAATTTATTATAAAATGGTGGAACTTTGAATAAGAGATCTCAAAAACCTGTGAGAAAGTCAATATTTCTTTTAATACCACGTAGGAACGAATTATTTGATCAAAAATTCCGTATGTACAACTGAAGAGAATAGTATCAGGAGTATTAAATCGAATCAAAATTGACTGAGTTATTGAGTCGCCCAGTTTGAAAAAGTTGGTTTCGAGAAAAACGCGTTTAATGCTTCATCCACTTGATACAAACACTCTTCATTCACACCACTTATCGCTCTAGATTAAATACTCCTGGTTCGCATAGTTATCTCGATCCAAACACTTCCCACTCGTATGAAAACTTGATCACAGAAAAAATAATAAAAGAATTTCGAATGAATGTCCCGAAGTAAAGAGCAATTAGTTTCAAGCGTTAGGCATATTACATTTTTTTTTAATCTACTAAAACCTGTAACATTGTTATTTTGCGAATTTTACTTAAATATTTTAGGAGGTCATTCTTAAAATCACAAATATTAGAAAGAGGTAAAAAAAAAAGTTTCGATTTTTTCAATTCGTCACAGTGGTTTCCTCCCTTAAGTGAAGCTCTTGGAATTGCTCCTAATTGATCCACGTTTATTTCTCATTTTACCTATTCATTAAAATAAGAAATGTAAAGAGAAGACAAACTGTAACCGGCCATAGACTTTTTACATAGGTCAAATATGGCAGAATCGAACGAAGAATCGACCAAGTATCCAATCATGATCGGATGCTATTCGAAGATATCACGTGCTAGAAAAACAAAAACAAGCGAAGGAGAGGTATACGCGGGTGGCGTGACCAATTTATTATTCTTACAAAAGCAAGAGATGATTGTAGGTACTGGAAACGGAACGGTCGAATTAATAGAGATTCCAAAACATTCAACTGCCCCTATCGGAACCAGAACGAAGAAATTACTAGTTGTACCATGGATTATAACGGTAAATATGACATTATTTTTCGATTATAATTATATATTACGGTTCTTGTCGCGATTTCTCATTCGGGGTATACATATACAGGGTGTTCGGCCACCCCTGGGAAAAATTTTAATCGGAGATTCTAGAGGCCAAAATAAGACGAAAAGCAAGATCAATTTCTCGATTGAGATTTCGTTAAAAAGTTATTAACAATTAAATTAAAAAATTTCAAATCATTCTGGAAAAATTATTTTCGGTTGCGGGGGTGAATTACAATCATTTTTGGTCATTACACATACCCCCGAAAGCCTACCTACTTTCGAGAAAAAAATTTGGGTAGGTTCCGAAATTTTTCGGTGAAATAAAAAAATTTTTTTCAAATCGTTCTAAAAAACTTATTTTCGGTTGCAGAGGTCGATTGCAATCATTTTTTGTCATTACGCATACCCCCGAAATCCTTCGCACTTTCGAGAAAAAAATTCCCGATCGAAAATTTGATGTGAGACCAGAAATGCACCCCCGAAATTTCATGCGAATCTTTGAAATGTCATAACTTCTGAACGGATTGGAGGACTTTAATGTTTCAAACGGCGAACAACGCGTATTTTGGCGAAGAATATGTAGACATTCTAAAAATATTCGAAAAGTTGTTCCTTGACTCCGGAAAATGAGAAAAACCCCATAAAAATGGTCCAATATTCAAATGGCCATAACACCTACAATAGTAAACGTATTTCATTCAAACTTTTTTCTAATGTAGAGCTCATGGGTATCTACAAAAAAGTATTAGACAACTTTTCTGTAGAGCGTCAAATAAAATTACTAAAAATGAAAAACTAAATTTTTCGGCGAAATTGAAAAGATTCAAATCGTTCTGAAAAAATTATTTTCGATTGCAGGGGTCAATTGCAATCATTTTTAGTGAATAGACATAATCCCGAAATCCTACCCACTTTCTAGAAAAAAATTCGAGATGGTGTGAAATTTTTCGGCGACATTGAAAAGATTCAAATCGTTTTGGAAAAATTATTTTCGGTTGCAGCGGTCAATTACAATAATTTTTGGTGAATAGACATATCCCTGAAATCCTACGCACTTTCGAGAAAAAAATTCATTACCGAGAAATAATGTGGTCAGAAATGTTGCTCTGAAATTTCATGCGTATGTTTAAAAAGTCATAACTTTTGGTCGGATTGATGGATTTTAATGATTCAAAATGAAAACTATGCACATCTGTTCGAGGATTTAAATGTTAATAACTTTTTAACGAAGCCTCAATCAACTAATTGGTATTCTTGATTTTCGTTTTATTTTGGCCTCTAGGATATCCCATTAAAATTGTTCCCAAGAGTGGCCGAACACCCTGTATGTAGGGTGTCGCATGCAACTGAGGAAAGCTATATCTCTAAAACTGTTGGCGATACAACAAAAATTTTTATGCATTGATGCATATAAAAAATGCACCTGTATTCTTTCTTTTTTTAAATAGAACTCTATAATTTTGATTGCATTATTCAATGCAGCTTTTTAATCTCTACTAAAAAGTATTAAGATACGGTAAAGCTAATATGTAGTTCAAGAGTTCTAACACATTAAAGTTCACCAAATTATTTCAATTTACCTTTGTTCATTTTCTTCTTTTAGCCATCTAAAATCAACAAATTTGTTAAGTATTATTTTGTCCCGTACTGTAAAAATTACATTTCGTTCATAGCATCGCACGGGAAATGTATGCGCCACTGTGACATCAATGATACGCTACAAACATGATTTGATACTGGTGGGAACCGCCGAATGCGAGATCTACGAAATGGAATTATCGAGTTTTCGTACACGCTTGCTTGTCACTTGTCACACTGATTCGATATATGATCTTGCGTTTCCACGGTAAATGCACGCATTAAAACTTTATTATTTCATATAGTATAACAAAAGCAAAAGATGACGTAAAAAATATACGCTCAACGAAATGACTTTGCAGTAATCATTCGGAGATATTTGCAACAAGTAGCAAACACGATATTCGTGTGTGGAAATTGACAACGCAAAAGGAGCTGCTCCGAATCACAGTGCCAAATTTCATTTGTTCCAGTTTATGTTTCGATCGCAAAGGCGGCACTATAATATCTGGTAAGTATTAACCGTACGCGACATACTCGAGTCCCGATTATTACAAAATTTTTTTATTTATTGGAGAAAGCCTGGAACGATGGTGCAATTCGAGGATTTGTTTTAAACGGCGGAAATCTCTTATTTTCAATTCATCGTGCTCACACAAAATCCGTGTCGACAGTCACGATTACAAATGACGATTGCAGGCTCATTAGTGGCGGCTGTGACGGCCAAGTCGGTAAACTGTGTATTTCCTTCTTTACGAATGTACATACTCGTGCAGCGTTTGTTTGATTTGAATGTATCCGCTCGTTCAGGTGCGAATATGGGATGCAAAGTCTGAAACGCGACAACTGTTAGAGGTCTTGAAGGAACACAGGGGTCCGATAACGTCGTTGCATGTTTCACCTGATGATAAAAATTTGATTAGTTCCAGTACAGATGGTACATGCATAGTCTGGGATATATGGTAGTACAATAATGCAAGATTAACTTTCACTAAAATTTGCACGGTTAACTTTCCACGTTTCATCCCTTCCTCAACTCTTTGACTCAGCATCTCGAGCTCAACAAAATCTGACTTAGCAAAAAAGAAAAGAAAATTGGTAAAACGAAAGGATGCGAGACATATGCAGTGCATAGAGATGCCGTAATTCCAAATCCTAGGAAAGTTAACCGTAGAATAAACCATTATGTCTATGACCTCTACATCACGCTAGATATAGGAGTAACTACAGATTCCCCGTTGCTATTTAGGAATTTCACGAGAAAGTTTGCGTTACAAGGAAATACAATGTACATGTCAGCATGTTTCATACCTAGCGGTGTTCAAGTTTTGACGTGTGGTACGGATGGTAAAATAGCTTATTGGGAGACTTTGGATGGATCGTTGGTTAGAGAAGTCGAAGGTTCAATAACTGGCACGTTGAACACTATAAGTGTCAGTCACGACGGACGATATTTTCTCACTGGATCCGACGATTTGATTATAAAACTGTGGGAATATCGTACCGCGAATATTATCAGTTTAGGTCTTACTCACGCTGCTCCAATCACGGCTTGTGCTTTTGCTCCGAATGACAAATTTATGGTTACAGTAAGCACAGATGGTGCTATAATACTCTGGAAATGTCCTTCCGAAATATCGAGCGTGCACGATAACGGAATAGAGGAATCGACCATAAAATGCTCGTCAAGTTCTCAGAGCCACCAGAATGACAAAATTTTAGATGACACTGTACACCGTAACAACAGTGCTTGCAACAACTCCAATACGCACGCAAGTATGTAAATGTATTTATTATAAAAGCTCGGACGCACACATAATACTGTAGAATAGATTTATTATTTTTTATTACGCGTTATGTACTTGTATCTATTGATTCGCTGTATTCGAGTACGTGTACAAAAGTAACTAGGCTAGAGACTCGAATTTTAAATTCGATCGATTTTAAATTGATCAATTCCAATTTCAGATATCAAATCACCCTGTAATAAGGGACCTATGTGACAACGATAGATTCTGAAATGGCCTCCGTGTACAAATACATAGAAAAAACGTAAAAGAATGTTCAGATCTGCGGAAACAACGACAAAATTTTTCTTGAAGAAAATTAACAATTTTATTAAAATGGCGCATACCTTCTTTTTAGAAGTCATTTGATGGAACGCGGACGTGACTCATATTAAGATTACAGATACAGCTTTCAAGACGATTGGGTTTTTTCTTATCCATAAAGCTTCTTTCTTGCCATACTTTGCTCTTTAATCTTCAAGGGAGCAAACAAGAAAATAAAATAAAAAACAAATTTCATACAATAGTAGTATAGATTTAAACAATATTTTTATAATTACTATACCACTATGCCAGATATATCATAGAAAGATCAAAAGATTATGTCATAAGAACCGCCCATGATTAAATTTATAATACTTATTAAAATATGGTATAACTGAACGTTGGCATATTTAGTCATTAATGATGGCGATAAAATGTTTCTATACATTTACATAACATTCACAAGAAAGAAATATTCTTGAAGAAACCTTCAGCCCCAAGCTTGACTTTTACAATAGTGAAGTATTAATTTTCCATCTGCTCCATAGCAGTCATATAAATTTTTGACCACCTGATCAGGAGCTGGTGCAAACGTTTGATTTACATACAGAAACTGGCAAAGAAGGAAACATTTATATGATAAATAATTAATGAAATAATGCAACGGGTGTAATTTCTACATTATACTTACTAGTTTTTCATTGGAATCTAATTTAAGATACCTTCTGATAAAATCTGATATTTTACCAATACAGTAATCTTGACTGACAGCCCACTTCTTTTGTTTCATTATCGGTGCATTACCAGTTGCTTTTAATAAAATATCAACTGAAACATTTAAATACTAATAAATCTATTACAACTATAGGGTTTTCCAATAAGAGCAAAAGAACTTTCAATTGTCATAGGTACTATATTATGCGCTTGTTCAATTTATGTGACATTTGTATTTAGTAATATTTACAAGTCATGTTGGAAAGATGATACACATTTACTCGACAAATTGAAATTATTAAAATTTATTACCAAACTTCTTGTTCAATTTGAATAATATGTTGTGCACTTTGTTTGATTTCTGATCAACATGTCAACATGGTACAAGAAACAAAATAGACAGAATTTGGTTTTTCCTATGTTAAGTTTCATTTATTTTAAGAAACTATAAACTGTTGATTATCTTAAAGCAAATAAAGTTTGTTATTGGTAAAATATACCAGTAGCTTAATTATGTGCTAGTCATCGAAAATTGTGTTTGTTGTATTCACTCTACTAAACACAATTGTGGTGGTTATTTAATGATGCCGTATTTTAAGTATAATATTAACGAACGTGCAGCAAAATAAAACAACGAGTACCAGATTATATTTTATAGTTTTCATTTTATTTCAATTTAAAGTTCTATCGCTCTTATTGGAAAATCCTATATATTAGTTGTAAATTGTGGAAATCGTGTTTTACTTTTTGCTTTGTCCTTAGAAGCTGTCTGACTTTCATTTCGAACTAAAGCTGTTTCCGAAGGAATCGTTTCGAGATTAGCTGGCGTTTCCTCGTGCGAACTATCTCCTGGTTCCTCGGATTTATTAGCAATTTCATTTGTAATTGCGTCGTTCCCTTCTTTTTCGGTCATCGTGAAAGCTTCGTAGCAATTTTTGTGGAAACTTCGATTTAAATTCAAATTTCGCAAAACCAAAGTGACAACATCGTATCTCACTTACTAATTCTTTGGATTTAAAATTACGTTAGTAATAAATATAAAAGAAACTTGTAGAAATACGCGACGATATAGTACATTACAAACTTCGTTAAACAATATCAATTGCTAAATTACAAAATCCTAACCAAACACTAACAGATCGAGTGGAACATCAAGGAAATACGAAGCACAAACTATGGTTACTTTTCAATTTAAAATCTACACAGCAATAAAATCGTACTGTCCATAATGACACCATTAAATTGCATGACTACAAATCAACTTCCACATTTAAAATTGTTTGAACGACAAAGAAGCTACCGATATTATCGATAACATATAGTATAATATAAAGCAAAGAGGATTAGATAAAATGGAAGATTGTATACAAGCCTCATGTAAAAAAAGTGTGTATCAGTGCCCTCTGATGAGTTCGATCGGTATTAAACAGACCCCGCGCCATCACAAAATCAATACTTTCGTGTTTCGTAATTTCAAATCTCTCAGCTGAACGAGTTAGCTACATGTTTATTTGTAATCGCTGGAAAAAGGCTGAATTTTTTCATGATAGAATTTATATGAATATAGTGAGTATTATAAAACATAATATTTATTAAGCAGTATAAAGTTAGTAAACAGTAATTAATACTCGCTTACAATAGTAATTATTTAATGACTATTTATTGTATAACTGCACGAAATAATTATATATAATTGCTTAAACTTTCTCCTCTTTTCGCTCCTCAGATCTAATTTTGATTGCTTCTGAAGTAGTTAAATTCTTTCAATATTTAGTCTTAATTCTAAACACTAAGAGTATTAAATTTGAATTCCAGTGTGAACCGATAACGTTGTAAGTGACACAAAAATAGTAAAGGGACTCGCAGCCCCTAATCTGTATGACAGAAAAAAGCATTGCATGCAACGTCTATTCTGCACCTCGTCTGTGCCCGTAGTGCTTGTTTTGTCTCATCGTGTGGCAGAGATGCCAGAAAAGCACCGCCGGGTGCACACGAAACATGCCAGATACGCGTACGTGAGCTCGTGGAGTTTCGGAAAGTCGACAAAGGCAAACTGACGCATGCTCTCTTTCTCGATTCTCCGAAGCTGCCAGAAGTAATTTCGGATCGCCTCGTGGGAGTCGAGAGAGAAAGGCTCACATTTGCCTTCTCGCTCTAAACAACTGAAATCCGACCTCCCGTCAACGGCATACGATTTGGATTCTCGAGCCGAGATTCTCGACTGCCCCAGGCATTTTTACTTTCCGACCTATGTAGGCGCACATAAGCAAAGTACCCATAATGAAAAAAAAATTTTGTAAAATTTATTTTACGGAAATACACGTTTTAAGACCTCCTGATCATATTTTAATTATTGAAAAAAAAGAAATTTTTTTTATTCCCATGTATGAGCACACATATGTATATTATTAATACGATTTTTGAAAATCAAAATACTTTAAGATTGAAAATTAATAAATTAAAATGAGATTCCACTCTTTACCAGTATTGTGCACGCTGTGGTATTCTTCAATAAGAAGAGTTCTTACTTTTATAACATAAACAAAACAGTAGAATTAATAATTGCAGAAATTAATTAATAATGATTTTCCTCGATTGTTTTGAAATAACCGTATCAATTGGTTATGACGAACTAAATAGAACTAACTAGAAACAAAGGAAAAGTGATCCCGTTTGCCAGTTTAATACAAAGTATGGGTTGCATCTTAAATTTTAAAAGGACATAGTCGAATATTTTTAAAGGTACAAAACATAGCGTTTCAGTGTAGAACAGTAACATAAGTTAACAGGTAATGTCATAAAACTGTTTTTCCCAGCTATATCCCTTTTTACCTGAAGTATAAGGTAAAAAGTACAAGCTACAAGGTACGACTATCCGAAAATCGTTCACATTTTATCAATGTAAATGAAGCGGCCTTTCCATCAGAGTTAGATACAAAATTTTGTTATTTCTGTGAAAACAGAACTTTCATTAGATGTAGGTGGTGCTTGAAATTGTTATGTTTTCACTGTTTTTACGAAAAGTACCATCCAGATTCATGTACTTCGTACATTGAAAATAACATATGTTAAATTCAATTTAAAAAAAAAAATATTCGAAGGTCAGACAAAAATATAATGTCACATTTAGTGTACGATTAAAATATGATTGAAAAAATAAAAAAAAAGGATTTGTTTTGGCAGGGTTCGAACCTGCAGAGCAGAAGAAGCTCGGAACTTGCAGGCAAATACCTTGTCATTCACGCCACGCTGGTTGTTGAATGTATTTCTATTTCTGAAGATAAGTATCTGTAATAACTTTATTAATATTTCAAAGTAAAACCTAACCCAAAATCGGGTACCATTCCAACTTTTCCTTGTTAGAACCGAGTTTTCAATTTGTCTTAGCGAAAATCGTAATCACATTTTGCACATTATTCTAAAACATTTGTGGTATTCGTTTTCAATGCGATTTAAGTAAGCATGTAATGTATAAGATTTCATATAATGTTTTCTTTTCTAGAGAAGATAGAGAAAAAGTTTATATAATTTTTTTTATATAAAATTTAATTCGTCCTAAGATTTATATGAAACATTTAAAAGATTTTTTATACATTATGCCTATATATCGGAACAACTATGAAACAAGAGGTATAATCTGTAAGGAGTATATGTGTGTGGCTAGGAGAACCGTTATCGTTTGCGTCGATAGGAGTGTTTAGTCTAAGCTAGAGTAGGTATCGAGTGAGGTGTTTAGGTTTAAGGTGAAATACGTTTTAGAGACTGCGTCTCGAACGTGCGTTTTGTTTAGATCATTATTATAAGATAGGAATAAGGAAGGGTCGACTTTGACTGCAGGAACGTCACTCTGTATCGAACGTTAGTCGAGAGCAATCACAGTTTTACGTTTACGTTTTATGTCTTTCTCTTATGTTCTTTATGTTAAATAGTTAGTAAATATTAAATAATATAATTACATCGTTACGTTTAGTGTTCACGTATTTGAATCCGTCCACACGCCTTTGAAATGAGAACATAAAACTTAAATGTAAAGTTTCATTTAAATTCATTCAGCTATTTATATTCAATCGTATTAATAATATACATATGTGTGCTCATACATGGGAATAAAAAAAAATTTCTTTTTTTTCAATAATTAAAATATGATCAGGAGGTCTTAAAACGTGTATTTCCGTAAAATAAATTTTACAAAATTTTTTTTTCATTATGGGTACTTTGCTTATGTGCGCCTACATAGGTCGGAAAGTAAAAATGCCTGGGCAGTCGAGAATCTCGGCTCGAGAATCCAAATCGTATGCCGTTGACGGGAGGTCGGATTTCAGTTGTTTAGAGCGAGAAGGCAAATGTGAGCCTTTCTCTCTCGACTCCCACGAGGCGATCCGAAATTACTTCGGGCAGCTTCGGAGAATCGAGAAAGAGGGCATGCGTCAGTTTGCCTTTGTCGACTTTCCGAAACTCCACGAGCTCACGTACGTATATCTGGCATGTTGCGTGTGCACCCGGCGGGCGGTGCTTTTCTGGCATCTCTGTCGTGTGGTTATGTTCGATGCTGTTTGAATTCGGCTGTCGAAAACGAGGTTAGGCTACAGTTCCTTACTTTTTTAGTTAAATCGTTCATCTTCACAATTCGCGAATCTATGTAAAATGCCGATAAAGTATATTGGCCGGACAACCACTTTCAAAGGGAAACCTTTGTGGGAGATCTTAGGAAATTTGAAGAACTATGGAATAGGTAGAATAATTGTACGAAGCCAGCACGAACGATATCCCGAACCATCTTACATAAAAATATTAAAAGTAGCCGCACTACCACATGTTACTGATAATCCTCATGTAAGTATTTTAGTCCACATCTACTTTTCAATACTTGTATGGAAACGCGTTACGATCCAAGCGCATACTAAAATGAATTTGTGTATTACAGTACCCTCGAAAAATAGTGGCTCTTGTTGAAAAAACTTTTAGAGGTAAAACAGCCAACAAACCTGTCCAAATAGAGTCGGTAAGTTATAAGGCAGATTATATTCTGATACCTAAAGATCAGGAGGAATGTTATTTGAATGCTAGTAAGAAAGTGCCTGAAAAAATCTTGCCAAGGACAACAAACTTTCCACCTCTTCTAAAGGAACTCTTGATTCGCCAAGCAAAACAAAAGGGAGAACCTCTTACGGAGGAACCAAAACTTACGATTAAATATAATTTACAAGGCATTAAACATTATAGAATCGCAGAAGAGAATGAAACCCCCACACATAATATTGACATTACGAAAAGTGCTACTTTGTACTTAGACGATAAATGTGAAAACTTGCCGTGAATTGGTCTCAATATTTTATACGACTATCTAATTTTATAGATTAATAAAGGTCGAATGTTTTTTATACATCAGGAACCAATTCAAGCGTCATCATTGTCTCGTAGATTTAAAACGTATCTTTCGTTCTCGCGATGCTCGCTTTATTCGCATAAACCATCCAGCGATATTTTTTGCAACGATCCGAATCGTCGTCCATTATACCATCACCGTTGATTTGTACTTCACCTGCGAGTGTATTAAATCTACGATTGCTGCATTTAAATTTAGACACAAAGAATAAAAAGATACTTACCTGGAATACGAATTCTTTGTTGCTCAATGGTGCTGGTCGTCTCTTTTCGGGTCAAATTTTTCGCAGCGATATCCTAGCGTTATGAGAATTTTTAAATCGATCACAAAATATAACAACATAATATACAGCTGCGGACAAAATTGAGTGGACAGGTAATTTAAATAGTACTATTGTTATAATAAAACTTAAGTATATATAGTAACTATTTCCACAATTCGTCCACTCAATTTTGCCCGTAGCTGTAGATATGGTATGTGATATTGTATAGTATGATATAGTATGGTATATATTAAAAAACGATCAAATGTGATACACATCTTGTTTCGATCGTTCACCTTCCAAAATTGCCTCATTTCCTGAACATCCGCGCGTTTTCTTACGAGCCAACCACGAACATATCGTTGCAAGTGCAATGTCGCTTCTTCCTGGGACCACAGCCACGATTTTGGATAAGGCGGCCTAAATGTGGCGATGGATACATTAGAATGACCATCCGCCTCTCGATACAACTTGAGAATTAATTTCTTCCTTACCGCAGACTCAACCATTGCTTAAACAGTGGAATGTCAAATGCGTTCAATCGGGGTGAAAATTTCTTGGAACGACTCGGATTGTTATTCCACAAAATCTCCGCGATATAGTCGAGACCATTGAAACGACACTTTTGGACCTACGATTTTTTTCATGCATATAAAATGTTATCTACTGCCTATACCAACATGATAGAAACAATAAAAATGTAATTATTCGCATGTTCATAAATTCATTTCCGTCACTGTAAGTGAAACAAAGTATACGGGAAAGTACACGATACCCGTAAAGCGTTCCATTTAGAGGCTTCGCTAAGTGTTTCCTCCAACGCGGGTAATAACAACCGAAAAATTCTTTGTACAAGATATTTAGACGGCAATTGATCATTTTCCTGGACCGCAGCCAGCGTTTCTTCTTCGTCGTTTCTGTGACACTCGCAACATACATTCGTGCCATCATTTTCTAGACTGACTACGCTCGAATGTCCGATATCTGGAATCGAGCATCTCATTTCATTAACACGCGTATCGTGATTTTCCTTCGGCAATTTAGAGCAAATCTGCGCACATCCTTTTTAATTCGAATGTTTTCTTAAACGGATAATTGAATGCGCGAATATCATTTGTCAATCCTGCAGCGACGCGACAACGAACCGTCAAACGATCAACAAGATCGGTTTCTTGATCGAAAATTCGATTATGGAACTTCTGTCGGAGCTGCGAGAATTCTCCGAACGGTTGTCGAAACTGGTCTGAATGTCTGCATGCGAGCCTTGGTGTCCCGTAGTAAAAGTTAAGCTCAAAAAAGTAGGTATGAGCCATTCGCATAAAATTTTCTACGTTATCTTGCTCGTTTCCTTCTGCGTGAATCATTGTTCCGAGATAACCGACGAGGTCTCTAGTCGCCGAATCGCCGTGGATCTGTGAGAGGGCACTTGGTTCGAGAGAAATTCGCAAGGCAGCGCCCTCGGTCAAATCCGAGGATGAAAAGTTCGCGAGCTTGGACCATCAGCGCGACGACGAAAAGCACCGTGAGAAAGACGATGCTCGCGACCGTCGTTACCGCGATGATAGGGATTCGGAAAGAGCAGTGGTGACGGAAAAATGGCTGGACGTAAAGCAGGAAAGGCTTGATGGAACGCCGATGGTCGAGAGAAAAATTTTACTCGACGGGGAAGGTAAATAAGACGGTCGAGTTCGAAAATACAATAAGAAACACGACGGAAACCAATGTTAGGAATTTTTTAACTTACCATTCGTTCCCGCCAAAGAAGCGGAAACGGCTCGACGACTATCCGATATAGATGGAAAAACGAAAGCGACGGCCGCGACGCAATCTGGAATGGCAGGTAAATTAAATTTGTGAAATAAAAAACGAATTACGAGATCAATTCGAAACGTTGGCATGAAACGATCGGTTTGTTAGTATCTTCGAGAATTGTGACGGAGAGGGATGTCGGTTCGTCGTTGCCGATCGTCTCCACCAAAGAAACGGAAACAGCTCAACGACTATACGACGTAGACGCGAAATCGAAAGCGACGGTCGTGACGCAATCCGGCATGGAAGGTAAAGAAAATTTCAGAAATGAAAAACGAATCGATGAATCAATTCGATTCGTTAGTGTCTTCGAGAACCGCAATGGAGAAGGATGTCGGTTCGTCGCTGGCGATCGCCCCCGTCAAAGAAGCTGGGACAGCTCCAGGACTATCCGACGTAGGATCCGACAAGCTGGTGGAAACCGATATGATCGAACGAACTGCTAAATACGCGGGAGATTCGTCAGATAAGATCGCGAAACGTGAAAGAATGGAAACAGCGAGCGAAATGGGTAAACGAGCTCACGAGCCTATTGGCGAACAATACGCTTCAGGCGAGAGAAGCGATATCGCGGACCTTCGAGACGAATGTGATCCAAGCTGCTCTCGACGTGTTTCACAAAGCAAGTATAGTTTCTCCGATAGTTAGCGACATTTTTAACTATTTTGTCCCTACCGATACATAATTTTAAAGTATTTGATATGATTCCTGCAGAAAGCAAACGACGCAAACTCGAAGAAAGGCAAAAGTTAGTAGATGCTTACTTGCTGAACAAGGGCACACGTTACTTCGACGATGTCTGCACTTGTTCCCTTTCCTGTATCCTTTATGCCATGAAAAACGATTCTTTCGTTACGAGTATTTTAACGTCTGTCGCCTTGTTCACGCTTGGGCTCAAACTTTGCTCGGAATTAGATGCTTGGTACTTGCCGACTCGGCTCTCATAAAATAAATTACAAGTAAATTTTATGTACGATACAAGCAGTGTTTTTATTTCTCCTTTATTATCGTTGTTATTATTACGATTATTATTTTTATGATTTTGTCCAAAGTTTCGTCCAAACCGTATACGTACAGTGGCTCGTATTAATATTCGGGCAGCATGGTATTCTATATATTACATTATACACGATGATTTACCTAAACACCTCTCTGTCGGTTATGACGATACAAATAATAATTTGTATGTAATTTATATCAAAAGACTAATACAACGGAAAAATATCGTTCTGCCAAGCCTTTTTATTAGAAGCTTTTAAGGTTATCGGTGTTTTTTGGTGAACTCAATAAAGAATTTTGTGCCTTTATAATTATAATATAATTATAAATCATACCTTTATAATATAAATCGAACACAAAACGCAATTGACATACATATACAGGGTGTTCGGCCACCCCTGGGAAAAATTTTAATGAGAGATTCTAGAGGCTAAAATAAGACGAAAATCAAGAATACCAATTTCTTGACTGAGGCTTCGTTAAAAAGTTATTAACAATTAAATTAAAAAATTTCAAATCATTCTGGAAAAATTATTTTCGGTTGCGGGAGTCGATTACAATCATTTTCGGTGAATACACATACCCTCGAAATCCTACGAACTTTCGAGAAAAAAATTCCCGATCGAAAATTTAATGTGAGACCAGAAATGCACCTCCGAAATTTCATGCGAATCTTTAAAATGTCATACCTTCTGAACGGTTTGGAGGATTTTAATGTTTCAAAGGGCAAACAACGCGTATTTTAGTGAGGAATATGTAGAGATTCTAAAAATATTCGAAACGTTATTCCTTCACACCGTAAAGTGAGAAAAAAACCCCATAAAATTGGTCCAATTTTCAAACGGCCATAACTTCTACAATAGTGAATGTATCTCATTGAAATTTAATTTGGAGATAGAGCTCTTGGATACCTATGAAAAGGTATTAGACAACACGTCCGTACAGCGCCAACCAAATTTATTAAAAATAAAAAACGAATTTTTAAGAAATAGTAGGTGCCTAAATTTTGCGGCGAAAACAAAAAATTTCAAATTGCTCTAGAAAAATTATTTTCATTTGCGAGGGTCATTTACAATCATTTTTGGTGAATAGACATAAGCCCGAAATCCTTCCCACCTTCTAGAAAAAAATTCGAGTAGATGCTGAAATTTTTCGGCAAAATTAAAAAATTTCAAATCGTTCTGAAAAAATTATTTTTGGTTGCAGGGATCAATTACAATCATTTTTGGTGAATAGACATACACCCAAAATCCTGCGCATTTTCGAGAAAACAATTCAGTACGGGCGGAACTTTAAATGTTAATAACTTTTTAACGAAGCCTCCATTAACAAATTGGTATTCTCGATTTTCGTCTTATTTTGGCCTCTAGAATCCCCCATTAAAATTTTTCCCAGTGGTGGCCGAACAACCTGTATATTTTATTAATTGAATATTACAAATGCAAGTGTTCGAATACCTTTGTGTATAATTGTACGTCAAACATTGGTAGTTCTAGTAGTTAAGAAGTAGAAATTTTGAAAGAAAAAAAAACTGCTCCAGGTGAGGCTCGAACTCACAACCCCGGCATTGCTCACTAGTCACTGTCTTATAAGTACCGTGCGCTAACCAATTGCGCCACTGGAGCTGTTGGTAACAACCTTGCTAACAGTGATTTTCTTAGACACGACCACAAAATCGAAAAACCATAACATTATGAAGTATTACACGTACTTAATCATGACTTACTGTTTACGATAGTATGCCAAAGAAGAAAATTTGATGATACCATATGTGGATGTGTGTTGTTAAACGAAAATATTATTTGACGATCGTTACGTGCGTATACGCATATGAAAATGCAAGCAATATGGCTTAAAATAAACATTCTGTTGACGCGTTGAGATATGTACATCAACGATGTAGGTGAAAAATTGGTTAGATTCGGTCAATTCTAGTGTCATCGCCTATTTAATTCGTTCGTTCGTTTGTTGTAAAAGAATCGCGAAACATTGAAATGGTAAAGTAAGATGTCATATTTCGTTGTCGTTAAACAACGTCAGTTGCATCGCCTCTGTTTCCTAAACCGATTTATTATGTGTTATCGGTCGATTCATGTACATAATTGCTGTAACTCATGATGCAAAGGTAACGTTTACATAATAGTTCGTTGCATCGTTCGCTCGTTGACAATTATGAAGCATACAAATGTTATTCATATTTCTAAAAGGAACTGCTTGTAACGGTATCAAACTTGTTTGTTGCTTACACAGCATCTGTCACAGCGTTGTTAAAAGAAATTTCTCAAATGTAGAGTATGACACGCATATATGGCATAGGTATAGACACGCATAGGTATGTGTACTTTAGTGCACACTGCGTATGCACATACTGTATATACGCTGTTGCGTTTTGACGTGTCGCTACTGCCATCATCTTCGTTTTGGTCAATTAAACGTGTTTTGGACTTGCAAATATTGTTTGCATAACGTTAAAAAATTCTATTTATTTTGATAATTAGAATACAATGAATATCGATGTATAGTAAACGACAGTTAATCAATTTCAAACGGCCTATACTTTTAGTTTTCTCATTGTGGTTTTAAGAGAAGAAAATGCGACCAATAGCCTTCCTTTGTGTTTCGTCTCGATTACAATACCTTTTTCACTATTTGTGTAATTCATTCTCAATCAACTATGTGAATTTACGATTCTTCATAGATTGTGCAAAATAATATAGTGTTATAAAGTGTAAGCATTATCACGAATACCCTAACCTTTATCGTGCACTTTGCATTTTCGGAAGAACAATTTTTTATTTAGCTTCAGTGCGTTAATATGCAAAGTAAGTTAGTTTCGTTCCTTGGATTGCTCATATGCAGTATAATCATTATCAACATTCAACAGAAGTATTTTATTCTTAATTTTAGCGCCACTATCGTATGCTTTTGCCTATTCTCGTTTTAATTTTAGATACAATAAAGAATGAGCTGGTTTGATGCCACTGGGTTTGCCAACTTGGCCAAGTCTGCTTTGAAAGAAGCCCAAAAAACTATCGACAAAGCATTGGATATCAAAGATGAAGATCAAAAATCTGTGGAGCACCTTACAGAGGATACATCAGACTTTTTCGCAACCTGGGGATTGAAAAACGATGAAAATGTTGATCAAATAGCACAGATCGATGAGAAAAGCAAGGATTCTAAACAAGAAACATCGAGTAGCATATGGGGCAGTTTCAGTGGATCCTTCTTTGAAACTTCAAAATTAAATGAAGATGAAAGTAGTCAGAACCGTATTACTCATTCCAAATCTTTACAGAGTACATCCGACGGAAATGGGCAAAAATCTAGGCTTACATATTCATCATCTTTCTCAGAAGATTACAGAGGTAAAATTTCAAGCCCTTGGGAGGATTCCAAACATACAAGCAAAGATTGCAAGGAGGACACAGTTGACAAAGCCCACAATGATGCTTCTCAAGATATTACCGATGCATCTACTTCTGACCCTTTGAAGCAATCCGATCCGCTGGAGATAATTACTTCAGACAATACAACTTCCGACGAGGACGACAAAATGAAAGATTGTTTGAATATCAATGTAGAGAAATACGACTGGAGCGAGCACTCCTTAAATAAAAATGATGCTATTGTTATAAACGATCAAAGTGGTGAGTCAGAATGCGACAAAACTGAAGCCTGCGAACACAGCTTGTGTATCGATGACCATGCGTTGAACAGAATGTCGTACGTGTCTTCAGAAAATGATAAGAAGAGTTTGGAAAGCGTCGAGATTCTTGGTTCTCGATCCAATACCGATTGCACTACCACACCAGAATCGGACAGCAATTCCATCAGTAATTCGGCAAGTCCTTCTGCTATGGGCGCTAAAGTGAATTCCGAATCGGTGGAGATATTACCAGACAGTCCAGTTACATCTCCAAGTTCTGTAGAAATTTTAGGGGATTGGAAAAGCGATAGCAGCCCCTATTTATCCCCAATAAATCCAAGGCGCAGCGATTCATCTTCCGCCTTGGATAGAGGCGATTCAGTGACGCCCTGTTGGGAAGACAACAGCGCGGCGCAGAGCGGAAGTAAAGAAGAAAATCAATTGTATCCGTCATCTTCCGATATTTCCCCGTACGAATCACCGATGGAAGAAGCAAAAACGCCACACACCGATTCGTTTATGAGCAGCGTAGATAGTTCATCGTCTACGGGGACCTATCCTGGAGGATCGGTTCCGTATTTAAGCAAAAACTTGCCATCGTCCGGTGTGCATAACGTGAAATCTCTCACGTCAGATAGCGTGGAAGTGATACCATACCCGGATGAACCAGACGAAGCGAGTTTGGCCGAAGATTCTTACACCTCTGCCTCGGAGAGTACGCTCACCACGATATTGGAAACGTTTCAGCAGAAAGAGCAAGCTAAAAGTAAAATCGATATTCCCATCAGCGTTTCTTGTCCGGATGATAAACAAGCTTTGATAAAAAGTTACACGGAAGTTGGTTTAAATCTAAGCTTGGACTCCCTAAAAGAGAAACATAATTTACATCTGCCGATCGAAGCAATCACCACGCAGCCTATTCGTAAATTGATGGAATATCTCGACGGAACGGGTAAAAGATCCGAAACTGATCGAAAAAGTCTCGATCGGCTTTTGAACGTTGCTATAGAACCAGTGGAACCGAAAACGAAACAGTACTCTGCCGACAAAATTATCGTACCGCATCCATTAAAGTCGGACACGTTAGAAACTGTGGATCAGCATTTAATGCCAATAGACTCGAGTTGCGAAGGAACCTCAAACGAAACTAATTCAGAAGATAATCTATCGCTAATGCATAAATTAGAAGAACAAATTTCAGAGACACCTTTGACGACTAGTTCGTACGTGAAGACAATGTTAGCGGATGCGATGATCGAAAAGGGTGAGATCATCGAGATCGAAGGACAGGCCGCGGATATGCCTCGAGAGAATTCCCCCATTTCCTCGGAAAGGTATTTGATAGACGTACATGTTCTATTAAAGCATCAGATAATTACATAGTCTCCTGCATACTCATCCGAACGGCATAAGTTTCATCTTGTTTGTTATAGTCGATCCGATCTGGTTAAAATTGGTTCAGATCAAACGAGTGGTCACACCAGTGGAGACGAATTAGAAACTACAACTTCCAGCGACATTGAAATTATATCCAGGTATAGGTATGATTATAAAACAATAATTAGGTGTAGCTTTGCAACGTATTATACTTTTGTTTGCGTGCACGTGTGCATGTTGTGTATGTATTTTTTACGACTGTCTGATACGGTTTTCAAACTTGATGATAAATAACAATTTATTTTATGGAAAAAAGTCCAAATGGCGATTCGAGCTCGACGCACTCACGACAAAGTCTGGTAAAGGTACAATCGGTAAAAAATAGTGATCTTTTGACGAAAACTTTAAAAGCTAGAGAACATTCAAGAGGATTGAGCGAAATTAGCGTGGGATCCGACGAAGGGAACATCGAGATAGAGACATTGTTAAAGCGTGTACAGGAAATGACAGAAATATTAGAAGCTAGAGAATCGAAGCTTCTAGACATGAGCAGAATGAACATGGAATTACACGAGCAAAATATCAATCTAAAAAAGTATGTTCCGATATACGCGACACATGGTTCGATTCATTTGTCTTTCGTTTTGTTGATTTATTTCTGTATTTTACATAGGCAGCTCGACAATTTTGAAAAGAACGCGGAGCAAAGTCAGCATTTGAATCAAATTGCTGACGAATATACACAACGATTGTCCGCGTTAGAAAAAAAGTTTCAGCAAGCGATACGGGAACGAGATTTGTTGAGGAAGAACTTGGAACAGTTAAAATTGGAAGCAGCTACGCGTTTATCCTCCCAAGAGATGTTTAGTTTGAGCGCCGAGAAAGACGAAATCATTAAGGAGCTTAGGGAAGAAGGTGAAAAGTTGAGCAAGCAACAGCTTCAGCATAGTAATATTATTAAAAAGTTACGAGTCAAGGAAAAAGAAAACGATGCTTTAATAAAGAGTCAAAAGTACGTAAGTCATATTTTTTTTTATAAAAGCAAACCAACAAATAGGAGCGCGTATTTAATTTCATCTTTCAAGGATGAGATTATCTGTGGTAACAATATTTAAACGTGGAACGTTTACAGGGAACAAATGGAAGAACAGACATCAGAATTGGAACGTTTGAAGAGATCGTTGCACGCGAAAGAAGAAGTCGAACGATCCCAAATAGAGGCTGTCCATACATTAACGGCAAAAACGAAAAAACAAGAAAAAGAAATTTTAACATTACAAGAAAAATTAGATAACACTCTCCACAGGATGGATGCCTACAAGAAAAGTTTGGATGCTGCGAAAATGTAAATAAAATGATTTAATCAATTTTTTTCTCGAGAGTATTGTTTGTAATTTATTTTCACAAAAACAAGACAAAATTTTTGTTAAATTGTTCCCATTTCTTTCACCTTTGTAGTCACTCGGAGTTATACGTTAATCAACGAATTAATATATTTTAGAGATTTGACCGAAACTAAGAAACTTCTGGCAGCAACGGAAACGGAATTAAAAGAGGCGACAAACAGCGCCCGGGAATCGTGTCAGCTTCTTGCGCAAGTAGAAGAACTGAAAGTTAAATTACGGGAATCGGAGGAAATGCGTGTCAAGTAAATATCTCACAGACGAAATGGTATTCATAATAGTCCTCTGATAAAATAATTTCTTATGCTACTAGCTCGTCCTTTGTCTTGTCGTATGTTTAGAAAAGAAGAGTTTCTTAAGCACGAGAACAGCGAGCTGCTGAAACGCTTAGAAGCCGCCGAAGCTAGAAGCGAAGAACTTTCGGAATCGGTATCGATGGCCACGAAACCATTACTTAGACAATTAGAACAGCTTCAAGCGAATTTGACGCACAAGTCCAACAGCTTCATGAAGCAAGAAAAGGCGTTATCGGAGAAAAATATCGAATTGCAGACCAAAGTGGAAAATTTAATTGAAATGGAACGTTACTTAAAAGAGGAAAATGTTAACTTAAAGTCGAAAATATCTCAGTTAGAATCGAAACTCACTGCTAAAGAGACCGAAAGAACGCGACTGCAAGAGTCGTACAACGAATTAATGATAAAAAAGGAGAAGCTAATCGAACAGAATGTCCGGTAAGAAAATTTCGCTTTTTGGAGCGTTTAGTTCAATTCAAATCAAGGAAACGTACGAGGAGTATTGATGTGGTTTTTTTTCAGACATCGGCAAACTATAGAAACACTTACGCAGTCGCATTCTTCGCAAATAACGGAGCTGAACAAAGAAATTGTGGCGTTAGAAAATAAACTGGCTGTTGAGCAAGCAGCTACGGACGCAGAAAAGAAGAAAAATCACGCTATGTCAGAGCAACGACGAAATGTTGGAAGCAACGAGCGACTCAGTTCTACCACTGATATAGAGGAAGACTCAGTAGATGCGATAAACAGTATTTGGCCGGTAACATATTCACACAACACTATTTAATTTTCATAGCATATAGTGTATGCTAGAGTCTAGAAAATTATGAATTGAACTATTGTAATTTCAGTTATACCATTCTGAAGACAATTCGGAAAGGTACCCGGTGTACGACGGTATCAGGGCAGGATCGAGTAGCACTTCCATATTTGAGAATTTGCAATCACAATTGAAACAAAAAGATGGTATGTTTTCAAATATTTGTTGGCGATACGTTGCTAAATTTTATCGATCGCACTGTTCAACAAATTAATATCTGTTATTGTTCTGCAATATCCATTTCGGGATTCCCAGTTACAGTTCCTCGTCTCAAACACATATCCGGGAACAAAATTGTACTACCACCCTTAGTTTTTGAGAAACGCGAATTTTTGCAAAAAGAGCAAAACAAAATTCGTGTTAGACAGCGTTATCGTCAGTATATTCGAACGATTTGGTACTCGACGAAATTAACGGAATGGATTTGTTTTTATAGGTGAAATACAGCAACTTCAGTGGGAATTATCGCGTCGTAATACAGAACGGGATGCACTTAACACTGAACTATCCACGTTAACCTTAAAGATCGAAGAATTGAATAGCAAAGTTTCGAATATTATGGTTTTGAACGAAAGTTTGCAGGAAATACAAACACGATACGACGCGTTGTTACAAATGTACGGAGAGAAAATGGAGGAAAATCAAGAATTGCGTTTAGACCTTGCAGATATTAAAGAAATGTACAAAACGCAAATTGATCAACTTCTAAAACGAGATACTTGAAATTGTTCGCGATTAAAACATCCTCATTGATTCATTTAAGTTTCATAGATACGACGACACGTTCTTAAATAATGTTGCTATTACAACGAAATCGTCGAGGTTGATTGAAAACGATAGGGAATGGTAGTAAACTATTGATACCAATTATTAATCTGTATAAAATTACTTTAAGGAAGTATCGTGAAAGTTGCAATCTAGTTAAATTAATTTTATGTTTTACGGTCTATACTTTTGGGAGATTCGAGCTGGTCACGTTGAGTTAGAGAATTCAAACTCTGTCAATTTTATATTCCACTTATTTAATGTTTGTGTAAAATTGCAAAAGCTGCAGTTTGAAGTTCCGTTCACTCCGCAGTTATCGCTGTCGTCAATCGATGGACGACTACCAGACGAGTAACTATTCAAATCAATCTCCGTTGTGTACGTATATGCGCGCATACATGTATATACATCGTGTAAAAGTAGAGTAAGAAGGCAAACAATGTGATATGAAGTATAATATATCTTTTAAAGTTTCTCATATTGTAATATACAATTGAATTACAATGTAATTTATTAAAAAATTACGTTCGTTTACTGAGAATGGTATCTCTTTTGTAGCTACAAACGAGATATCGAAAGATTCAAAATTTAAGGTCGTAATTTTAAATTGGGAGTTGAGAACTTATTGACACATAAGTCTGCACACACGGGCGTACACATACATAGGCAAGTAAGCGAGCAAGCAAAGCATGCAGGCAGACAAAGACTCATATTCAATAAGAATAATACGTATCGGAGAAGAAGAATGGATATGTAAAAAGATTGAAATGGAATGGTGCGGAAATAAAGTAGCCAAAACGTATTGATCGAAAAGGTGCCGAAGAAAATCACATGAAGGGGGGAAAAGGAGATACAGAATGATGAATACCGATGGGTTACCATATCGAAAATAAGAGATCCAAGGTAAATGAACCGTAGGTAAGAATGTTTCTGGAAAGAGTAATTCAACCGAAGGGAATAGATCATTCTCATTATTTTTATATATACCGTAAACTTTATTGGTTACAAAGTGCGACCTTCTCTCTGGTCCTTTCCCTCGTAACAAACGGAAATAAAAAAAAAACGAAAAAGAGAAAAACGCGAGACGTTCGAGTGCTCTTTCGAATTGATGTATTTTTTTTTTTACCTATTACGCAAAAAGAAACATGTTTCTTTCTCTTGAATATCTGCAGCGACATTCACGTTTTCTACTTTGCGTTCTCTCTATTTCAAACTATCGTAGATCGGCGATCGACTATTACGACCGTTGTTACAGAGGCGCGATGGTACAATGATTGTTAATCAAATGATGTTATTACAGAAAACGGTGGGAAAAAACTTGAAACAGGCGACTGTTCATCCTGTGCGAGAAACATTGAAATTGCAGATTTTACCGAATAATAAGTGTAAACTTTGCATAAAATGTAAAAACTGTTGTATTCGAGCGGAAAACTAGCCAGGCATTGAAATTATTACTATTAGAATAATAAGAATCAAACGAGGACGAATATAATGCGTCTACATTATCGATGAAAAATTTAGATATATATAATCAGATTAAATAAAAGCACCAATATTGATAATACATTGAATTGTAATAATGCTTGGCTTTTCATTTCCGGCGTCTCAACAATGAACCTCGTTTATTTTATACAAGACTCGATAGTGACGTCGTTGTTGGTCCCGCTGTGAACTCAAACTCTAAATCTAATCACTCGTTAACAGTGATGATACACACGTTCTCCAAAAATTGGTTTACAGTCGTAAGACTCGACCCCGACCGACCGATACGTACGTTTGCTAAGATACTAGGGAAATTTTATGAGTGAATCGCGAAATAAAATAAATTTAAACTCGGAGAAGGACCGTTTCTTCGAACGAATAACGTTCGTGGCAGACAACGCGTCATAGATGTTCTCGTTAAGAGTCTCGAGTGTCGTCACCGTCGACGCGTTAATCGTCATCGAGTTTCTCCGCATCGTCGACTGAACTTTCAGTCGTCTCGTTATTCCAAAGATGCGACAGATTCTATGCTTTTCCCAAATCTATCGTCGACATTTAAACATTAAAGCCATTCCCAACACGTCAACAAATAGCGGATTCAATAACAAATGACTGTCGTTCAATATTGCGATGATAAGTGCCGTTGACTCTTTCCTCAAATGTGCTTTTATTTGTATTGCACGTCAGTCCACTTTTAATAAATAATTATCGTTTGGTAGTTGTTTTAATCAATCGCCTTACGAAAGAAAATATGACGAGAGTACGTTGACCAGTGGAAACTAGCAAAAAAGGAATGGACCTCTATGGAATTGCACAGTACGCGGCGTAGACGAGAGATTATTGAGATAATCATAGAATCAGTGCCAGAATCGAAGTTCGATCGTGAGTCGCTGATCGCGCAGGATTTTTCCTTGTATTTAGGCACGCGTTGCCGAACTTGCACGGCATCCTTGCGGGCATAGACTTTCTCTTCCAGGTGACGACGAAGTTACTTCACACCTGGTCGAACAGAGAGCTGGCTCCATCGAGCGTAGAGCGAAGGACGGTACGAACTCTAGTACCGTGTGTAACGAGCATTGAACCATCGACGCGATCGCGTCAACCTCCTTTCGTTCAGACCCACGGTGTCCAACCCTCGTACAAAAGGGCTAAATTGTCGGTGCTCTGAGCCTCGCGTATCACGTACTCCACCTGTTCGGCCGTGGTGTATTTGCGTGTCGGTTGTGGATCACGTCCTTCCAGTTTCATTCGTACGCGACGCCATACGTTCAACGCGTAAGCATTCCGCTCTTGAACAGCTGTATATACGAGAATAAAAAAAGAAAGATAAGCGATGGTAACGAATGGACGCTTCTAAAAAATCGTACGACCAATAATAAGTAAACTTTACCTTTGCCCGTAGTCGGATCTCTGGCCAACGGAACTCCCTTTTTCGGGCTGTAACACACGCCCTCTTGCCTGGTCAACTTTCCTTTCTTTTTTGTCATAACGACGGCCGAAGTTTCAGTCTCGGTCTCGTTCTCGGTTACAGCCTCGGCCCCAATCTCGTTCTCTCTTTCTCGCCCCTTTTCATTCGCTTTCTCGGTTTCTTTCTGCTTCTCTAGCATCTTTGCTGAATTCGTCCTCCTCTCGTTCGCAAACTCTAGCAACTCGCTGTACAAACTCGGCACCGTGACCGCCATATTCTCCAATTCTTCTTTGATCGTTCTACCTCTAGCTGCGTCGAGGCTGTCTGATTCAAGTTCCTTGACGATCGATGACACGCTTTCGGTAAAAGACCGATACGACGAGAGAAATTCTTGCAAGCCGTCGATATTTTCTTGCTTGGTCATTGTTCGCAATAAAATCCGTACGTCCCACATCAATATATGATGTTCGGACAAGACGAGTTGTAAATTTCTGACCTGCTCCCTCAAGTGTTCCTGAGCAGCTAGCAAACATTCTTGCTTCTCTTGGAGTTCCTTCTGAACGTCTAGTATCGCCTCGGAAATAAATCTTTCCGCGTGCTTCAACCAGTTTATGTCAACGTTGCAATCCACTTGCAGCAATTCGACCAGGCTCTCCTCGATCGCGGTAACGGTAATGGTTAGATTCATTGTTAAAATACAGCTTTCTTCCCAATGCTTGACCAACTTGGCGAAATTCGCATCATGCGTCACGCTCTCCGACGTTCTGGTTCTTAAAGCCTCGTAGTGCAATATAGAATTGCACGTATTAACGACACTGGATGCAAGATTTTGCTGCCGGGTCAACTTCTCGCAAGAAGAAAGCACGGCGTTGTCAAACGCGGACATCACTTCCCCGAGGGCCGGATTCGCCCCCGCGGCCCACTTCAAACGTTGCACTGCACTAGAGACAAGATTTTGTTGTTGCTCCCGTGTTTCGCATACGCGAGACTGTAAACTCGAGAGCGCCGCGGCTGTTTTTCGTAATTCTAACATGAACGCTGAACGATCTAAAAGCAACAAAAACAAACAAGAAATTAGTCGAGAAGAAAAATCATGCCGGTATTAAGTCTTCGAAGAAGAGGCGAACGAGAAAATGTAAAGAAACAGCGAAATACAAGTTAAAAACGATCAAAAGATATACTTACTCAAAGGATTTAGTAGATTGAGGTTCGATCTCAAGAGCAAACTGTCTTCGTGCAACCAGTGATGAGCAGTTAGCTGTAGCTGAAGTCTCTGCATGCTTGCTCTCGCCGCCTCAACGTTTTGCTGAGCTAATCTGCTGCTTTGTTTTCTTCGCCAAGTGCTCTCAAGGGTGCTACTAAGCGCGCTGGCTTGTGCGAGCACGGATCCCGAGAACGATCCCCTTTTCAGGCATAAATCAACAACCTTTCTACACAGTTCCTCCAACGAGACTTTACTCTCAGCCCCGATGTCCCTCTGTTCGATCTCGGTGGTAACGCTCAATCCCATTCTTTGCAGTAAGAGGCAAAGCGCGATGGCAAGTGTTTGAGACGTAACTCCAAGCAGTTGCCTTGACACGTAATCCGCTGTAAAGATTCTTATCGGTTTATTAAGCCTTTCATCGTCGTAAACATTAGCTAAACCACCCTTGAATGCGGTTGCGATATCTCTGCACATCATAAAAAACTCTTGTATAGTGTGCAATCGTTTGACCAGAAATATGTCCTCTAGAACCTGGCAGGCTGCCTTGTTGAATATGGGTGCGGACATTTCCTTTGCTTCCCGAATTTGGTCGATTTTTCTCCACGCACCTGGAATATCGAGCGTACTCAGAGTAGCTATCAACGCGTTGCCCTCCATTTGGAGTTTCTCGAATAATCCGTTAAAGCCCATCAACAACATTTGACCGGGGGTCAAAGTCTCGTCTTGATTCGGTTCCTGAATCTCAGCCGGTCGGGATAGCAACGCTTCGAATCGCAATCTCATGTTGTTTACTACGCTTTGTATCATTGCGTGAGGACTTTCCATTTCCATAACAGTGAATCTCAAATGCATCTCCAACTGTCCCAAAATTTCACCGAGCGGTACACCGGGTGACACAATGATCTCGGTCAGTTCGCCGATCATCCTGATCACAGTTGGCTCTTCCGTTATGATCGTTTTCATCGCCTCCGGCAGAATAATGGTGTGGAAATTGTAATTAAGCTCTTGCAGCCCCTTGTAGATGCAATCGGATCCCCTCAAGCACTTGAGGACGATAGATATCTTGGGGTCGTTATTCGCTTTGTGACACTCGGGTATCAAGCTGATCAACTCAGCGATCAACGACGACATAAGACGCATTTCATCTAAAAACCAATCCCCTTCCCTAGATGTAAGATCAACCAAACAGTCACCCGCACACTTTGCAGCACCTTCCATCATCAAATATCTTTTATTTAGAGCACACAGAGCAGTTATGTTAACACATTCGAGCGCCCTTTCTGCCCCCTTTTCTCGCCTCAAGAAACTCTGTATCTGCACTCTCGACTCTGTGTACGCTTTTTCTATTCGACCAATCGACTCGGGCAAGCCCTCCGACACCATTCTTTCGTATGCTTTCTTCAGTCTCTCGTTTGCCTCGTTCAGAATACCTTGCATCTGATAGGAGAACGTTATTATTTGTTGCACTTGCTGACTATTCGAGCTCTTTAGCGGATCGAAAGTATTTTCGAACTGTGCCATGACCTCGCGACAAGCCTCGACGCTTCCCGAATTCAAGAGCTCATTGGCCCAACCGTGGTAAAGAACCGTACGATGTTGCGACATAATGCTTAATGGATATAGTCTGCAAATTGCCGAATACTGACTTAGAAGATCCAAACAACTTCGTATCAAAATCGACTGTTGAGTAGCTAATTGTGTCAACTCGTTTTCCGATTGCTCGCATTGGAGAATCATTTGACTTTGACCAGCATTCTGCAAAAATTCCTTGACCAAATCGAACACCACGTGATCCTCTTGATTGGCAGACGTTCCCAATTCTGCTAACCACTGTCCCAATTGGAGACCCCTAACCGCCGAAAGTGCCAACTGAAACCGTGACAGTAAGATACATTTCTGCGAACTCTACATAAATGAAGCGAAAATGGAATATAAATAAATAAAAGTAAAAAGAATACACCAGTCGCGTGTACAGTAGTTGCCTCACTTGAAATGCGGGAGAAGTAGAAGGGATACACGTATTCCCACGTATGCATTGATCTCTCGCTCGCTATTCGTCGCGGCAGTTACACACACATGTGGACTGCCTGAGAGCAAAGGAACGAGATAAATAAATGTGCCGTCCCGCGAGACTTCAAGAGAGGCGACTACTGTACACATGCGGCAAAGCGCTGGCACGTAAATAAAAGTTGCGCGGTAATGTCGAATGATTGTAGTAAATATCTAACGAAAGAATATCTGCTTACATTGTGCATATTAATTTGTTTTTCACAATCTTCTATTCTTTCCTTTAATCCAGTTTTCGCCTTTTCGTGAGCATCGCGTGCTCTTTTAAAAGAGTTGTAACGCTTTATCACCGAGTACAGCGGGTGATTGCGTCCCATTGCCTGTGCTTCTTTGACCAAAGCGAGCTGTTGGTGCCTGTCTTGTAGCAAATCCTGACACTGACGAGTGGCGTCGATCGCATCCACCCAGCAGTTCAAACGGTGACACAGAGCCGGAAACACTTTCATCAGTTCATCCCTATGAGTCAACGAATTTGGCAGTCAGTCAGTCTGTGTAATCAAGATCGGAACTTGAAGTCGTTCCTTTAGAAGAGAAAATAGATAACGCTTTTACTTGCTTAAGCTGATTATTGTTTACCAACCTATTTGCCAACCATGCGGCACGCATCTCTGCCGTTCGAACGGCAAACATTGCCCGCGTAAGTTCCTGTTCCAACTGTTTTCTTCCTATACCTGTGCACCTCGCTCTGGCCTGGCATGCTCCGTAACTCGCGATGCTGTTGTCCGCGCCAGCTCGCCAATCCACCAACGGGTCGTATACGAATGCCTCGAGTAAAGTAAGCAGGGTTTCGCGTCCTCGACGCATCACTCGAAGCGTGTGTTCGCAGGCTAGACGGAATATACCCTGAAAACGGAACCACGTCACATTTTCAATACACGCAGACGGAAATGTTAAGCAAACGTATTAATCTTACCTCGACACCAGTTACCCCTAACGCTGTCCTGATGTTAGGTGTCATTCTGAAGGGCACCTTTTCCGGCACGCGTAACGTTTTTCCTTTTTCGAAGCAAACGTTGTAATCGATATGCACAACTTCTCCTGTATTCAGGTCGACCAGCACGTTGTCCAAGTGTCTATCACCGAGACCGATGATGTAACCGATAATCGACATTACGGCGACCGAATAGGAATAATTTTTGGTTGCCTGCCACCAACTTCCAGCGCTTATGCTGTTGCACCAAATCTCTCTGCGAAGACAGTGACAGAAAAATTCGTTAGTACTGTTCCAGGTATACAATAATGCACGATTAACTTTAATAAGATCAAACACTGATTGACAAAGAAATAAAATGATTATAACGGATACATTACTGTACATGGAGATGGATAGGTCGAGGAATAAAATAGTTTTTGTCAACTTTTTAAAACTAACTTTGCCAATAAATCCTTCGGTGTTTCAGCCATTAACTCGGCCAAGACTTGCTTCAAAATTTGAATGGGCCATTCTTTCCTATTCTCCAAACCAATTCCTCGTTCTTTCAGCAACGGCGTCAGTTTATTGTAGAACAGCTCAGACGGTCGCAAAATAGCCGCGCTGCCGGTTTTATTGGTCATTGCGTTCTCCCTTTGCTGCCATCTCTTATAAAGAACGAACAAGGGCGTGACGCCGTCGACCCATTGTATAAGACCGGATCGCGGACCTAACGGTATAACCGAATAATGTCGTGCCCTGTACACTTGTTTTGAATCGCCTTTCTTCGACATCATAGTGTTACATATATTTAAGAACTGCATAATTCTCTCGTCCAAATGAAGGTCCTCCAATCCTTTGAACAGATACGTGTAAACGTGTCCATCGGAACCATGAAAAATGAGCTTCTTAGGCTTGGTCTTGGTCGGCAATATCTGGACGTTATTATCAACGGATTGGATGGTAACAACTTTATTATCGTTGGCAGCAACGCCCGGCATTGCGATACACGTGTTTTTCAGGTTTGCCAACACCGGACTGATATCGTTCATAGACAGAGAATAAGCAGCACGTCTGTGCACGCGTTGGGCTAACTTGCTTTCCAGCTGCTTCAACGACAGACTCGCGATTTGCGGCTTCGCAGGGTTCTTAGGATTGGTAAGCTTGTTTATCGCTTCTTCGATCGAGGGACCGAACTTTTCTTGAAAATTCTTCTCGTGCGGAGTTTCAGCCGGAACGGAGGTCATAGCCGAAAGATTCTCCAGTATGAACGCTACCGGCTTCAATATAATCCTATGCTTTTCGGCGATCAAACTGTCTTTTTCTTCGGTGCACAACCAAACGTTATCCTGTACCTTTTGCACCTCGATCTCCAGCTGCTCGAATCGCTTGGAGATCTCGGTGTGATGCTGGCAGAGAGTTGCCAACCATAGTTCGTCCCACAGTAACGTGATACGACGCAATTCTTTGACCAATATTTTTATTTGTTCAACGGAATCCTGGACTCGGTTCGAGAGGCAGTCGGCTAATTGGGAGAAACAACAATCCATAAATTTCTCGTGTTCGTCCTGATACTGATACACCGCGGCCGAGTTCTCGCCAGCGATCTCATCCTCCTCCTCCTCCTCTTCCTCGACCTCAACAACCGCGTCCTCTTCCTCTTCGCCCTCCTCCTCGATAAAACCTAAATCGTTCCGCGTGGATCGACCAGTGCCCGTCTTCTCATAGAGAATCTTATCGCAATTCTTTCTCTGGCCGGAAACCGCTCCCACTACCGCGGGGAAAGTAATCAAGTGCGGCGAATTCTCCGCGACTCTGCACAACAGCTCCGAGACCCGTGTGCGTACATAAGACTCGGGATGACTGAGCCTCGAGAATAACTGCGGTATTATCTCCTTCCACGGGGCCGTAGGTGTCGACGAGAGTCCAGACTCGAGAACATTTTGCAACTCGAGAGCATGCTTCACGACCAGACGCAACAATCTGAGCGTGGCTGTTATAGTGTCGCAATGATTGGTCTCCTTATTCGCAGCTAGTTGCAAATACTTGAAATACGCGTTCGCGGAGAGCTCGTAATACGAATAAATTTGTTTCTGCGCCTGTTTCCAGATATCAACGAGCATCCCGAGGCGATCGGAACTCGCGCGACTCAATGCCGGAACGGTTCGTAGCTGATTCTCTATCATATCGGACGTGTTTACATCATTGGACGTGTCCGTTATGTCGCCCTCGTCTTCTGGTATCGTTTTGCTTTGACTCAGAATAGAAAAAATCGCGATCATGTCGGTCTCGTCCGTGTCGAACGGTAAGAGATCCCGTATGGTAGTTCTGTCGGAGTCGGTGAGTCGATCGGAATTCGAATTGTCCACGATTTTTCTTCCCCATTTGTAGCACCATCCAGCGAAGCTGGACCACGCGACCGGTAAATCCGGACATTGATTTACACCTAGCTGCATCAATCTGCCAATTATCATGTCCGAGGTAGGTATCGAATCTGTGGTTGGTCCGAATAGCTTGTTCATCAAGCCGTCGTTGTGCACAGCTTCGAATTCGAGCAACTGATCCAACTGATTGTTTTCGGTACTTCCGGCTTCCTGTTGTATCCATTTACCGAGAGTGAGTAGAAGTCTTGTCCCGTTCTCTCGTAAATCGGTCGAACGTTCTCCGTCGATGATGGCTCGCGATATACCAAGCGCGGTCGCGCTGCAAACTTTCAACGCTTTATCGACGCGCCCCATGTCGTACAATAATTTTGAACATTCGCGGAACGCGCGCATATTATTCTTCGACCATTTCACGCGCATCACGTTCTTCAAGACATCGTCGGTGACTCGATCGAAATCTAGATCGACGCGTTCGAATCGTTCCTCGCCCCTCTTTACTTCCTCGATTCGACAAATCTCCCGTTCGGATCGCAGGTAATTGAGAAGTTCACGTTTCGACAGCTTGAAGTTGCCTTCCTTTCGGGCTGTACGAACAATATGCAACCGTAAATCGGCCACCTCGCTCGACAAAGTATTACCGCTGCTCGGCCGTCCTTTGGAGCTGTCTTTCTCCCTCGCGCTACCAAAATATTCCGACCACCATAGAATTCGTGTCAGAACGTTCGAATCCATACGATCGATCTTCTCAGTCTTGTACAATTCGAACGTGTTTTCTTCTCGACCGGATAACAACAAGCTCTTCAATCCATCGGTCGAATATCGTACCAATATCGACTCGGTCAAATATTCCGACGGTAAGTTTCGAAGACCTTCCTCCATGGTTTTAGATGCCACCCTTCGACATCGTGTTATCTCCTCCTCAAAATAATCCTGATAATCGTTTGCTCGGATTCTGAGCGCAATGTTGGTTAGCGTGTTGCTGCATTCGCCCAACGTTTTTGCACAGCTCCAATTCCCAGTCTTCCCAGCTCCATTTTCCAACAAATTCCAGTCGGTCAGATCGTCGAGATATACCGTTTCGTCAAATTCGAACATCTTCAAACACCTTGCTCGTCGACAATCGCCATTCTCTATCGATGTCTGTTGTTCGAGAATCGAATTTTTTTCACGACAAAACATCTCAGCCTCTTGAAGCTTCCACGCTTCCAATCGAGACCAATCGCTGACCGCCTCGTAACACTTGGACAGCCGTTGCATGCAAAAACCAAGTACCTGATTGTCCCCTTCTGGCCTAACATTTTTTCCTTTGCCGTCGATCGAAGAAGGATCATCGCTTTCGCTAACGCTGTCGATACCAATACCAATACCGATACCACTACCAACACCGCCGTCGCTCTCATCTTCCCCCTCTTCTTCTTGCTCCGTATCTTTTAACAATCGATCGAACGTGGCTCGTGTTTGCTCCTCGATGATCAATTTGTAAGCCTCTGCAGCGGATTCGTAGTGACACGCGGCTTCTTCCATTGCGGCCTTCAACCACGGGAATTTTCTCTCCTTCTCCTTGGTGTAAGTATAAAGCCCTTGTAACGCCTCGGCCTCTCCCAACATTACCATTGCTTGCGCTGTACAAAGAGTTGCCCTTTCAAATTCGATACCCTGCGTGTTATCGCTGTTACTCAAATCCTCCAACAATCTTTGGCTGTTTCTCAGACCACTACCAGCCAGTCCCGAATGCAACGATACTACGCACAACGCCAGTCGAATGCGATTCAACCATTCCTTGCATGTCGATTTGTTAGTTCGAAAGAACGTTCTGACTGGTTTTGATAGTGGCGACAGAGCAATCGCGCAACCTTCCGCCGCGTTGTGTATGGCTCTTTCGAGATGCTCGAGAAATTCGATCAAAAGTCGTACGCGGGTATGTTCGCTCAACAGATGATCCAAACTTCGTTTCTCTTTTTTTGTTATTTCCATACTGTATGATATCTCACGCGCCAATGATTTCAGAGCGCTTTCGATCGACGTAAATGTTTCTTGCGGCTTTCCCAGCGGTGTACGAAGTTTGTTAGTCACGCAATGTTGTGCCGCCTCGAAACCGGCCCAAAAATATAAAAAGGATCGATTCGCGAGCCCTAGTCGGTACATCCTTCTCGTAGTTTCACTGTCGGACCTACGAATATATCGGACAACGTGTTACTCAAATTCCTATTCGCTGTTCTATAGTTTTCTACCACCTGTAACAGCATCACATACTTACACGATTGGCCAGCAAAGTGTAAACATCTCTGATAGCCCGAACGCATCCAGCTGCTGATCTTGCAATAGAAAAGCCATGTAAGTCTTAAAGTGTTGAGCTTGCATCTCTCCATTACTGTTCCCCCGCATGTGCAGTCTCTGAGCAAGAATTACAGACTCGGTCGAATAATTCTTAATCCATTGATGTTTCTATAAAGAAATAAATCGATTCCGACAGCTAGAGTCATCTAAGCACTGTAGACCGAAACTACCGGTATACAATGGAACAAAAAGTGCCTTTATTATAAACTCCCTTTCGAGAATGGATCCTCTTAATCTTACCTTTGTTTCTGATAGCAAGCATTCCTTGTTAAGTTTCGGTATTACTATATTCAGAGGCACGCACGTTAAGAACGAACCATACTTCTCCCGTACGACTTCGTCGCACGAGGTCAAGTGTAACGTCGCCAAATCCACTATGCACGAATAGATTTCCTCCCTCCATGCAACATTCTTCGCGCTCATCAACATCTCGAGAAGTTCACAAACGGCAACAGAAATGTCTCGATCGATGCTAGCTCCGCTGGCAACAAGACTCGACAGAACATTCTCATATTCTTTTGTTTTGCTCAGTATACCGATATAATTTTCAGATTGTACACAGATTTCTTGCATCCACGTCGACAGCAGCAATAACGTTTGTTCCGGTGTATATTCGTTGTAACTCTTGGCTATTAGATTGAGAATTATGGAAAGATGGCCGCTGGTCGGCGACGTAGTAGGTACGTCCAACGCACCCGGGAACATATCTATCGGACGACAAGCGGTAGTTCCAGTTATTAAACTCGAGCTCGGCACGAAGTGATTATACCTAAAATAAAAAAGACGTAACAGGTAATGCCGATCACGCAACAAAAATTACAAACTTATTAGTCAAACTACGGTTGTATAAACTTCGAGCTCTTGAAACTCAGAACTCGATGCTTATTTTAACACTAACTGCGCATCATCTCGCCCCGTTCTCTTTCCTTTTCTATGTTTAAATATTTTACCTGGAACAATGAGCGTATAACAAGTACAAGATACTGTATTGCAAGAATGGACTGCTCACTGACAAGCTACTTTCGTATGGCTTCAGTTTCACCGCCAACAGCTCCAAAATGCTCGGCTTCAATGCCCACATGCCGATGATCGAGTTGCTCGCGTTTGCTGCAAAACATTGCATAAAACTGTGTCAGATCAGTCTACAATCTCTTTCGAATCGATTATCATTTCATTTTTATATTAAAACGTAACAACGCTCGCACATTTACCTATATCGGATAAAGCACGCAGCAAAAAAATAACCACAACTTCTGCATCGTTCTTTTTATATTTTATGTCGTCGACTAACGGATTGTCTGCTACCAAACTTTCAATATCCACTAGGACAAGCTTATAAGCGATCTCCAGATCGGACAATATATATCGATACGATTCCTGTAGTAACGGAATATTTTTTAAACTGAGCAGACTGTGATACACTCCGAGACTGGCATTTTGAATAGAAATAGAATCGCGAAATCTCAATTTGAGTAAGACCGAATCCTTCCCAAGCAATTTGTGCACTAATTCCAGCGGTAGGTTCGCCGAGACTTCTTTTATTATTTTCGAGATAGTATTCAACATCGAAATGATGGTATCGTCCCAAAACACGTTGATCCTTTTCAACTGAAGATCGATAAACTTGTAGAGTAACTCGTGATTTTTTGTAATGCGACTTTGAAGATGCCCCAACAAGAGAAAGGCGCATTCGTTCGCAGTTACTATTAATTCTTCCTTTTCCTCCGTTAAATCCAGAGCTTTTTTCTTTCCTTTCATTTCCAACGATCGTACAACATTTAACAAGGGTTCCCTTTCTTTTAACGATGTCTCCTTTTCGATGCTTTGTTTCAAATTGTTTAGCTCGTTTTTATCAAGATTCAACGATTTAAACATTTTAACGACATCTTTCTCGATTAACTCGGACTTGCTAGAATTAATCGAAATAATACTTGTATTTCTAATACGTTTCAACAATTCATCGGCACTCTCCGGTGTAATAATGAAATTTGAAAGCCAAGTTTCATTACAATCGTCCAATTCGATTGCTTTCACAACGGTTTTCAACATTTTTGACAAACAATCCGATAGAAACGACCATTGCACGTTCGGAGTAAGATTCGGATTCAAATGCTCGGATATACTTTTCGTGACTGTGTTAAACACTGAAATCAGAGACGTGATACGAAGAATACATTCTCTAGGTGTCGGTGATACTTCGTCTCCAGGTGAACTTCTGCCAGATTCTGGTAATGTCAATTCCTCGTCGTAGCTTTCCATGTCCTCTAAAAATTGTCCTAATAACGTTAAGGTGAATTGTAGGTCTGCTATCCAAAAGGTTCGCAATCTCTGTAAACTACGGCTAGCATAGCTTGCAATTGCTTTTTGCTGAGTTGAATCGATGTGCCAGCCGACTAATATGTCAACTGTATCACGAAAATGGTTTGAAAACGTTTCAGGATAAGATTCCATTATTAACAATATTGCATCTACAGTTGCTACCAGTAAATCCGATCGATCGACATTCTCCAGTGTCGATTGCAGTTGCGACATCATTAACTGAAAATAAAACAAAAATTACGCATCTTTATTCATCGTACAGTGATCTCTCTTTCTATCGTACACATTTTATTGTATCATATACAAAGAGTGGCCTAATAACTTTCATCACTGTGAATATCTCAGTTATTTTTAGAGATATGGAAAAACTTTATTTATAAAAGCTTTATACTGCAGAGAAGGTCATAACATGCTAGTAATAATATTTTTGTAGATGGAAGATGTCTGGAAATTTTAAGGACATCTCTATTTATTTTTTTAAGACATGGTGTTAGTAGAATAATGGATGTTTAGACAATTTCAACAGCCTTCGATACAAGGTAATTTGACAATAAATAAAGGCGTAAAAAAATGATTCTTACATCATCAGAGGTGCTCAATTGGTGATAGATCAATAAATAATAACTATACCAAAGTCTTATACCAAAAGTCGTTGAAATCATCCAAACATCCACTACTTTATTAGGAACAAAAAAGTATAGTATATTATTTTAAAAAATAAAGGTGAACTTAGAATCTTTAAAAACACACGGTAAATATCATGTGGCCTAATGTGTATCAGGATCTGCTTAAACTCATCGATATTTGACGATGTTTCACTACCCGAATCAAGTAACCACGCGTCTTTAATAAATGCGCAATATGTAAAAAAAGGAAAAAATAAATACCACTGAGAATTCTTTTAGCCTCGGTGCCTCTGCGTCAATCTTAAAAACTTCAACAAACGATTTGATCAAAAGGCACTTTATATCGTCTTTCCGTTCCAATGAATACTTGTTGAAAATCCAATCCATATATCTGCAAATATACGTCCGATGTTATGGTTAAACCAAACTTAACTTCACTGGCAAAAACAGACATATAAGTCTTAGAGTATCAAATTTTCTCATTTACCGTTTGAAGTCCTGTTCAGCTGCATACCCAATACGACCTAGACATTTTGCGACTTGTTGTTTTGCGTCTGGTCCAGGTCCTGTATGTAATATATCCAATAGGCTTTCGCAGATAATGTCTAAATTTCGTCTTATATATCTCTGATTTTCAGGTGCTATTATTCCTTCCTGTGCTTGCTTGCATAGCACTATAAAATGGTCATAATCATCTTCTCTGCACAATTTCCTCAGGAGCTTAGAAATTCTAGAATCTTCTGTAACAGATTTTTAAATGACTTAGGTGTATAAACATGATACAAATATTATATTCCAAATAGTTTTGAAAGTAGCAATTCTGACCATTTATTCTCTTATCGTCGTAATATTTTCCTTGTGAATTTTCTTGGTTCTTCAATGATTCTTGAAATTTGAGTCGAGTTGTAGGGTAATAGCTGGTTTCTGAATTTGAATCTCGGTCAATGGATGTCTTTTTAAAAGCTCTACCCCGTAATGCACCTCTGGCACGATCTCCGGAACTCCCACCACGAGCCATTCGAAATTCATTTCGTGGAGCACCACCGATTCTGTAATAAATTATACAAAGTCCAAGAATCCATTAAAATAACTAATCATGAATATATTTTACCTTGGCTTGAATCTGGAAAAATTATGGTCGGAGGAATAATTGTTTGTGCTTCTATGACAAATGACCAATGTGCCACGTGGAGCATTAAAATCGTTTATACTGTAACTGTTTAAAACATTCACTTCTCCCTTCTCTAACTCTCCAGCTCGATTATTACCAACAGTTTCTTCCTGTATCTCCAAACACTTAGATCCACGTAGCTTTGTGCTAATATTAGAGTTCCCACAGCTATTCATTACATTACTGTGCAGACGATCTGCATGACCTACACTTTGCATATATAATGTGCTATACGCATACAATAATAGTCATCTATAATAATAAATGATAAAGAATTCAAAAGCACAAATATTATATAATAAAATATATTTCAGCATCAAAGTTCAAATAGATGTTGTGTATTGTTAAGGTTGGACCACTCGCAGCTACATCTTTGGTATATAGAAAAAAGAGCTTAATGATCATAAAACAAATAACCAAGAAAAAAAAATTGTATTACAACAAATCTGCCAAATAGAAACAATTAAATTTGCTGCATTTCTTGTAAAACACACAATAAATTTGTTCAAGAGAATAAATATAATATTCGCTAGTTCGATTTTCATAAAAATCACTTGCTCCGAAAAACACTTTCGGACACGCATGGAAAATACATTGATTTCAGGTCGATCATATTTCGTTGAAGAAAGATAAACGAATAGTAAAATAATATGCGTAACAAATTCGTCACGCGTCCGAATCCAACGTACACCGTGTCGACAACAACAACCGATCAACAGAGAGTCTACAGAAAAATTTACAAATTGACGAACACAGAATTGCAACACGACCTTATTCGCGTGTTGCTTTATGCGCGACAGATTCTTCGGCGTTATCCAAAAATCATACGTGCGACTGTTCAAATTAAACTTTGTTAGATATATAGAAACCAACCACACGGAGTCGAAACGGATCAAACATCATTTACGAGCGATACTTTCCACGCTATCCGTGACGTACTCTCTGTAAACAGCGAATATTTTGACATTACTTTCTCACTCTTGAAATTCTTTCTTTTAAATTCATCGAAAGTTGTGCAATCCAAAGCAAAAAACAGATAGAAAAAGGTATAAACGAAAATAAATCAAGTAGATCAACGAATGAACACGCCACATGCGTTCTAAGCACTAACGAATGGACTAACGAGGGCAAACCCACGCTATACACGCACAGAAACACTTATTTGCGAATGATTATGAAGATTTCGTACCTTATACATAAACTAGGAACTTTAACTCTAGCTACATATAATTATGCTACACTCGTCACTTATATGGATGTATATATATGGATATAATGAAACCATGTGCAACAAAATGATGAAGCAACGAAACTTGAACCAATGCAAATCGTTTGAATAATATTCTGATCGATTCCATAATCTAATTGGTCTGGATCGACCAATATCGCCAAAATTGTTCTACGTAAAATTATCAGTGATCCAATCACCGAGCAAATACATTTATGAAATGTACAGTAAATATACACAATGATGCATAACTATTCTTATCAATGTGCAATAATACTTTTCATTTTTTGTTTATAATAATTCTATGTGTGTAGTACTTTACAATGGTTAGAGTTAATGTATCGATTAACAATCGAAAATAATCAACTAATTATTAAGTAATTTAACGTGTCTTTATTTTATAATTTAAGCTACATTTTTCTTCATAGTTTCAAACAAGAATCATGAATAATCGCAATCGATTTCATCCCCGAAGTCGATTGCTTGAGAATGAACCTTTAATAGACCGTTTCTCCCTCTATTTTCCTTATCTTTTGTTCATGATGACGTTACATTTCGTGGTAACCATGCTTTAGAGCGACCTCTTCGTTCAAAAAATGATGACTTGAAGAACTATAATCAGTTGAACACAGTCAGTCGACAGTTCAAATTTTAAAGTTTAAAATCTGACTCATACTTTGTATTAACATCGCGAACGAAATCATTCGTTAAGTGTTTTGTTTTTGTTTCTATGCCAACATTGTCACCTCAGAAACTTTACTGCTCTGCATAGTAGTGGGAAACGGTTTGAACGATGGTGGGGATCTTGTGGTCCCTAGCCAAATAAAGTTCGGTTATCCGTGTCAAATCGACGGGTACCTAACGGATTAGTTTCTATATTGTTATTTCTATAGTGTCGTGACATTTTATGTATTTGGGTAAGTTTTTAGCAGTTAGTTTTTAATTAGTGCACGTAATTAAATTATTATTTAATATTTTTATTAAAAAATAACAGCGTTTGAGGAACCCCCAAAAAAGTTGAAATATAGTTTTTAATCTGCTTGGATGAATGGTCTAAATTTAAAATCATAATTATTTGAAGTGCCAAAAAATAATGCAGTTTTTTATTGTTCTTTATGTAAAAAAATTTAAATGTCGATCCTCAAACGTCAAGAGGCATTCAGAATCTACGAGACATAAATCTTTATTTTCTAAAGAAACTTTTATAAATAATGATATTATAACGAAACGTCTGCAACAAACTTTCATGCCTCAATGATTTGAAGCTTTGAAGCTTTTGTGTTTACTACAAAAGCACAGTTCGCGCGGAAACGCGTGTTCTGCAACCGCAACTAATTAGAGAGCTACTTTCGTTCCTATAGTTCGTGTGTATATTAATAAAAATTGATGTATTTACGAGCTCTTTTTTCATTATATTATGATTTCACTGTATTAATTAAAGTTAAGGCAAATCAAACATATAACATTTAGTTCTTTGTAACAAATTAATACAATTATCTCGAAACGTATCGAGAAGAATTATTAATCTACTTTTGCAATTAGTTCTTCTGTTTTGATCATATTATAAAATAAGAACATTTGTTATTGAAGACTTCTACAGGTTTGCTTTTGAGAAATGTAGGCGACGTCGGTCACGACGACCCTTGTAGTTTGCTGACATTTCGAATAGATGGCGATGCAAAAGCGAGAAATGTAGGGACTGCGGTCTTCCCTCTCACTCTAGCTGCGAGAGTGGGGGAAGCGCCCATGTTGCGCTCGGCGTGAACCCACCTGGAGAGTCAGCTGTTGTTCAAGACTCAAAGCCTTCAGACGTGTCTTCGCGTCCCACTTATTTTCGATAAACTCCCACAGAAAGAATGATTCACATTTGCTTTCTTTTTCTACTGCTTGAAGTTATTCGAAGTATTGTGCTCACTTCGGGCAGCTTCGGTGAGTCGAGAAAGAAAGTAAATGAGAGCCTTTCTCTCTTGATTCCTTCGAAACGGACTGAAGTACTTACGTCCGCGCTCACTTTGGGCAGCTTCGGAGAGTCGAGAAAAAGGGCAAGTGTTAGCCTGTCTTTTTCGACTCTTCGAAACTCTACGAGCTCAAGTACTCACGATCTGGCATAGTGTACGAAGATGGAATGAAGATTTTCTGGTGCCCCCGGTATTCGGTTGGTAACACTGTAGGTTGAGTGATATTCGGTGAGTTTTCCGTTGCGCCGGGACGAATCTCTATACCGTTCAAAGAAAATAGTGTAATTGGAAAATGTATTGATCTATAAAAGTAAAGGTGTCTGGTAAACAATAATTAATTATTTAAAATTATTAAATCGTAGGAAAGTTATAAATAGTCATAATCATATAACGCAATGTATCCATATTCGATCGAACTTACCGACATACTTCTAATATTACTTCATACCCGAGTAATTTTCATATTTTCCAAAATGACCAATTATTTACACTTATTCTAAAACTGTAACTCTTCGATTATTTCATAATTATAAACTGGTTTTTCGTTAAAAGAAAAATTGAAGAAAAACATCGGATAACTTATACAATAAAGTACACTTTTAGTAAATTGAGTGTACTAGTTTTACACAAGTCACATAAATAAATTTCTCTTTTACTTAAATTATTCGTGTTTTAGTATTTTAAAAAAGATATACTAATTTGTCAGAACTAAAATTACTCATCCAATATGGTTCTTTTTTATCAATACCCGTTTTCAACAACCAATCTTCTTCCTCTTTCATTGAAATTGTCATTAGTCTGTGTCTTTCCCGGAAGTTGTGAAAAACGTTTCACTATGTCCTTAATTGCGGAGGGTTTTACAAGACTTTCTTCGCTTTCATTCAGTCCAAATAATTTTTCCTTATTTCTTGCCAAAGATTCTAAGAGTTGCTCGTTCTTTATTCCTGCATAAATCGGATGAATTATCGCCTCCCGTCCTCTAATCTGTAAATTTTCTTCAATTTATTACTGTATAATTAAAATTTATGAATTAATTCAATTGAGAGCTGCCAATGATTAGACAAAGTATTTGAAGAATGTAATAAACAGTTTTTTATTTTCCTCGAACAGTTCAATTATCGTAATATTTTAATTTTATTTTTAAATTCGCAGTATAAATATATCCCTCCCCGTATGTTACGTATTTTTAGTTAAAGAGTTTCATTTATTTTACCCGTGTCCAATTATCTTCATCTTTGTCTTGCAATGCAACAACCTTCAAAGATAAAGCTCTCGACAATTTCTTAACGCTTCTCGAATTGAATGTCTTCGTTTCTTCTATTAAGTGATCACAAGACATAAAACGCCGTGGTTTTTCCTCGTTCTCCGATTTTTTCCACCTGATCATGGATCCAAAAAAGTCCTTGAAGGATCTTTGTCGATTGAGCTTTTTCTTCGAACGTCCATCGAACGTCGTATCTCTTTTTTCCTTCGAATTCTTGAATATCTTTTCCAAAGTGTTCCCGTTTCGATCGTTGTTACTTTTTTTTAAAAAGTAAAAATTACAAGGGTCATCCTCGTATTCCGATTCAACTCGAGTTCGGTTAGGATCGAAAGAAGAACTATTATAAAATGTCTTCTTTTCATTATTTTTGTTAATATCGAATGCTCTTTTCGAATTTGCTTCGCGCATTCGTGAATCTCGAAATGATCCATTGCGGCGTAAGTTTGCACAAGTTTCATCTCGATGTTTGCTCCTATTTGCGCCTTCTTTTCTCTTGCCGTCATTCATTGGCAAAAACTGATCATCTATTTTGTTATTCGTAAATACAGTTGTTTTGTTTTCAGAAATCATATCGTCGTTCGAATTTACCAAGGTATTCTCGCTCGTATTCACGCGATGGTGTCCGCAACCATTGTTTGTTTCTGTTCTGATAGAATCGTAGAGTTTCTTTTTGCATGAATAGTCAGAGCTCGGATTCGAGTTCCTTCTGTAATATTTTGTGACAAACTCATCGTCCGCTTTGCAAGCCTCATTTTTTCTTTCCAGCGAGGCAATCCACTTTTTAACGAAATTTTGCGATTTCGGCGTCGACGATTCTTCCTCGCGATTGCAATCAGAACACGACGTTTTTACGAAGTATTTCTTCTCTTTCTTAAGGTTTTTGACGGTATATGTCCTGTAACGATTATTCACAGTAGAATTTTCCATAACGTTTTTATTTTCGTACACTATTCCGTCCAGAATATCTGATGTGGACTTGGAACGATTGCTTCTAAGTTCCAGTGCCATTTTTGTTATCGGGTACTATCTTCCAACGCGAATCAACGGTTTCGTGGAATATTTTGATATTTTTGCGAATTTCTGTCACTCGTGTGTTTTTTTTTTGCACTCAACTTTACCCGTTTACTTCGACGTTTGAAACTGTAATGGCGAAACTCGTGCCGATTTGGCTTTTGTTATTCTGTCAAACATCGCGTATTGTAGAGGTCGAACGAGAACGTTTGAAACAGTTTGAAACAAACATCCATTGCTTTCGTATTTTTCTTGCAAACAAACGTATACACGGTGTCTCGACGGTAAGAGACTAAATTAATATCTTCGCTATTTTAAATGCTAGATCAATGTTTCCAATGCAGGGGGGGGGGGGGAATTTTATGTAATTTTGAGGCAATTAGAAAATGATAGTGAGTCATAAAATTATTGGCACAGGTACAATTAGTTGTAAAATTGAGCGTATATGCATATTACTTATACAGGGTGTTCGGCCACCCCTGGAACAAATTTCAATGGGAGATTCTAAGAGTCAAAATAAGACGAAAATCAAGAATACCAATTTGTTGATTGAGGCTTCGTTAAAAAGTTATTAACAATTAAATTACAAAATTTCAAATCGTCTGGAAAAATTATTTTCGGTTGTGGGAGTCAATTACAATTATTTTTGGTGTATAGACATACACCCGAAATCCTACCCACTTTCTAGAAAAAAATTCAGTACGGTTGGAACTTTAAACGTTAATAACTTTTTAACGAAGCCTCCATCAACAAATTGGTATTCTTGATTTTCGTCGTATTTTGGTCTCTAGAATACCCCATTAAAATTTTTCCAAGGGATGGCCGAACACCTTGTATATTTACTTCATAAACTTAATAATAACATCTCTTCTTGTAATTCAATTTGTTTACCTGGGTGGAGTATCCTTCGTAATTAAACAGAATGTTAAATACGCACATTTATAATATTGCATTAATAATGGCGAATAATATACTTATTTCTCAAAACAAAATAAAGTGTACAAGTAAAAAATTATTCTTAGAATTGTTAGAATTAAAGAGAATATACTCAACTTATACAATATTTGTTTATTAATTTAGAAAAGAAAAAAGAAAGGAAACAAAAAGAGTGTAATAATTTGACGCACATTGTGGCTTCCTCGTAGGCTTACTCTCACACACAGAAAAAAAAAAACAGACACACCAAAAGACATAAAAAGGGGACATACAGCAATGCAGCCAACCACACAAAAACAAAAATAACTTTTACTACACAAGCGTTAAACCAGATATAAAAACAAGATTATAGAAACATATTTTTAACAAGAATAAATGGTTTTTAAAAAATCATATTACATTAGCAAAGAACAATTATGCTTTCTTACAAATGAAAAGAAATCACAAAAAATCGTGAATCACTGTGAAAAATCACCAATTGAGAAGAGACATAATCGAATCACTCGTAATTTAAAAAAATGAATTTGTTACGTTATCACGTGAACGTAGGTTTAATGCACATAGCGCCACAACGGGAATTAATTGTAACCCGATTATTCACCGTCGAGTGCAGAGTCATGTAACTGCGTTTTAGTTAAGAACGAATTTCAAACGGACCAGCGTATTGTAATAAACAATACGATTGTATATTTTTCAACGTGGGCGATCAAGCTGGGGAAGGTAGAGAGAAAGGAAGGCACTTCTCTTCAGATACTTAGTTTATTTTCTAAAGGCCGCGTCGATTTCGAGGTTCCATCGTTCCTTTAGTTTATTGTTTAGTTATTACGGACCGTGACCGATTAGTTATTTCCGATAAGAGTTTCAATGGTCTTGACACGCAGCAGGGCCTCGCGACACTTCGCTTCGAGTTTCGTTTACTCTCACAAGGGTCATAAATTTTCTTAAGGGTTGCTTAGGCCGCTAGCCTCATTTTCTCTCTCGACTCCCACGCTCTCTCTCACGCGCGCCGTTCCAACATGGCCGCGAAACCTCCACCTCCACTCGGCTCGGGGGTGGATCATCGATCGAAGACGATCCGGATGGAGGGAGCAAGGCACGAACCCCGATTGGACCAGGACAATCCAGAGGGAGGATCAAGGAATATTCCGGAGAAGGGATGAACACCGAGGACGACGAGAAGATTTCCGCGGAGGAACAGATCGATTTTGAGAGTCAACAGAATTGTATCTAAAATCAAGCTTAAGACGAATAAACTTTGACCAATCTTTTTCGAGCAATCAATAGTAGTTTGATTTTTGCGCGCCTCGCCGAGCAGAGCGGTTCAGCGCTCCACGGGCACCAACCCACCGTCCTTTCTCCCTAAACCGCTATCTCGGGACGTAACAAATTCAAAGAATTTTATTTTCACTCTATAATGTTGGTCACTATGTTTGTAACTATACAGACTATAGACTGCGCAGACCAGTGTGGCCAGATCTGGCATAATTGAGTGCATCGAAATCGACAACAGTAACGCCGAACTTCCTTAGCGTCTAACGGAATGGTGGGGATAGCAGGCATACACTACCGCACGAGCCACGTGTACGTGAGCTCGGCACTTCGCACAAATTCGGCAAATCGATAAAGAACGCTAGTGTGAGCCTTTCCTTCTTGCTCTTGCAAAAGAGAAACAGCTGAAATACGACCTCGCGATAATCGGCATACGATTCCAAGTCTCGACTGCCCCAGCATTTTTACTTTCCGACCTATATGTAAGGTATAAGGAAATTTATAAAGTATCATAATGAAAAAAATTTTGAAGTTTTTTTTTAGCGGAAATACACGTTTTAGGACCCCCTGATCATATTGTGACTATTGAAAAAAAGACATTTTTTTTGTTCCTCAACGACTAACAATAAGTGAATTTCAATAACGAAAAAAATATTTCGAAATTTTTTTTTAGCGGAAATACACGTTTTAGGACCCCCTCATCATATTGTGACTACTACAAAAAAACATATTTTTTTTTTGTTCCTATGCTATTGACATGATTGCGTCTAAACGGCTGAATGAATTTCAATGAAACTTAACATTTAAGTTTTATGTTCTCGTTTTAAGGTCTCATGATATTTTAAGCGTGATCAGCTCCCATATAATGATGATTATACGTTTTTAGTTTTATAATTATTTCGATACATACACATCATTTGTAACAAATTTTTAAAGCGATTTATATAAATCTTAAGAAGGATTAAGATCAAATATATTTTTCTCCTATCTTTCCTAGACAGGAAAAATTAAACGAAATCTTATGCCTTGCATACCTACCTAAACCACATAAAAAACGTATTCCACAAATATTTTAGAATAATGTTGTTCAAAGCAGTCTTACTCGTAAAGGGTTAATTAAGGGTTAATTAAAATGAAAAACCACTCTTAGCCAGTACCGTGCACGCTACAAAAATAGATTACTACTGACTTTTCCCACTATGTTTTTTAATAACCGTATCAAATTGTTACACACAATCAAATGTTATATATTTGACTTAACTTTACATAACAAAATAATTGTAACGATAGGTAAAAGAATAACGTGCACGCTACCGTTCAATGGAAACCACGGGAAGGTGGTGGTCACTTCCATCAGGAGGGAAATGTAAAAAATTGTTATTTCTTTGTAACATTATCACATGCCATATATTAGAACGTCTATATTCTTCTTTCCTTTTTTTTTGATTCCCCTCTAAATTCATTTCTGCAAAATGAAATATATTAAATTGTCGTCTATATACTGCTATTCATTCAATAGAACTTTATTTCGTACGTGCCGTAGGTCATTCTGAGACATTTAAATTGAAAAAAAGCTTTCGCGTAGGTATTCTGTAATTTTCTGTTCTTTCGCTTTTCTGCTTTTATATCATGGAAACGGTTGTGAAATCGAAGAATAAGTGTAAGCGCGGTTTTTTATCTTCATGGATAAATGATCATAGATTTAAATCATGGATACGTGCAGTACCCCATGATAGAAGTCGTTTTTATTGTACTTTATGCAATAAGTCTTATTCTTGCGGTTCCTCAAACGTGTATAGACACGGAGAATCTGGGTGTCATAAAAAAAATAGTACTTCTAAAAGGGACTTTTATGCCTCAATGGCTTGAGAATGATTATTTCAAGCCATGGTTGCATAAAGTCGACGGCGACCCTTATTCGTGGTTCTGTTCGGTTTGCAACAATCAATTTTCATGTCGATTATCGACGATTTATAATCATGCAGATTCTCAGTGTCACATTGAGAATTATAAAAAGAGTAACGATAACGCAGACAATTTGAATAATAATTTTACGACGCAATCCGAAGAATCGCCTCTGTCGTTGGATGAAAGGATAAAATCCGCGGAAATCAAATTTGCCAAATTAATAGCCGAAAAAAATATTCCGTATCGAACCGCAGAGACGATTCTTGAAGTTTTCAAAGACATTGGGCAAGATCCTGATGTCTTGAAACATATGTCGTTCGGTCGAACAAAGTGTTCAAATATTATATCAAACGTTTTGTATCCTTTAGAAACAAAACGTATTTCTAGTGTTTTACAAAACACTAAATTTTCTATTTATATTGACGAAACATCCGACTCGACCAACGAGAAATGGATGACGTTTCTTGTTCGTTATGTTGCACCCGAGACTTTGGATGTTCGAACGGAATTGGTAGAATTATTACATCTTGATGCCAGAAATTGTGACGCAGATAATTTATATAAAACATTTGAAATTGCCATGATAGAAAGAGAAATTCCGTTCGAAAATATTGTCGCGTTGTCATGTGACAACGCTGCTGTCATGACAGGGCGACACTCGTCCTTTATGACAAAGCTTGCAACAAAATGCAGGGACAAATTTTTGACTGTCCGCTGTCCATGTCATCTGTCTGCAATGGTAGTGCGCGAAGCGTGCAATACCATTCCAGACATATGCGAGGAGTTGTTACGAAAAGTAGCAACTTTCATATACAGTAGTCCCAAACGTTCGGCTATATTCCGCGAATTTCAGCAATGTTTTCAAACAACCGACAGAAAAATTTTAAAATTGTGTTCTACGCGATGGTTATCGCATTATACATCCGTAGTTACACTTTTAGAGAATTGGGACTCTGTATTGCTTTTTTTGCAAGAATTGACAATAAGCGAGAAATCAGAGTCCGGGGAACGTCTGTTAATCTCGATGCAAAATCCAGAGGCCAAAGCATATCTTTATTTTCTAAATTACGCTCTTGAGTTTTTTTATAAATTTAGCATTTTCTTTCAAACTCAAGAGACAAGAATTCATTTGCTTCAAAAGACTGCGGCAGAACTTTTATGCGATATATTACGCAATTTTCTGAAACCGCAGCTTTTGAAACACATAGATTTAGTAAGAATGATGAATTTTTCTGTAGTCGAAAATCAACTTCCATTTAATAGTATAAATTTAGGAACAGAGTGTCTTAATTTTCTGCATCAACTGAATGCAGAAGGCAAGTCCGACATCGTAGAAACCGTAAGGAAAAATTGTTTAATGTTTTATATTACAGCTGCAAACGAGCATGTCTTCGTCGAGCAATTCTTAGCATGTTGTATGTTTTTGAACCAACTTTTATATTAAATGATACAAATAGAGACATTTCCTTCAGAAATGTTCTCTTAATCGCTAAGAAATTCGGCGGTTTCGACGAAGAAGGACTGCAAACAGAATGGTCAGTATTGCCTTTGGAATTTACAACGAAAGGTAGACAGACGCTTATCGAGATGAAATTCGATGGTTTCTGGAAAACAATTTTATTAACGCGAAATTTGGACTATAAAATTAAATTTCCTGAATTAGTAATGTAGCGGCTAGCTCGCACAACAAAAGAAACATTTGGCGTGCAAATGCTAGCATGGTTTACGACAAGCAAAGTCGAAAAGGCCACTTTTGAGAAAGCCGTTTCTTACGAATTTTATTAGCCAGCATGTTTTTCGTCGAAGATTGCTAACGGCCTCAGTGGCATATTGCACATGTCGTAAACCAGGGATTTCCGAAGGGCTGCAACGCCAGGTCAAGCGACCCTCGGCGGGTGACATCACCAGGCCTGGACTTGGAGGAAATTCCGCTGCATTGCCAAACTTCCGTCGACAGAGGTACCCCCCACCGAGTCGCGTCGCCTTCCTCAAAAAGCGCGTCAAGGGCGCAAGGAGTAGGCGGCGACTTCCGAATTGCAAAATGCCTAATTGGTTAACTTCGACATATCGGTTCAACCAATTAGGTGGCTGCAAACAGTTCGAAGGAGAAAAAGGAAAATGTAGAACTCAGTCTTCGCCACGACTTGGAGTCGACAACACTGACAATAAAGAACACAAGGCGAACTACGGCGATTTATTTAAAACCTAATTTTATCCTAACACGCAACCCCTCAGTAAATACAATTAGATCACTTCCAAATTCCAATGCCGATGCAGAAAGATTGTTTTCCATGTTACCTGACATAAAAACAAAGAAACGGAATAAACTTTCTTCGGCCAGCGTCAACTCTATTTGCGTTGTGAAATCTTCGTTAAAGGCGCAGAGGGAAAACTCTCAACCCATGGAGGTAGATGACGATCATCTAGCTCTATTGTATTCCAAAAATTTATATCATAGATTTGCTAAGAAGCAAAAGTGTAATTTAAGATTAAACGCAACATATGACAATAACTTTGAGAATTTTCCCGCTACGTCATATGACGAAAATTAAGGTACCGATTTACTACAGAGCTTTTCTCTAGAGAGATTTTTCTCTCCAGAGAAAAGCTCTTTAGTAAATTCGTACTATTAGGCTGCAATGACAGTATAAACATTTTCATGCGACGTCGCGGTAGACTGGTCTTGTTACGTCAACGGTACCGTGACGTAGGCGCAACAAGGTGTGATGCATGTATGTGCCATAACGTCACGCGAAAGCGCTTACACTGCAACCGCAGTCTTGTTAGTGATGTCCAAAATATTTTTTTTTGGACATCGCTAATATGTAAATAGTCGTTCAATTTGTCTCGTGTTGTTACTCTTTTTACGTATTTCGCTTGCTGTAAATACTATTCTGCTTGCTCTAACTATCATTTTTTTTCTTCATTTATTTGCTTATATTTTGCCGTATATTTTTAGTTAGTGAAATTGCTTGCTGTAGATAGTGTGGCTATGACGTAGAATGTCGCGCCTTGTTACACTTACGTCACGGTACCGTAAGAGCAACAATGCACGACATAACGTGCCAGCTTAATCGCAAACGTCCTATCCCGACATCCCATCCTTTGGAAATGTAAACAATTATATCATTTTTCCATTTTTATGGCTCGTGTGTATATTAATAAAAATTAATGCATTCACGAGTTAGTTTTTCATTATATTGTAATTTCATTACATTAATAAAAACATTTTAATATACGGCATGTGATAATGTTACAAAGAAATAACAATTTTTTACATTTCCCTCCTGATGGAAGTGACCACCACCTTCCCGTGGTTTCCATTGAACGGTAGCGTGCACGTTATTCTTTTACCTATCGTTACAATTATTTTGTTATGTAAAGTTAAGTCAAATATATAACATTTGATTGTGTGTAACAATTTGATACGGTTATTAAAAAACATAGTGGGAAAAGTCAGTAGTAATCTATTTTGTAGCGTGCACGGTACTGGCTAAGAGTGGTTTTTCATTTTAATTAACCCTTAATTAACCCTTTACGAGTAAGACTGCTTTGAACAACATTATTCTAAAATATTTGTGGAATACGTTTTTTATGTGGTTTAGGTAGGTATGCAAGGCATAAGATTTCGTTTAATTTTTCCTGTCTAGGAAAGATAGGAGAAAAATATATTTGATCTTAATCCTTCTTAAGATTTATATAAATCGCTTTAAAAATTTGTTACAAATGATGTGTATGTATCGAAATAATTATAAAACTAAAAACGTATAATCATCATTATATGGGAGCTGATCACGCTTAAAATATCATGAGACCTTAAAACGAGAACATAAAACTTAAATGTTAAGTTTCATTGAAATTCATTCAGCCGTTTAGACGCAATCATGTCAATAGCATAGGAACAAAAAAAAAAATATGTTTTTTTGTAGTAGTCACAATATGATGAGGGGGTCCTAAAACGTGTATTTCCGCTAAAAAAAAATTTCGAAATATTTTTTTCGTTATTGAAATTCACTTATTGTTAGTCGTTGAGGAACAAAAAAAATGTCTTTTTTTCAATAGTCACAATATGATCAGGGGGTCCTAAAACGTGTATTTCCGCTAAAAAAAAACTTCAAAATTTTTTTCATTATGATACTTTATAAATTTCCTTATACCTTACATATAGGTCGGAAAGTAAAAATGCTGGGGCAGTCGAGACTTGGAATCGTATGCCACTTATCGCGAGATCGTATTTCAGTTGTTTTGTCTTTTACAAGAGCAAGAAGGAAAGGCTGACACTAGCGTTCTTTATCGATTTCCCGAAGTTGTGCGCAAGCGCCGAGCTCACGTACACGTGGCTCGTGCGGTAGTGTATGCCTGCTATCCCCACCATTCCGTTAGACGCTAAGGAAGTTCGTCGTCACTGTTGTCGATTTCGATGCACTCAATTATGCCCGATCTGGCCACACTGGCGCAGACTATTTACTGACGCAATCTGCTGTATATACGCGTCAACCGTCGTGCGACTTAAAAATAAAAGTATAGGTTAAGTTTAAATGAATCGTGTATTGCGTTTCATAATCTGTATTAATACATTGTTATTTTGAGAATAATTTATTGCGAGTATTGTACATTTACGAAATATTAAAATATGTTCCGCGTCGGCATTAGATCTGCCCGTAATGCTTTGGGATACAGAACATTTGCAAACGCTCCAGCCCAAGAGCAAGCAATTTCAACTGCTTTCAAAGTTCAAGATCCAAAAGATTTCAACGACCGCGTTAAAAACTCTAAAGTGCCTGTGATCGTTGACTTTTTTGCAACGTATGTATATACTTATCTTAAACCATCAAATTATGAAGTAAAAGGTACTATTATGTATAATTCATTTTATAGATGGTGCAATCCTTGTCGTATGCTCACTCCTCGTGTAGAGTCGGTAATTGCAGAAAAGCAAGGGAAGATTTTATTGGCAAAGGTTGATATAGACGAGAATAGCGATCTTGCTTTGGATTATCAGGTTAGTTTTGTTATTTATTTGTTCATTGACACTTTGTTTCTATCAGAATAATACAAATTATCTTTATACGTAGGTTGGATCTATTCCAGTATTAATTGCAATGAAGGATGGAAAAGTTTTAGACAGAATTGTTGGTCTTCAAGATATAGATAAAATTAAACAATTTGTAGATAAGTATTCAGAATAATGTAATTTATTCTAATTACAATTTACTATTAAAAAACTCTGTAGTCAACGGGGTAGTTTGTACAATATTCTGTACAAGGATGCTACCTTGAGTAACAAGTATAAAGTACAATTTTTAATAATGTATAGCTCCAGCTTTATGTATACTAACTTTTAGGGAATTGTTAAATTGTTAAATAAATATTTTTTGTGTAATAAACAGATAAATTTTATTGTTTAATTATTTACAAATATTTAATACAAGTACATACATTTGTAGTTATTAATGTATGTTTCATGAATGACACAATACATAATTACATGCTATAATTTCAATTACATTTTCACAATTAAACTCCTAAAATGTAAACATGTTGCTAAAAACAGTGAAATTTAAAATTTATAAACAAAGTATCAATCAAATTTTCAGATGCAATTCAATATCTAGTATTTAATCTGCTAATACATCTAACATTCATTATAGTTTCAGTTTTGAAACAAAATGATGCGTTGCTTCATCGGTATATTTTAAATCAATTAAGTTTCAGTAGGTAAAGCTTGCAAAAGTTTTCTTGCCCTTTGGTAAGCAACAGATTCCAATTCATCTTTATTTTCTTCACTTTCCTCTACTTTTTTTATAACGTCCATGCCTTTTTTTAAAAGTTGTTCTCTTGCCATTCCTTTACACCCTTCAAAATATTCTAAAACTGTAGGAAAAATGTCGTCTGGAATGGAAGTCTCGTCTAATAAGTTATCTATTAACCAAATTTGTCTTAGTTTTTCAAATTTCCATTCGCTCTGTGCATGTTTCCACTATAGATAAAAAGATTATATAAAAAAATTAGAAAACTGATATTTATTTAATCTCAATTGTATGACGCAGTCTTCAAAATACCTTTGAAACATAGGTTAAACCCTTTTTCATTGCTTCCAGTCTATTAGCCTCCCTCTTTTCATTCTCTTTTTTCTCAGCCTTTTCTCTCTTCAATTGCCGTTTAGAAGGTTGTTTTGGCTTTTTTATATCGCTTTTATGAGCTTCTGTTGTACCTTCTAAATTATTATCCATATTCATAGTACTAAAAAATTTTTTTATTTTAAAATTCTAAAAAATTAAAGTAACAATGCAACTTTTAACTTACTTTGTTCTTTGACATTTTTTCGGAGAAGTTGCTTCGTCACTTGATTCCTTTTGATCCTGATCTTGTATATCATAAAAATTATTTTCTTGTTCATCATTCTTTATTGTTTCTTTATACATACCATTTAAGTTATGACTAATATTTGATTTTTGTTTTCTTTGCTTTCTTTTTTTGCATATCATGTTCTGTTCATTTATTTCCTTTATTTGATTAACATCGTCTTGCGATGCATCTGTATTGCAATCTTTTTTATTATTAATATCTGAAAAAATTCAATTACAATACTCCTATTCTACAATAGAAATATTGAGAGTTGGCTAGATAGATTTTAACCTTAGTAAAATTTATTTAGAAAGAAAATTCAAAAGGACATTACTGTCACTAATGCAATATTTAAAAAAAAAAAACAAAATTATTAAAGTACTGAATATTTACCTTCCGGTTTTTCTTTTTTTTTTGTTCTCTTACGTGATTTTGGATTCTTAACCTCAACTTTTGATGTGCTATCGGAACCCATCGTAACGAACGATCAGTTATTTACTTTACGTATGCACGTAATACCAAATTTACAAAGTTATAATAACATTCTTGATATTAATGTGGTATGAAAATTAAATAACAAGTGTGAGAAAATAAGGAAAATATCACACGCTTTCAAAATTGATTGCCGCTGCACATGCATGTGGATACTTGAACCCAGGATGTTTAAGAAACAAGAATCAGAGCATCATAAAAACAAGGAACAATTATAATCACATGACACAACTATTGACTTTTATTCAATTGCAAGACAAGTTTAATACAAAAGAGTGGATTTATTATTAAGTTGTATATGTTTATTAAGTAACCTTGGAAAAAAATTGTATAGATGTACAGCCTGAATAGATTATCAATCAGTACGAGTTGGTATAGGCTACGAACTAGCAATAAGTAGTTTAATTGGTGTTGGTGCGAACTATTTATGAAGATGTTGCGTTTAAAATTTATCGAGACTAAATCGCAAATTAAAATTGGAAACATACTATTAAAAAGGTATTTTAAAATACATAACTTAAAAAATATTTCTTCTTTGTACTAAAACATTTTTATTAATAAGGTTATGTATTATAAAGAACCGTGTTTCTACATTTAATTGACTTATGTGTTTGAACAAAAGTACTTTATTTTTTTAATACCTTCGATCGATGTAATGAAAAAATTAACATGTTATAGGTACGTTATTCCTCAGATGTGTTGTGCTTCAAAACATAATACTAGTTCAAAAACTAAAGAAGACAATATGCATGATGAGTTTGACAAGCCCATACAATATTCTACTTCAAAAGCTGCGAAATGGGAGGCTGGCTCACACAGACGGAAGAATCAACCCAATTATCAATCATTGGTGGTATCACTTAGCTTAAGTGCTTTCTGTATTTACTTTGGTATATTAAGGGAAGAAAATGACATTGATGAGATGATAATTTCTGAAATGACTCCAGAGATGAAGGAATATTTATATGGCATCAAAGCTACTAACCAAAGAAATAAAGATATGAAAAAACAAATGTAAATAATTTATTACAGCAATGTATTATAAAAATATAATTTATTATTACGAGAAATTATGAATAAATATTTATAGTGGATATAGCAATTCACCCCATATTATATTATTTATTATCTTATTCCATTCAATGGGCGGATGTCGATCAATTGTATCTGGTATACACTTATCCCATGTTTGATTCCATGGTGCTACCACCATGGTCATTATTAATATTATTGGCCCTTCTGCATGGTGTGAATGTACTTTAATGTTTACAATACCTAAGACATATAAATTGTCATGCATATAAATTTAATAATTAATAAATTAAATGCTAGATATTTTACTTACTACGTGTATTATAAGAATGAAATAACCATTTAAATAATGTGTACACAGGCATAACTTGAAGATAAAATTTCATTCTTGTCAAAAAACCTCCAAAACTGATCAATGCTAATCTAAGCTGTAAGAAATGATTAATTTTGAATAATTATAAAAATTCTTAATATATTGTCTTTAATATACCATGGTAAAAACTGCATAATACACCCATGTTGTTGGCATAAGAAAAAGCAAGATCGTAAATAATAATGTCCCCACAAACAATTGGTCTGGTTGATATTGACAAGAATCAACTCTCTCTCGCAACGGATTCATTTTCTTACCCAAAAATAATCGAAATAAAGCAGTAATACCCTTTAGTTGAATATTGAAGAGCCTAGTAAAAAACTGAATTAATATTTTAATTATATCTTGATTGTTATATATAGATACCTTGCTGCATATACATAAATACAGTATGCATGAAAACTGACAAGAGCTAAAAGGTCAGCTGCAATTGCTATTTGAAACGTGATACCCAATCTTCCAAATAATACTAATACTTCAAAAGCAAAATCCATTACAGAGTTCATAAATATTAAGAACGTCCACCATAAATGTATATGATAAAGAAAAAATTTTCCAAGCATATTGTTTAGGGCATGATTTAATTTTAATCCAGCTGGTACACCCATTAACCAGTGTATTAAATCCTTTAAAAATGTCACCACTTTCTGCAAAGCATACATGGACTTAAACATTAAAATGAATATTAGGTAATATTACTATATTATTTTAATATCTTTGCATTCTCAACTTACCTCTGCGTTACTCAAAAGTATTTCAGATGGAAATGTATATTCAAAGTAGTGCAATAAAAATTGCAAAATAAATATTCCCAATAACATGTCTATTATCAATGCAAAAGCATAATTGCCAGTTTTCAATGTAAATCGCTTGTTTTTTATTATAGTAATTAACATCCATTTAACATTTTTCAACCATCCATGAACGTGTAAACCAAGGAAAGAATATTTAAATATTGGTAATAATTTACTTGTTATTTTACTAAGTAGGAGAATTGGATAAAAATACAAAAACATATGATAGATTAATAGAGTTTCTTTTATATAAGTAAATTTTCCCTTCTTTCGTAATTCTCCTTCAACCTGTTTGTTTTGTATCATTTCCATTAATTCATAAAAATGATTTCCTAATATTGCTTTCTGACTAAATAATTCTGTTTCTCTAAGTACTACTTGATCGTATACTGTAATAACTGCATGACAATGTAAAGTTGAAATTTTTTTATTGTTGATAATAATACCCTTTATACTATAATCATACTTATTTTCTCCAAAAGACAAGCTCGGGTGTAAATATATATTAATCCAATCTAAATATTTTTTATCCACATATCCACGTTTATGTTCTGCTGCAGAATAATATCCAATTATATTACTGTTGAATTTCATTGTTTCAAAATTATCAATACTACATATTCCGATTACATAAAATTTTTTTACTCCTGTGTCATCATCATATTTTACTTTACCAAACATATACCCTGGCTTTTCTTTATAAAGGCTATCAGGTACAAAAATCAATAGACTTTTCATGATAGTATTCTTAAAGCGAATTACTATTTTAAAATTACAGTCAACCACAATACGTGAATGAGTGTTTTACAGTTATTCTGTTATCACAAAGTAAATCTTTTACTAAAATACAAATATTTGACAGAAACAACAATCCATTAAATGTATTATGCATTACTTGTACAATACAAGTTACAATAGAGCTCAGTGTTTGTTTGTACTTTAATGAGATCTTCAAATTAACATTATAGTTGAATAAATTAAATTGCAGCGAAAGTAATAGAAATATTACTAGTATAAACCTTCAGTTCGACAATGAAACAGTTTTAGTTTTTAAATGAATTTTATTATCGGACAAGTTTGATGATCACCAATAACAACTACGTGCTTTTAGTAAGCGTTGAAAAATATATACTTTTTCATTAATTATTGCCATTTAAGACAGTGAAGTTACAAATAACCTATTGGGGATTTGAATTACGGTGAATTTACTATATTATCTTAGAAAGCGGCGGGGATAGATGACATATCAATGTACAATACATGCTTTGTATACGCGAAACTGAAACCGACCAGCGTATCATGACTATCATGTATTAGATGAGCCAGGTTTTTTGCGCATGCGCGGTCTATTACAGCTAAACAGTGACCGCATCCACAGAAATCAAATTTCCCATCAAAATTCATAATAAAATAATTTTAATAACAATTCAAAATAAATAACTTCAAGTTACTGTTATTCGTTATTCGTTATTAGTAAAGAGCGTAATACAAAATACAGTTTTTTTATCATTAGGATTGTATTACACGCATTTGTGTACACATTTATTTACACTTCAACTTGACTATAAAACCATGTGATTCAACCATTTTATTCAGACTATTAATAAAACATAAATAGTTTTTTTCAAGTTGTTTACTTGTTTTGTTTTTTTTTCGCCTGCAAAGGGTAATGGTATACCGTGTCTAAAGGTGAAGGCTAAGAAAGAAGTAAATTGTTGCATTATATACGTACAGCCAAAAGTGCATGGGATTCTGAGAAATATATCTCTTTACATGTAAATGCATGTTCATACTTTCAAGAGAATACGAACTATCTATTCCATTTTTAGTACACGGTCAGTACATCAAAAAAAGAACCCAAATTTCGCCCGAAATATGGGTTTACGGGACAAGAGATTTTGCCCTTATATGAGCAGATTTTGGGTCGGATGAGGTCTCATTCGAAAGAGGAAGGTCCAATGCAGCGTGCCCTGGTCAGGATCGAACGAGATTGTGTTCACATTTATTAATATGAACGTCGAAATTTGAGAAAAAAAATCGACAAAATACACCCACAGAATCGAGGTCTTTTTAGGTTACTAAAAGAGTTGTGCAATTCTAATACTGACCAGAGCGCGCTACATTGGACCTTCTTCTTTCGAATAAGCCCTCATTTGACCCAAAATCTGCTCATATAAGGGCAAAATTTCTTGTCCCGTAATTGCATTCCCAAAAGCGAGTTCCGTCATTATATGGGTAATAACGAGCAAGTCACGTGACAAATTTAATCAGGCAGTCGCCACGAGATGGCGCCTAATCAGAAGGGCTGTAAAGGTGAAATCATAGCAAAAGTGAAGCGTTAGCTTCGATACATACGCCCCGAGAAAGCATGATGCTGACAATAGTATATGCATTTTCGTACGATTACCGCTAGACTACCGACGCTCTTGGAAAACGGTGTTTACTTCATGGTATATTACCCGTCTCATAAACGCAATCATTCTGATTTATTTCATTATTGTAACTCGAATGCTAGCTTGCTGTATGTAGTAATATGAAACATTATTTGCTAGAACATATACAAAAGTTTGTCGCATACTTTGTTATAATACGCATAAAACGGCGAGAAAAAAGGTTTTTGAGAAAGTTTATTTTACGGCTAGGAAGGATGTCATATCGCTATGAAAATCGTACGTAAAGAAAATGTGTCGCCCACTTGAAAAAGAAACTCTATGTCTGCATCGTGTTTATTACTCTGTCCTTCGGTGACAAACAACAGTGGCCCTTAGATTTGTTGGACCAACTAAGGTTTTTCTTTATACAGGGGAAGACCGTGTTTCTCAATCATCGATTCGTTTTTGCTCATTTATTATTTACAATAAATCCAACACATACTCTCCCACGAAGCGCGTATACATGAAGAAGACTTTCATGGCAATATTTTATTTTAATCGACATGCAACCCCACTCTAAAATCTTCCACAATAATGTTTCCAACAAAACTTGATTACTATGCATTCATTTCAAAATTCTACTATACAAAATAAAGCAACATTTATTTTCGTGAATAATGTAGGGTATGAAAGTGTAGACAATAAGGAACATATTTTTTCCACAAAAATTGAAATATTAATTCGTGTACATTTCTACAATTGTATAATACGATGTATTTTGAAGCAATTAAGATTTATAGTAAAATCTGGATATATGTAAGTGAGATAAGGACTCAAAAATTGCATGCTAGTGATAATGTATTTATTCCAAACATGTATCGAATCGTATGAAACAGATTCGAAGCTTCAAATCATTGAAAATGTTCGCAGTTTCGAACCTGGTAAACACTATTTAATTGTTTCGAAACTCACGATGCCAGAGATTACAAAGTTCGGAAAGTATTGACCTAGCATAAAGTTTGTAAACTATTGACCCTATGAAACCCTGAAAAGTATTGTCCGACTCCAACCTCGCAAAAGTATTGGCCGATTCAAAACTTGATCGATTCTGAGATCCATATGGAATCGATAACTTTTTGTAGTAATTACAATTACAATTCAAGCTTTTTTAATACTTTTCACGATTTTTCAAGTATTTGCGATAATCTGACAAAAATATATTTTAGACAAAAGCTGATCAGTTTTCGATTAACTGTACATTGCAATAGAAAAAAGTTCAAAATTTTTTTTACTTTTACTATTGGCGGGGCCACCATCATTTTTTAAAATGGCACTTTGTATTTCTGACAATTTCGTTAAAGGAGTGATAATAACTTGTGTTTATGATTAAGACTCGAAATTACATTCAATTCAGGAATCTTGACTAAATTAACATAAACGATTTCGTGAAAAAGTTACAGCAAATGTTCGAATTGAAGTTCATGTTTTTGTAGGCACAATTCCGCTCTACGTAGTAAGTTGTTTGCATTAGTTGCTCTTACGAACTGTCGACAATTCAAACATTGATGCAAGGGCTGATTTTCGCGCTGTTCACCTTGGCCGGCGGAGCCGTCTATTTCGCGACATCTTTGGAACGTGAAACGAAGTTTTTCGTCGAAATACCATGTTGACGAGTTGGTACATAGCCGATAGTTTCGTTTGCTTTTACGTATTCTGCGGAACGTATCAGCTGTTCGGTGACAGTTTGCCAGCCGTAGCAGAGTGTCGAGGTTTATTGTTTGGGAAGCAATATGGCTATCTGGTGATTAGTAACAGTGCGATACGCAGACAAAGAAGCAACGCAGTTCTCATGATCATTGGAGACGCGTTGTACGTTCCGTTCTAGTTTATTTAAGTAAAAAGCCAGGGAAAAATCGGTAGAATGTTGGAGCTGGAGGTAGTGCCCGAGAGATCCCTCGGCTGCGAGCAGTGGGAATTTATTTTAGGCAAGTGACGAAACGCTCATAATGTATCGCGGCTATGTCGTATTACGCATAATTTTCCAACGATTAAATGTTTCCGACCGATTCGCGAATACCGAGACGATCGACGAAAGACGGAACCCTCAGTGTCTAGTGCGTCTTATCGATGCTGCTGTCATGCCAGCGTTCTCGCTTCGCTATTTCGTTCTATTTGTAAACACCTCATCTGACAATCGCGCGTAAACAAAGAAAATGGAGCTTATTATGAATATTTTGTTGCATATTATGTAATTGTTGACAACTATCGCCACTTTGTTGAACCTATCAGAGAGAGAGAATCGATTGTTAGGTTGATAATTAAACAGAAATAGATACTTTGACGAGTATAATCATAAATATGAATAGAAGCTTAAATGAAAATTGTCGAATTGCATTAAGCGCTTGTTATTGCGCATATAGTATTAAATTAATATGTAACTAGAAAAAAATACAAAATGATGCAAAACAAGGGTTTTTAATGCCGATATTATTTTAGGTATGCATTTTTCTCAATCAGTTTCGATAATACAATCTCAAGTGGGCATTATAAGGGGAGTACAAGTACTTTATAGCGATAGTGTAAGTATATGTCTGCAAAAATTTAGATAAATAGTTATTGTATTTGGCATATTACATTTCACCAAATCAAAATTTATTTCACAGAATCCTTTAGATGTAGATTTAGTAATAAACTTACCTCACGACGGTGTACGGCTTATATTTGACCCAGTGGTGCAAAGGCTCAAAATAATTGAAATTTATAATATGAAATTAGTCAAACTTAAATACTGCGGTCTGCCGTTCAATTCGCCGGAAGTTTTGCCATCTATTGAACAAATTGAACACTCGTTTGGAGCAACTCATCCTGGTGTTTACGATAGCGACAAACAAGTACGATATCTCTGTCCCATCTAGAAATTAACAGAAATGCAGGGAATCGCAGATTATCTGTAATATTGTGTATTGGTTTTAGGTGTTTGTTTTAAATTTTCGTGGATTGTCATTTTATTTTCCCATTGACTCGAAGTTCCAACCTGGATATGCGCATGGCTTAGGATCATTGCAATTTCCAAATGGGACCTCCCCCCTTGTAGCTAAAACAGCTATATACATTGGTAATATGGCTAGCGGAAGTGGAACAGACGAGCATAACTTGAAAGCACCTCCACCACCTTTACCGCTCGTAATTATTGTTTGTTGGTGCTATAGTTTAGCATGCATGCAAAAAAAGACAAGACAGAAGCTACATGACTATCTTTTAATAGGTCTGCTATCACAACAATTTGTATTTAGAGAAGGTAGATGTTATGCGGGATAAAGCGCGCACTCGAGGTCTGAGATTGCATCTTTTCACAGAAGGTAGCTCTGTAACTAGGGTATTACTGGAGCCAAGGAAACGCTGCTTGACCAAAGAGGTTTACATTTTGTGATATAGTTTGATGGAGGAATTGATAGTAATTAATAGAAACGCGTATTCACGAAGTTCGGATATAAAGTAACGTGAAATCATGCGAAAATGCTATGCAATTTTAGGTGTTATTTGGCGATACTTGTGAAGATGTGTTGAGCGCTTTGGGTGCACCATCTCGGGTGTTTTTCAAAGCCGAGGACAAGATGCGCATTCATAGTCCTCACGCGCACAAACGTGATAAAATAAGGCGATCGGATTTCTTCTATAACTATTTCACTTTAGGATTGGTAAGTCTTTTACCTCTCGGTTAAATGCTTTACACGTTACAAATAAAAAGCTGTACATATAAAATTCACGTTATCGTTCGTAGGACATTTTATTCGATGCCAAAACCCAATGTGTTAAGAAATTTGTGTTACACACAAATTACCCAGGGCATTATAATTTTAATATGTATCATCGTTGCGAATTCTCTTTATCTTTACCACCTGAAAATAATTCCACTGAATCGGGAAAACTCATAGATGTTTCCCCTTCTCCAGTTATGGTATGATACATGTATCCACTTTATTTCATACTTTAAATTTTGGTGTTGTATATACTGTTCTAAAAGTATCGCAATTCGCACAAACGGTAGGATTCTCTATTAATAATTATTTCTCATGATCTTATGCAAAATATGTTCTGTAATGTTAATATTAGGAATGCGTGTTTTTGCTGAAATTAAGATAATTTTAATAGCTTTTTATTGTTTAGATCACTGCCTATACAAAGTGGGATAGAATAAGCGAGCAGCTGAAGGCTAGTGCACGACCAGTGGTCTTGAATCGTGCGTCTTCAACGAATACTACAAATCCATTTGGATGTACGTTTTGTTATGGTATACGCGATGCGATCGTTGAGGTCATGGCAAATCAACACATTGCAAGTGTAACTTTATACCGAGCTGCGTGACCTTGGTAATTTACTAATATGGTGCATTATAAAACGCTTTCGAACGAGCAAACTGAGGAATGGCATTAGAATGATAAAAAAAAAATAAAAAAATGAGAAAGTTTTAATGTTGGCAATTGCATAATAACATCTACTCGAAAAGACTATGTGATTATAAACAGAAGTGTTAAGAGTAATGCATGTAAAACACCGACGGAGGTTTTTTTAACACTAATGTAATCTGAAAACGGAAGAATGCTAGGTAAAATAATGTATGATTACTGAGGAGCAGCGTGGTGTGAGGCTCATAAACCAAGCGATATCATTTTGAATATCACATATTGTTGCTTGTAACATTTTACATTTTTCCTTGGAGTTATCTATCGAGGAAATGAAACCGAAAAAAAACGAAAAAATGAAAAACCCAAAAAGAAATCAACTAAGGGGTACAACTGTCTGCAATATTCGATAATATCATATTTACTATACCGTTTTTATCTTTTGGTTATAAGTTTTAACTATAGTTAAACAAAAAAAAAAAAAAAAATAATGGTTTTGTGTGAGCAATCAATACTACAATATCTGAGCTCTGTAAAAAAAAAAGGGGGAAGTAGTTCCAGAGGATAATACAAATTTTGATAGCTGATGATAAATCTACAGTGATTATAATAATAACGATTAATAATCGTAAAATATAATAATGTGCTTAGTGCAAGTAATAAAAAGATATCTAACTTTCGTAAAGCAAAATTTTGTAACCCGTGTTTCGAGTAACAAATAATGAAAATAAACGAATGGAGCAAAAATAACGTTTGAATATAGATATCACACATCATAATACGCACGATATGCGTATGAACGGTATTACCCATTCAGTCTGTATAGAATTAAACGTAAAAATGTGAGTTATAGTATCTTAAATATACCTTATGTTAATTTCTTAACAAACATAGTAATGAATTCTCTCTTGAAAAAAGTGTTGGGACGATGTAAACGTCTGTAGAGGATAAAGTATGTTTGTCTGTACAAGAGTAATTAAACAGATGGCCTGCTTTTTACACTCCCATCTATTAAACTCTGAACATTGTGATATGCCAGATCATAAGGCCCATTAATTGTATTGGTTACTTGTTTGCATTAACACAAAAAAAAAAAACGATGTTTAGTTAATAATTTACTTTCTTATATTTCTCTCTGTGCCGTTACGTAATATTGCGGTATAAATATATTCGCAAAACCCGATTAGTCGTTAATGTTTTATTATATAAATGTAACATTGAATTCCTCTATAAATCTGCTGGAAAGCAGCTACTCACGGAAAGTTTCTTTCTCTACAAATCTGAATTCACTTCGATGTTAAATTGCACAATCGTATACCCTATTCCGAACTGTTCTCATTAATTATAGGGTATAAAAAAAAAATATGTTTTATGTATCGTATAAACTTCGATAGTTGATAAATTACAATGATTGTAAGATCTGTAACGAATAATAATCGTAAAATATAATAACGATGACCGTTGAATGGACATGTGAAGTATGAACGATAATTGCTTTAATTAACACTTTTATCTGCACAGCCTTGCGATAGTTTTATTTTCCTATTCGATCGATTAGGGAAATTTGACATCTACGTTCACGAAAAAATTTTTTACAAATTCTAACGCTTTTATTGGGTACAAATCATTCTTTATTTCGAATTCGAATGCAAACTGATCTCATTGCGTCAAGACTCGCGATTCGAAAACGAAATAAGGGAATAAACGGTGATCGAAAAAAGTGTTAATTGATGCGTAATTGTAGAAAATTGGGAGACGCAGACGGCGCTTCGCAATTAGAAAATTGCGCCTGTCCTTGTTTCTCAAAATCCTATTTCGATGGAATACCTCCTATTTTGTGATGCTACGGTAAACTGATTTTGCGTGAAAATTATTTTAAAGTAAATATATAGAGCATAGAATCTTTCGAGGAAATTTCACCAAATTGTGTTATATCGTGTTTTTCTTCGTATTTTTCATTATGATTGATGTAACAAAAAAATGGATCAAAAAGAAAACTTAAATTATTAAGTTAGTGAAACGATAAGGGATTATATTCTCTATATAATTATTTCTAATAATACTCACCGACAAAACTCTATTTAATTTATACGAAAAAAATAGTTTTGTATCGAATGGATTATAAAATCGTGTAAAACAATTTTCTATAAATCATTTCTTTCGCAGCTCTGACTTCAATAATCCTCGTGAAAAATTTTATTATCTGATTGGCGAGATTACTCGCGGTTGATTGAAACGATATTCGAACGTCTCATGTGAATGCAATAAAACAGTAAGTTTCTGTTTATAGTTTACCTCTTTATTTCCTTTTACGCGAATTTTTCAAACTGCCGAGTCCGTAAGCGATGTCATTTTCCTGTGATTCGGAGCTCCGAGACAGTTTGTGTCTATTCATTTTGATTTTGTTCAACCTGTCTCCTTGTGTCATGATTTGTGGATCGTTACTTCTGTGTATCTGCAATTCCTTTTCCGTTCCTCCGATGCTTTTTAATTTCCCTGCGAGAAAATATAACGGAAAATTATTTTCACGATAAATACATACGTAATATCGTTGAATTTCTTTTTTCCGTTTTTAAATATGAAACTAAAGTAATTCGTTACAGCTCACCCGATTTAAATTTCACTGTGTGCACAATTAACACAAAACACAATTTAAAAAAATCACATAAAATAAAGAGACACATTCGCGATTTTAATTACGATTTCAATTAAAACTAATAATGATCAGCTCGTTTATTGGCGGATAGATGCGCGCGCAAGATTATTGATACGTACATCTTTGGCGCGCGAATGGTTTCTCTTAAATTATATTAAATATTGCTCATAGAAAATTATTTAACTTATTATTAATTTATAAAAAATGTAATTGAATTTTTCCTTTATATTGTTCTCTTACTGATTGTCAGATATAGTTTTATTTAAAGTGAAGTATGATTCTGTTGGTACTTTGGTTGCGTGCGCAGCTATTGACTCCCGCCAAATGACCACTATTTGGCGCGCAATTAAGTGTTCTTAATATTTTATAAATAAAAGCTTTTAGAGGTTGGGAGAAAATTTGTATAAAAGCATAAAAATATATAATGTATTTTTTTCTTTTCCTTTCATGCAAATAACCATTGTAAAATTTTAAATCTTATACTGAAAAATAAATTATAGTCGAGTGTAGTTGCGCGCGCAGCCTTGCAGCTCTACTACGCAATTGCGTCTCTCCCGCCTAAACGTGCACAGGATAAGATGGAATGCCGTTCGTTCTCTCGTTTTATTTTTTCATTTCTGGTTAAAAATGAATCCCAAGATATTGTCACAATGAAAATTTCTAGTTCTACTTGCTTAATGCTGCGTATGTATATATAATAATAATAAACTTTCGAAATGATAGGTTAAAATATTGCATAGAAATAATTCGATCTCAATGTACCCATAATCTAATATTTTACCAGAATTTTAGCAAAATTATACAATATCACTTACATAAAAGTTTTTAGTTTTAAAAAGATACATTACTGCGAAATGTTGTTGCAAATGAATAGCTGAGCTATAATCATTTAACAAAAATATTTCTCTGATAACAAATTTGAATCTTCCATTTGCATTTTTGATAAAATTCAACGACATTTATGCATTAAATATAAAATTAAGAAAATATTAAAATTAAATATATACCTAAAATTCGTGTGAATTTCGTTTTGTTCGTTTTCTCCATCGATAGATTCTCGTATTTGTAGGATTCTGAAATGATTAAAAATTTTTTCTTAAATTAAAATTAATGTTCTCTATTGCCTTTGATTAAAAAGATACACGATCGAAATTAAATAAATATTTCGAATGTCAACATATCTTATTCCCTTTTCCAGTTTCCTGTCTATTAAAATCTTCGATTGGTCAAAGATATCGGTCACAGATAAGAGAAATACGTAGCTGACGATGAAAATTATGTTTCTTTTGTGCATCAGGTAAATCTATATTCGCCTTTTTCGTTTTTTGATTCCACGTACTCGAAATCTTTTCTTACATACATATTATTTAAATGTGTTCTAGTTCTAAGTAGAAATATTTACCTTTGTATCCAGCTTCGGAAGAACAGTCCATTTTACGGTCGATTTTGTCTGCTACTGAATATATTCCCCACTTATGATGCAGTGTTCTATCACCATCACCATAGTACTTCAATCTGCACATAAATAAATTATTAGCAGTCACATACAAAATAGGTATTTATAATAAATTAAATTAAATAACATCATTGAAAAAATTAATTTTATTTTTATTAATAATAAAGTAACGAAATATCTACATGAAATTTACTATATTGAAACACTAGTACAGTACATTTGTTAAATTATTAAATTAACGTCAATTTTGATAAATTTTTCTTATAATAATTACATTTTACTGAAAAATTTCAATTACTTGTACTGTTCGCCCGCGTTCAACAAATTCTTTTCAATGTTCTCCAACCATGTTTGTTGGTGTCCGATAACAGAACCGGGTCGGCAAATCCTTATCCAAGCAATAGCTTCCCTGGCTGTCATTTTGTAATGTTTTATCAAATACGCCGCAATTAGCGAACCTGTTCTTCCTAGACCAGCCTGAGTCGTTGAAATGAAAAACAAAACAAATACAGTTTACGTAAATATTACGTGTACTAAAAAATTTACCTTTGCCAATGTAAAGTTATGCGTGTTATATAAAAACAGTAGACGATTATTAATTACTTTGCAATGAACTGCTATAGGTCCGGTAGTATTTTCGCTGAGCGATAAAAATTGATTCAAAATTCTTTTCGGTGGAACGGTACCGTCTGGCATGAACATTTCGTAATGCATGATACCTGCCTTGGTGAATCTGTAAAATATCCATATTAATGCCAATATTATTTGTAATATCGATGCACAGTGGGCAATTTAAACGATCTAGATGGACAAATTTCTTAAGAAACATGTTCGTGAATTTTTTCTCACTATTTGTTTTTTATACATATTTATGGTTTTTAACGATAATATAAACGCATCGTAATATAATAATAATAACAATAATAATTATGGTGACATGTTTGTAATAAAAATTTATAATTTTATTTTTAACAATTTTCAACGATTTGAAATTTTTTAATTTTGTCGAAAAATTTTAGACCTTCTCGAATTCTTTTCTCGAAAGTGCGTAGGAATTCGAAGGTATGTCTATTCACCAAAAATGCTTGTAATTGACCCCTGTAACTAAATATAATTTTTTTAGTATGGTTTTAAATTTTTTAAATTCGTCTAAAAATTTCAGTACCTACTCGAATTTTTTTCTCGAAAGTGGATAGGATTTCAAGAGTATGTGTATTCGTAAAAAATGATCGTAATTGACCCCTGCAACCAAAAATAATTCTTTTAGAACGATTTGAAATTTTTTAATTTCGTCGAAAAATTACTACCTCTTATTGATTTTTTTTTTAAATTCGTTTTTTATTTTTAATAATTTTCTTTGACGCCCTACAGAAAAGTTGTCCAATACTTTTTTCTAGGTGCCCATGAGCTCTACTTCAGAAAAAAGTTTCATTGAAATATGTTCACTATTGTAGTAGTTATGGCCGTTTGAAAATTGGACCATTTTTATGGGGTTTTTCTCATTTTACGGGGTCAAGGAACAACTTCTCGGATATTTTTGGAATTTCTACATAATCTGCATCAAAATACGCGTTGTTTACACTTTGAAACTTTAGAATCCTCCAATCCGTTCAGGAGTTATGATGTTTTAAAGATTCGCATGAAATTTCGGGCAAACATTTCTAGCCAGAAATTATATTTTTGGAAAGGAATTTTTTTCTCGAAAACGCGTAGGAATTCGGGGGTATGTCTATTCACCAAAAATGATCGTAATTGACCCTCGCAACCGAAGATAATTTTTTCAGAACGATTTGAAATTTTTTCATTTTGTCAAAACATTTTACACCTTCTCGAATTTTTTTCTCGAAAGTGCGTAGGAATTCAAAGGTATGTCTATTCACCAAAAATGCTTGTAATTGACCCCTGTAACTAAATATAATTTTTTTAGTACAGTTTAAAATTTGTTAATAGCTTTTAATGAAGCCTCAGTCAAGAAATTGATATTCCTGATTTTCATCTTATTTTGGCCTCCAGAATCTCCCATAAAAATTTGTCCCAGGGGTGGCCGAACACCCTGTATATAAAATAAAATAAAATTTGGGGCTGTTTCGATAACATGAATATTTTCATTTTGTCCACCTAAATCTATGAAATTAGCCACTGTGCGATGGGTACAAGATTTAAAAAATTTATACACGTACCTGGACGCATCGTACGTTTTTTTATTCAGTCTGACGACAGCTGTGACACCGTTTTTAAAAAAATAGTCAATGTAACACTCAGGCGGGTGATAATACGAGAATGGTTCCGTACTTGGACCAACGAAAGCTAGAAACTTTTGCGGTACCATCCAGTTCAAGTCGCCGTTTCGCATGTCCGCGTATTTCTCGTATTCGATTAGATCAAAGTCGTCAAAATTGAAGAAACCGTACCTGGCTGCTTTTTGAAGCGCGTTCAAACAGTCTGTTCCCCCAAAAAGCGATAGAACGATAAGTCCAGTTAATTATTCGGTTTAAAAGAATCACATTTGTTACCTAATATGTGTATATTGTAAATGGAGGCACCCATAGATGCATCTTGAAACGGTTTTATCGGCAGATCGCCTCCCATGAATAGAGCGTTGTAAGCTTCCCTGGGACTTTTATTTAAATATAAAACAGCGTAGGAAGCTACCAAATAAGCGGAATTCGCTCTTTTGTGATCTCGTTGCGACGTGTAATGCACAATTTGTCTGTACTTGTTCGCTGGACTCTGCAGTTTCTTGTTTATCTTTCTGCAGTATCTGTTTGCAATTTATTTAAAAAAATTGTCAATCTTAAAGATTTAAAGATTTCACAGATTGCTTAATTTAAACGTACTAGTGGCTAGTCTTACTTGTATAAGCAAGCAATGTTTAAAGGGCCGAAGTCGTTGTAAAAATTCTGGTAGATCAGTTCGTCGTCGATGGTAAAAAAATGAATGCTCGAGTTGCTTCTTGCATTTTTTCGACCGTTTGACAATGTCGCGAAATAAAATTTATCCTTTATGTATTCGCAAATGTAAGTAACATCCGGATGTTTGTAAACTGTAGCAATTGCTGAAAATCCAATCGAGTTTATAATATAATTATGTAAAGCGTGGATAAAGAAATTCGAATTTTTCTGTGATACTACCTTCCACGTCGCAGAGCCTGTGGTCATAAATATTTCGATAACTTTTTAGGAATCCAAGTTTTCGTGGCTCGTTCATCGTGAAACGACAGCGAATCGTTTTGCAGCAGGATAAATAATTATTAAGTTGAACATTTATCATTTCCCAATAGACAAATATTCGATCGTAATTCCAACGAAATCTATTGTTCCGATACTTAAATGTTGCATAATTAGATTTTGGGTCGAATCCCGTTTAATTTTACGTCGGAACACTTGGGAGAGACTAATTTTCTAACAATTTCTACATAGTTTCGCTATCGTCACAGAAAACCAAGAACATGATTTTCTGAACCTAGATCATAGTGGTAAAGTATGATTTGAGATTATTTTAAACGTTAACAAAGACGATGGGGAAAAATATAGTTTATTTAAGGGATTAGTTGTAAAAAATATATTCGAGAAGCATAATAGGGAAAATATTCAAAATTTTGCGTGTAATGTAAACCTATATAATTCAAATTTTTACGTACCCCATCTAATTTTCATTTTATATCGAAGGGAAATCTGCCCTTAAACGTACGGTAATTTATCATGCCAAGTTATTTATTTCATGTTTGACACATTGATACGAAACGTTTGTCAAGATGTCAAGCCTCCACGTTTTTCAGATTTTTCTTTCATGGAAACCAATCGAACAGACTTACCTTAATGAAACAAAATGAACGGTCAATAATCAAATTCGAATAATTTCATAGTTCGAGGAGTGAAATCAGTTTCCTCGGGAAATAGTTTTAACTATAATCTATAACATATTTTAAATTATTTCAGAAGCGATTGCATCTGGGACGAGGACTGCATCATTCTACGAAATCATCATCAAAGGACCACGAGATTGCAGAATGGAGGATTCAAACAAATCACAGAGGCGCCGTGAGAAGATGCGGGGGGTGAGTCCACTCCTCTATTACTTTTCTTGTCTGATTTTTAATTATAATCATGTTACTGAGAATTGTAAATTATTGTGAGAATTGAAGATGTTAATATTTTTGAAAACTCAGTATATTATATTATACAGGGTGTTCGGTCACCCCTGGGAAAAATTTTAATGGGAGATTCTAGAGGCCAAAAAAAGACGAAAATCAAGAATATCAATTTCTTGATTGAGGCTTCGTTAAAAAGTTATTAAAAAATTAAATTAAAAAATTCCAAATCATTCACAGAAAAATTATTTTCGATTGCGAGGGCCAATTACAATCATTTTTGGTCAATAGATATACCCCCGAAATTCTACCCAAATTGAGAAAAAAATTCGAAAAGGTGTGAAATTTTTCGACGAAAAAAAAACTTTCAAATTGGTCTGGAAAAATTATTTTCGGTTGCAGGGATCATTTACAATCATTTTTGGTGAATAGACATATGCTCGAAATCCTACGCACTTTTTAAAAAAAAATTCTTTTACGAAAATGTAATGTGAGGTTAGAAATGTTGCCCTAAAATTTCATGCGTATGTTCAAAACATCATAACTTCTGAACGGATTGGACGATTTTAATGTTTCAAAAAGCAAACAATGCGTATTTTGGTGAAGAATATGTAGAAATTCCAAGAATATACGAAAAGTTGGTTCTTAACCCCGTAAAGTGAAAAAAACCCTATAAAAATGGTCCAATTTTCAAACGACCATAATTCCTACAATAGTCAATGGATTTCAATGAAATTTAGTTTGGAAGTAGAGCGTATAGATACCTACAAAAGAGTATTAGACAACTTTTCTGTAGGGCGTCAAACAAAATTATTAAAAATTAAAAATGAATTTTGAAAAAAAATCGACAGGGTGCTTGACGAAAAAAAGTTTCAAATCGTTCTAGAAAAATTATGTTTGGTTCCGGGGATCAATTACAAGTATTTTTGGTCAATAGACATATCCCCGAAATCCTACCCACTTTCTAGAAAAAAATTCGAGAAGGTATGAAATTTTCAACAAAATTAAAAAATTTCAAATCGTTCTACAAAAATTATTTTTGGTTGCAAAGGTCAATTACAATCATTTTTGGTCAATAGACATACCCCCGAAATTCTATCCATTTTCGATAAAAAAATTCGAGAAGGTGTGAAATTTTTCGGCATGAAAAAAAACTTTCAAATCGTTCTGGAAAAATTATTTTCGGTTGCAGGGATCAATTATAATCATTTTTTGTTAATACACATACCCCCGAAATCTACGTACTATCGAGAAAAAAATTCTTTACCGAAAATATACTGTGTGACCGGAAATGTTTCTATAACTTTTTAACGAAGTCTCAATCAATAAATTGGTATCCTTGATTTTCGCCTTATTTTGGCTTCTAGAAAGTTTTATTAAAATTTTTCTAGGGGTGGCCGAATACCATATACTATATCATAGATCAATTTAATATCATATATGATAACTGCCTTAAACTATATAAGAAATTCAAAAGTTTTAATTTACCACCAAGTCAATTGCTACTTCAACCGATAATTAATGTTTATTTTTTATTCATTGGAACAAGTTTATCAGCTTTTAAATTATTAATACAAATACAAAGTAACATGTTTATCTGCGGTAGGACAATATGTGCAGACTATTTTGTTAAGATATACAGGAAAATAATACTTTAAAATTTGTGTGCTGATAAGCATGGTAAGTACAAATGTGTAATATAATATGCTGCAGAAAATTTTCTTGTAAATATTCTGTGTCACTGGTTGGTACCACTTTTCAAATTATTTACTTTATATTTTGTGTTATTACTATTTTCTAATAATAAATAAATATATATTAAATCGTACACTCCTGTTTAGTTTTATTCATTTGTTCTGATACTCACTATACATAATACGATAATGAGATTTCTTTCACGTTGTTATACGTATCAGTTATCTATTCAGCATTCTTTGCCAGTCAATTTATCTGATTTGTGTACTGCTGATATAAGACTAATTGGAAAGTAAATGAATCTTCAGAAACTTAGATTTAGGTCAAATTTTTGCAGTAATCCCCTATGATATGGTATTGAATCACGGTGAATGTACTCTAAAAATTCGCCTTAAATATGAATTTCTAGACTAGTTTACTTTCCAATTAGATTCGTATCAACGGGTACAAAATGTATATGAACAAAATCAGATAAATTGGCTGGCAAGGAATACTGAATAGGTAACACTGTTACGTATAACAACGTGAAATAAACTTCATTATCATATCGTCTACAGTGTGTGCCAGCTTAAAATCGTATATTCTACTGCTCAACTGATTTTTATCTGCAGAATCTCAAGCTCAAAACAAATAAATGGAACTGTTACAGGGGCACGTAGCTTGCCATATATTTTTTTAATGCGTAATCTATTCAAAATATAAACGAATCATTACTTATTCTGCGTGCAATAAACTCTTTGATCTCTGAAGAAACATCGTTTTCTCGATTTTACTCCAAGTTGCATGTCTGGAGGGTAGTGTTGTCCGATCGTTCAGCTCGTCGTAGGTGCGGCTTGCATTAAAATTGACACGTCTCACGCTAGCTAAGGATTCAATCTTTACTATTTGCTTCGAATCTATTCAAACTATCGAACAACGTAGATATTCTCTAATACGGAAGGCTGAAGAGATGTATGTAAATTGCTCATCTGGAAAGTTGATTACCAGTTTCATAGTTCTGAGGCGCGAAAGTCGAGGATCAGAGGTTTATTTTAGAGTCTACGAATTCCTGGAGATCGCATATTGCAAAACCACCGTCTTTGGTAGTTTTCATTCTGTTTAAATTCAAAGTTCCGTCGCTGTTATTAACTCTGTGTTTCCTCGTAGTGAAACCGTGGAATCCCCGGAGGAAGAGTTTTCTCGATTTACGTCGAAGCTGCACGCATCGATGGCGGTGTCGCTCAATCGTCCAGCTCGTCGTAGGCGGTTCTTCTAAATCGAGACGTCGCACGCGGACGTGTTCCTTATCCAGGTTGCATAAACCTCGCCGTCGGTCTGCGGTACAATTTGCGAGTGCACCGGGAAGTACTTTAACATGCAACGTGGAGCCTAACCGGTAAAGCGACAAGGGGCATCCGACCGGTGGATATCGCGCCGGCGTCCGATCGGTATTTACGATTCAAGAGAAATCTTTACTCGGGACAGGAGGCGGCTCCGACCATCCGTCCGTGCATCCATGCCTGCGTCCGTCAATCCGTTATAATTTCTCCGTTAATAGAATCCGAGATTTCGTAGCGAATCGTGATACGCATTCGAATACATCTCTCCTTTCTCCGCTCTTCCACCTATGTCGTCTTCCTCCGTTCCCTCTTTCGTTCTCCCCACTATCTGGAACGACCCTTTTCCACGTCCACGTTATTTTATTTCTGGCTAGAAATAGCATTCTTAGATTTTCCGTTCCCCAGCGTCTTTTCTCCTCAAGTTCTGACCCCCCACCAGCATCTTATTAGCATCTAAACGTTTGCTTCTGGGTAGCTTTACAACTTCAGTTCCCTCAACATCTACTCTGTCAACACATCTACTCTGTTTTTACTTTTCATTTATTCGTACGATATTGCCATTTTTATTAGTACCCGTATATTTGATATGATGGACCCCTTCAGTTAATCGGGGATTACTCTATGTTGCTCTATTCATCCCCTTAGATTTCCGTCTGTGTCTGTCCATGTTCTCCGTTTCTCCTTTTTCTTTTGCTCCACCTCCTCTCTTTGCCGATAGTCTTCCTCTACGCCAGAGTGTCTGACTTCGGCGACTCCTGGCGCATTCTTCCCCGCGTTTCAGAATCGTCCGATTCCCCGACGTTTTCCTCGCTTTTCTTTTAGATTCTTGGAGGTATCGTAATCGTGGTTGCGCACGTATGCAAAGCCCAACCCATATCTTCGGGTTGATACGGTCGCGCGTGTGCGCGCTACTAAGGCGGAACGCGTAGCCGGCCAGCGGCGATAAGGTCGAATCGAATTCGTTGGCAGATCTTTTCCAATTGGTAAACGAGTCGCGTGAGATTTCACCGGTGATTTTACGCGAAACGGGTTCGAGTTGCAACATCGAATCGATTTTGGTCTCTTCCTTACTGCGTTCCTACCGTCTAGATGTTGTCGTTCAG